CTTATTGTCATTCTCATGAAACAAATCCATAGAAGCTTTTTCTTCGCACAGCAAACACCAAATTTGGAAGTAAAGGGCTTTTCATATGAGGACAAATAGTTAACGTGAATCATCAAGCACATTGCTACATTCCCCATTCACATGAAAATTTAGAATAGCCAGTGGAAGCATGCACCTATCACAAATTTCCTTATATATGTCAATAATTAGGTTTTAATTAATTAAGAAATGAAACGAAAGCATGTGCAATGTTTTCCCTCATTTTCATAGTACCCCCTTTGAAGACTACGCAAACCATCCATCGTATATGAATTGAGTGAAGTTGTGAAATTATATAAAATATAAAAATAAAAATAAAAATAAAAACAACATGTATTGTGTAGTCTTGACATGAAGACTAGCAAACCAAATAATTGATTTTTTTTTATTAGTATATTACCATGAATTTGATTATATGACAATTTTGATTTAATGTGCATTAAGTTCTATTTACATGTGGTTTTAGACAAGTTATAGACTCCAAATTTTTGACTAGCTAGAAAAAAAATAAATGATAAATAAATAAAAAAAATTCTTTTTACACAAACAAACAAAAAACATGAGAAAAGAAAGAAGAATGATACGGTAGATGGCAACATCAAGAATCCTTTAAGAGAGTATTTAAAAGCTAAAATAGACCGCTTTTGGAAAGAAGACCGGCAAACGCGTTTTCCAACTTTGCAAATACACACAAAGTCACACACATATGCACACACTTGACACTTGTATTATGTGACACTCTTCTATTGCTCACTAATTCTCGAATAAATTAGTCTTCAATATTTATTGGTTCTTCTTATATAATATTATATATTGTTATGCTTGGTGTTTTGCTTCCAATCAATCTATGCATTTCATGTGCGTTGATCCCCCACATACTCACTTTTGAACTGCTGATCCTTCAATTGATTTATAACATTATTGATTTATATATATTTTTTACTTTTTTAAAAAGAAATAAACCTAATAAATAGTAATTCAATAATAGAATATTTTTGCCAAACCATTGACAATGACTCACATGAGAGAGCAATCGTAGATGATTTGGCCTTAGCGAAATCAGCCCGAATAACATCATTCTTAATAATATTATTAAGTGAAATTAATTTCAGGAAAGAAAACCACAATTTACTCATGCTCATGATGCAACTAAAGAGCATTTTTTTTTTTTCCCATTTAGCGGAAGTGTTTTTATCTCACAAAGACTTCGTACAAAATGCTTACAAAAATTATTGAACACATGATATATTCATTTTGATTTGAAATGAAAGATCAATATATATATATATATATATATATTGATCTTTCATTTCAAATCAAAATGAATATATCATGTGTTCAATAATTTTTGGGAGGCAATAATGTATTTTTTAAAAATTTTAAAGGGACAAAAGTAGTATTTTATAAGTATATTACTGAAAATCCCCGCACACACTAGCAGAGCTGTGAAGACGAGAAGAAGAGGTTTTCCTTCATTTTCTTGCATTATTAATTGGGTATAAGGGACCAAGGGAGTGCAGAAAGGCTTCCCAAATGAGGATGCTCCACTTTGACAGTGTTTTCCTTTCTTTTCTGATTGGGTTGGCCCAGTTCAAACAATCTTCGAAGTAAAAGGTGCAATGTGGAGGAGTTTATGGATTTGGTTCGTACTTATTCTCTCCCAAGCCCGATCCAACTTTACTTATATAGACCAACGTCATTTCTAGCCTTGGGATTAAAAAAACATGAATTTGTCAATAATCATGAATATGAATTTATTGTTTCATGATTGTCACCCAACCAATACCAACACCAACCGCCATGGCCACCGCCTTCCATTGCCACATTCCACTGGGACCACTATCACCTTTCACTATCACCACTTCCACCGTGACCTTCCACCACCACCATCATCATCACCACCATCACCACTACCATCGAACCAACTTGTGCCCAAAGGGGCACATGCCCTTGGCTTGGCTCGCCCTATGTATATATATGAGAATGGATCATCTCTAAAGAAATTTTTCTCATAACATCTCAAAGTATTTAATCCTACCGGTGTTAGAGCGCCACATCACAACTTACCTTTCCATCATTAATTTACCAAATTTAATTAATTAACTAATAAATATGGTATCTTTTGGACTAAAATTTCCGAAATAATAATTACGGCGATTTAATATCCCACTAAAACTTTCACTTTACTTTTTGACAAATTCAATTTTTAGAGGAAAATAGTCATAGTTATCTAATGCAGTGAAATCTATATTCTTATTCACAAATTTTTTTAACAAAATTATACCCTAATTTTCAGATTTTTACTTACACCCTTAATTAAATTATTTTCAACTATAAATTCCAAAACTAATCCAATTGTAACAAGGTAACTAATTAGATGAGAAAGAATTACAACGTTTTTAGTCCAAACAATACCATATTTATTATCCCTGAAAAAATTGTGAAATCTTTATTGTAGTGGATAAAACTTAGGAAGGTAGAGGAGATACCGATGAGCTTTGAGTTGTCTAATGTACCAAGATCTTAAAATACTTTCTCAACCCAGAAAAAACTATGAAATCTTCCAAACCTTAAATTGTAGTGAATAAAGATTGATGATAGTATATGGAAATCGAAAGATAAAGCTTAATGGTAATTGTTATCTTTTAAATTTAGCCCAAAAAGTAAAGTGAAAGTTTTAGCCATGGGAAATCGCGTAATTGTTATTTTGGAAATTTTAGTCCAAAAGATACCATATTAATTAATTAATTAATTAAGTTTGGTAAATTAATAATGGAATGGTAATTAGTTGGTGATGTGGCACTATAACAGCTGTAAGATTAAAAACTTGGAGATATTATGAGAGAAATTTTCTTGGAGAGGATCTGTTCTCTTTTAAAATTTATATATATATATATTTGAATACTATGCCCCCCTAAAATTATTAGTTTCCAAAATTTTTTTAAACTTTTTCTATTTTTTTTATCTCTTACTCTTTAAATTTCTTTAATTACCTTTTTTAAAAGTTGAATTCCCCTTATTTAATCATGATCTAATTTGTTTCCTGCAAAATTCATTTTTCTTTTCCTTTTTTTTTCTTCTTATTCTTATTTTTTTTTTTTTAAATTCCCACTATGCCCCCCTAAATTCAAATCTTGGCTCCGCCCATGCTCTCCACTACCACCACCACCAACCAACACCACCTTCCACATCTGCCACCTTCTACCACCACCACCAACACCGCCTTCTACCACCTTCCACCTCTGGTCCTCTGCCACCTTCTATGAGTCCAAGACAGCAAAGTCCCAAAAAAAAAAAAAAAAGGCTTGGGCCAAAAATACATGAATTAGTTAATAATCCAGCACACAGACAAGCCCAAGACAAATGAGTCCAAGACAGCAAAGTCCAAACACTCCTTAACCGAGCCCAAGGCCGGCCTTGATCCACAACCAAAATTTGAATAACAGTAACCGAAATAACTGACGAACAGGACAGGACGCAAAGCATAATCAGAATAAATGCACAATCTCACCCAAATTTCCAGGGCAAAAGTGCTATCAGGTCAGCCATTACTAAATTGTTCCGGATGATTTGATACTTAGGTGAACTAATTTAATATAAAAGTTAATGTTTAGATTTTTTGTGATATATTAATATATTTTTATAGGATTTTTTTTTTTTAATTTGAAAATTTAGATTGAATTAGTCACCAAATGTAAATAGTGTAGGACCATTTAATAATTTATGATCCATGAAAAAGGAGTTCTGAAATTCCCAATTTTTGGCAATCTTCATAATATATAGGAAATAATACTTCTCTAAATTATGGTAATACCACTGATATCTAATAACTTTTTAAAGTAAAAAGTTAAAAATTCATATCCTGGTAAAATATAATGGAAGGTTTCAAGTTTCATAAATGAATGTAGAGTAATCAGCGGGTGCTTTGCAGTCTGACCTAAAATTTAAGCTATTAAGTGATGTTAACATCCAATTCACATATACTTAATCATTTTTCCATTCGATTATGACGTGGGACAAGTTTCCATTGTAACATTCTTTTCCATTTAAATTTGCAATGCCTTCGTTATGGTCGCCCTGCATACCCAGGACGAAGACCAGATTGCCTCCCTTGATAAGAATAATGATTGTATTTACATCTACTCCTTCTTCACGCTTTTGTTATGGTTGGGTTACCATGCCTATTCAGATAAAAGTACTCGGATACATTTGAGCCCTGCATTTGGTATGGCATTGGATTAATGATTAAATTTGATTGTGATACAAACTGTAAAAAGTCGAGTGATTCTTGATCCAACTAAAAACTTGAATTATTAGATAATATTAACACCTAATTTATATATTTTTATATCACTTGAATTTGATACGATACCTCTAACACTTGGATCATAGGCCCTTACCAATGAGACAACTTGGCAAAACGTTTGTAGTTGAGTAATTTTTCACTCTTGAAGTCACGTTAACACTTAACACCAGGTAGGAATGAAGAGAGAAAATATATAATCTGTATATATTAAAGTTTAAAAAATGAACATTAAACAAATAAATAATTGAACACTATTTGGTTATCATTGATGTTGATCTATAAGTCGAATTACGTATCCTCAATTGGTTTTGGATTTACATTTTAGGATAGAAATTGAAGTACTATCAATACATTGTTCTTGCGTACCAATATCATCTTAATAATTGAGTGATGTGATTTTCTGATGTACTACCACTAAACGAAACTTAGACACTGGATTACGCAAGCGTTCATAATTGGATGGATATGGACACGAAACGAAAAAAATTTGAAGTTCCATTACGATGATACTCGCGTGGGCCAATTTTACGTTCTTGTTCAGATACTGACAAAAAAGTGCGGCCCACAAATTTCCAACTTCTCCACATCGTGTCGTTATCACATGCTTCTCATGCCACGCCATACTGATGCTTTTCATTTCCCTTCATCTCCGAATGGACCGGATCAAATGTCTATGTATAGATATATAACTCCTTGCTTGTCAAGAAGCGATAGCTGTAAATCCACAGTCCCCATCTCTGTCAAACAAACGAACCGACATTCTGCAGATAGCAAGACGTATGTGTCAGACTGTGTGTATGTATATATATATATATTTCGAATATGTATGTATATGTTTGTACGTGTGTAATTGTGTTCTTTTCAGTTCTAAAACGTTGATCCCTTACCATTTTTAATATTAACACACATCATGTTACAGTTCTTAATCATTAAAAGTCTTACACAAGAAGAACCCAGAGATTGTCTTCTGTTTGGACATAATTAGAGGTGCGTAATTGTGTTGATCGCTCTTATTCTTTTTTGGGGTCGAAGATTTTTGTTTCTGTTTAATTTTCCAATCAATCTTATAATTATTGGATAGATATTGCTGTTTATTTATTTATTTTTATTATGGTAATCTGATGTGGAATTTCATGATTATCAGCAAAGATCAATTTACCAGTCCCACTACTACAGTGGAGAACCTAAAATAGTTTGTTTTTGTTTTTGATCTTGTTTTTTTTTTTTTTTTTTTTTTTTTAATTTGATCATTTCCTGAAATTTGTGTTTATACTAACTTATTGATCTGCCACAGTTTTTTTCAGTAATTCATGGCATTTTCTTCCTTTCTGGCAATCAAAAGAAGAAATTTATTTTTGTTGTCAGTCATGGTAAAAGGATTCGTGTATCTGATCCCAAGTATTTGGGAACTTTTGTTTTGTTTTGTTTAGAGTCATGAATCATGAATGCATGGAATGCCATCTCAATCCATAGCATTCTTGACAATATAAGATATCGTCCATAATCATCATCATCACTATTGCCTTAATCCCACATGATTGAAAATCTAAAATTTGGTGGAAATTATATTATATAGTTTCAATCTCTGTAAAGAAATGTATATCAATCAGTTTGTTAAGTTCACACATTTTAAGTTTGTTTGTCATTGTTTTGTGTTCGATATAGCTTACTGAAATAGCATATAGGAGGCCCCTTTGAAGATAATATCACAAAAATTGGCCTCAGTTTGGGAAGAGGATAAACTCCTGGATTACTTCAGGTGTCATTATAGGTTTATCCATATATATAAAATGAAAATTTAAACTTTTAAGCTTCTGACTCAGAAGATTGTATACAATACACAAACATGATATATGCATTATACCCATATCACAGAATGTCACATGCAGATTAAATTTTCAAGTTATGTTTTCTTTCTTTGTAACAATAGATAGTTTGAGAACTTTTTTTCATGTAACAACAATAGAACACTTCCTTCTCTTTCCTGCAATTATTCTGTTAAAATTCTCCTACATTTTCCCTACTCTTAATTGGGAAACTATGAATAAAAATGATCATAATTTTTTCAAACCTGTGGTTTGATCTGATTGGCATTCCTGAGATGGTATTCTTTTTCTCATTTTTGTGATTATAAATAATATGTGACAGCTAAAGATACCATGCTTGGCAATGGAGTTGTGGGAATTTTATCTGAATCTGTAAACAAGTGGGAACGAAGAGTGCCTCTAACCCCATCACACTGTGCTCGACTTCTACATGGTGGAAAGGGTCAAACTGGAGTAGGCCGCATCATTGTGCAGCCATCCTTAAAGCGCATCCATCATGATACACTCTATGAGGATGTTGGTTGTGAGATATCAAATGACTTGTCAGAATGTGGTCTCATCTTGGGTATCAAACAACCAAAGGTGCTGAGATTCTTGTGCTCAACTTCTTACATAGATAGGAGATCCAAGTTTTGAGCTAATAATTTGGTGTGGATGCAGCTGGAGATGATTCTTCCTGATAGAGCCTATGCCTTCTTCTCCCATACTCACAAGGCACAGAAAGAAAACATGCCTTTATTAGATAAGGTATGTTATCATTCAATTTTTCATTGACAGTAATCTTTGTTCGATTTTTGTACCACTGATGTTCCTTGTGATGTCTAGATCCTAGCTGAAAGAGCATCTTTGTTCGATTATGAGCTTATAGTTGGGGACCATGGAAAAAGGTTGCTTGCATTTGGTAAATTTGCTGGTAGAGCTGGAATGATTGACTTCTTTCGTGGATTAGGACAGCGTATGTACCATTGTTCTCAATGTGTAGAATACTTTGAAACTTAATGGCTGGTTTGGTGGTGGAGACATGGCGAACAGAACCTTTACACACTTCATTTTTATCTCCATCATGTTACCTGTTCCTCTGTTTTGCATAAATTGCTAATGTCTTGACTAGCCTTATTAGATTCTTGTCAATGAAATGTAGACTACTCGTCAGAAAGATTAGTGGTCTTCTTTTGATCAAAACTCCTTTTGGTTCCTGGAAAGATTGAAGATATGACTTTAAATGCTTAAGAAAGAAGCTGTAGGCACTTTCTTTTTCCTTTCCACTATAGCCTAAAGGAAGGGATTTTTGGAATTTTATTTTCAATTTTTCCATAATGTATCTGAGGGTTTCAAATAGTGCATTGCTCTGGATTTATAGTTATCCATTCTGACTTGGTAATATCATTGCTACCTATGCAAGCGTTTTATTTTTTTATTGTTCTATTTCAGGCTATCTTAGCCTTGGATATTCAACGCCTTTTCTGTCACTGGGTGCCTCGTACATGTATTCTTCCTTGGCCGCTGCCAAGGCTGCAGTGATTTCTGTGGGTGAAGAGATATCAAGTCTGGGGCTGCCATCAGAAATCTGTCCCCTGGTTTTTGTATTCACCGGTTCAGGAAATGGTATTTAACATTGCTTAAATTAAATTGATGCTTTAGTGGTTTTCCTTTTTACATCACAATTATTGACGTGTGAAAATTCTAATTCTTATGCTTGCTCTGCAGTGTTACCATCTCTGCACTCAATACATTATACCTGTTGAAAATTTTTCAGTACAAATAAAGAGTAGTTTTAAAAGCAACAGTTTCTGCTTTTCATGTTTTAAGATGATAGTATTCTTTTTGGTCCTCTTCTACTACTGAATCTTATAAACCAAAACCAATGATGATTTTTTGTTACATTAAATGATTTTATTTTTTGTTCATTTGTATGCTTCTTTAGCTTCTCTTGGTGCACAAGAGATATTCAAGCTCCTTCCTCACACTTTTGTGGATCCAAGCAAGCTTCCAGAACTATTTGGGACGGTAAGGTTGAATCAATTTTCTTTAAGAATCATTTTTAGTTACCTTAAATGTATTCGTGATTATATGGTTTATGTATCATTGCACTATTTACTACTCAATATGAATTTAAGAATCAACCACTATTACACTCCCATATTTCTACTTAAAACATGGAGAAAGATACATGCAACCTCTCATAGGCGGCTTGAAATAAGAGGGATGCACAATGCATTGTCCCTTCAAGGTTTACTTTGCCTCCACCGTGTAGCAGTTTTTTTAATCAAGATCCGGAAATGAAGGTGGAGCATCACCAAGTGAATTATATGACTTGGGATTTTGGTGTTATTCCATGGTTTACAAAGCTGAAATTATTTTTGTGTTCCTTTTTATGCATGAATGCATTACATGCACTCATAACTTTTGATAGAACACCAGTTTAATGGGTAATATCACATCACTTGTTGTAGGAGCATTTTGTTTATGCTTTGTTAAACTTATATCACCTAGAGCAGGCTTATAAAAAATTACATATTCATCCCAAAATAACTGAATAATTTAAGAATTTAACATTTTATTGATGCGTGAGTTTTCTGGAAACTCTTGCTACATTTTTTTCTTTCTTCGTCAAAAATCCTAATGGCCTCAACAAAATGCCCAAATGTACTAGCCAGAAATTGCTTCCATACATTAAGCATTGATGACTATCTTCCTGGAATTGGCAAAGCTTGTCTATATGCAGATAGATTTATCTGTGATGCAAGCTTACAGGAATTACAGAGAATCTAAGAATCTACATAGAGCAGTATTTCTTAAGTGAAAAGGAAATTATAACCCAGACAGGATTGAGGAGTCTCAGATGGGCTTCATGAAATTTGGGTAACACCACCATACCATGGATTACTTGTATGGCATGTGTTTTTGGCGTCTGGAATTCATTATTATTTCACTGATTGCTTCGATACTTAATTAGATGCATCTTCCTTGTTTAATTTAGAACTTTTCTTTCTTTCTCAGTTGGTAAAGGACGGTATCATTGTTTTATATGTTTTATTTTGTCAAATTTTTTATTGATTAGGCCAGGGATCTTTCTCAGTCTACACGAGCATCAAAGAGAGTTTTCCAAGTATATGGTTGTGTTGTGACTTGTCAAGACATGGTTGCACACAAAGATCCGACAAAAGTTTTCGATAAGGTATGTAAAATATAATAAGTTTCATTTGTCTTAGATATATCAAACTTAAGTTGGTCTCAAAACTTCCTTGTTTTTCAGTCCTTAGGTTTTTGCAAGACTAATTATTTTCACTCTGCCCCATTAAACTAAACTTATCTACCAGAATACTATATAACTAAATGTCCTCATTTGTCTTTATATTTTTACTCCCCACTTGAACCCATTAAAAATGGTATAGATTTGAAATTCCAAGTGAATAATAAGTCAACGCTGTGGGAGAAGAAGAAATCCTTTAGCCAAATTTGTGACTTCTTGATGGTAGAGTTTCTTCAATTGTAAGTGCATAACTATTCTATTATATTGCAAGTTACTAGAACGAAAATTCGGCAGAAAGAACTCATGTATATAGGATATCTAGAATATCTGAATTGCACTCTATGATGGTTACTTCTGTTATGCAGTGTTTTACACATCTAGCATCCCGCTTAGTACCTTACAGTGGCTTCGTGAAAAATTGACTTTTGACTTCCACAAAGACTTACAAATCTTGGGCAGGTCATTACAGATTAATTTCATCACGTAATACTGATAGTTGTGACAGTGAGAATATAATGTGTTCAAGAACCAGAATATTCTGGACATTGCAAGATAGTTTGAAATTGTTTTACATTCTCAGCACCTACTCTGTTCTCTATTCTTTCCATTTCCATGGGTAGACTCATAGCATAAAACATCTCAATTTAATGAAAAGCTGGACAAATTCAAAAGTTAGTGTTTCCCTTTAATGGATACCAAGTTCTTATGGCAAAATGAGCGGATTTTATAAGCATAGGTCCCTTTGTTCTCTGGATGCACCCACTTTTATTCTGTAATTATGTGGAGTATATATATGGCACTCCATTGTTAACCACCATCTACTCTAAAAGCTTAAGCTGTTAAAGAGAGTGTAACTTAAATATTTAAATCCTTCAACATCCATGAGGATGTTTGCACTTGCAGTTTCGCTAAATGGCAATTGCATCAAATTTGCAACCTCTATTATGCATCACAACAGAAATGGGTAATAAGCTAATGATTTGCATTTTGAAGCACAATTTGGAAACCCGGTATACTTCCATCCCAAAATATTATATTTGCATCCAATTTATCCTATATTTTCCCTCTTAGTTTCTAGTTTACAAGAAGAATAAAGGAAAGATCCGTAACACATCAGGATAAACTTAGTTCGATGTGTTTATGTGATTAGTCTCCAGTATTACAGATTTCCACTAGTAAAAGAGAATTTTCAATCATCCAATTGGTGAAAGATCACGCTTGCTTCTGGAAATTCCTCACCACATTCTATCTACGTGTTCTATATAGGCCTACCATATAGTTCCATACTTTAGAGTATGAGGACTACCACCTTCCCATTCCCGTCCTGCATACCAAAATGATCCTTGTTTTGAGTAGCACTGGGCAGTATCAGATTTGATTTGCCTGGTTTCTTGATCTCTGTTGTGTGTTTTATATATGAAAATTTTGGTGGTCTCTCGTATTTTTGTGAAGATGGATTTTCCTTGAAAGACTATTGAAATGTTTAATTGAATAATCTTCTTTTCTTCCATCACTGTACTTATCTTACTGACCCAACGCCTTTTGAATCTTCTGTTGTAACCGAATGTATTGTTCATAATTTATCCTGCATAAGGTTGATGTTGATTTCCTCCGATTGGAGACTAAGATTAGTGATATCTTTAACATATTCAAGATATCTCAACCTAAATTACGCTATTTGAATATGTTTCAGGCTGACTACTATGCACATCCAGAGCACTACAACCCCATTTTTCATGAAAAAATAGCCCCCTACGCATCTGTTATAGGTATCTCATAACTATGCTATCAATATATATTTTTACTAACCATGTGCAGTTGTTATTGGTATTTTTGCTGTTATTGCTGGATCCAGGAAACGGAATTTATAGTTTACTGGAGACATGAGGTTACCATGTTCATTGTTCATTTTTCAATTTCTACGAGATTCATAATCACTGGTATACCTATTCTTATGCCACTAACAATTTGTACTTGGCCATGGACTAGAAATATCATGACATTTGCATATATAAGATTCATAAATTAATAATAATTAATCATTTTATTTTCTGAAAATTTTTTATGGCATCGAACGAACACAAAAGTCATATTTAAATAAATTCTTAGTGTTCCTGCATTAGAACTTAACCATAGAGACAATGCTAAACTAGGGAGACACTAATGAGCCTAAAATCTGGTGTTATATTGTAAGTGTGTGATTATACTTTTTTTTCTATTTTCCTATCACGCAGGAATTTCCTTTCCATCGTCATACATTTAAGGGATTCCGAATAAGTGTCAATAAATTTTATCTCAACAGCTTATTAGTGTTGATAAGATATTTAAATTATTCATGTGCTGAATCAGAGCAATATGAGGATCAGCTTCATGAAAATTATCAATATCTTATCAATGCATTCTTGGAGATGACTGCATTAGGTGTGTAAATAGACCTATATTGTATGGTTGTGAAGCATAATGAGATGTAATTGGTGTTTTATGAACTAAAGGAAACCAATTACGTCTTTGACTACTGCTAGTCCAAGGTGCTGGAAGAAGAAACAGAGACCAACAAGAACTCATCTTTTATTTCTTCAACTATTAGGTTCTACTATTGGAAGTTATATTGAATTTCTAGACTTCGTGGGAATGTCCAGGTTAGTGGCACCATGATAAACAATGGAACAATGGAACCATTTCTACTTCTAAGCACTGCTACACAACAATCTGATCTTAAAATGTCCTGTATAGGTTTCAAGATCAGTGCATCATGTTCATTTAGTGTTTGGAATCTTTAGCTGTTCGTAGCAAAGCAGATTAAGTTGGAGGATTTTTTGAACATTCTGTTCTCTTTACTAATAGGGTCTGCAATAAGCAGTTGTTTCCTTGGTAGTTGGTTCCCAACGTAAACACGTAGTTCTGGACTATATGGTATATCTATTGGCTTTAGGACCTTGTTTTCAGAGGATGTATATGATGGAAATGGGTTTTAAAACATTTGGGAAGCATGGAAACCTTGAGATGTGTAGAACCATGAACCTTTTTCAAAAACAATGTATGAACGTGTTGAGACATACAACAAAGGAATAAGAGCCCTATACCTTGAGGGATGAAGTAGGATCCCTTCTTCCAATCTTGAACACCAACTTGTATATGGAAAAACCTTCAAGCTTCTCCTTCTTTGATCTCCTCTTTCCTTTGGTCCTTCTTGTTCCTTCTTGCTCCTACAAGCTTCAATGCCCAAAGATGTCACCACTATGACCCATTTGTGAGATCCCTAAGCTAGGAATTGTGGGATTCTTGAGAGAGAAAGTATGTAGATGTAGATGTATATGTCTATTTATAGAGAGAAAGTATGTAGACGTAGATGTATATGTCTATTTATAGAGAGAAAGTCTCCAGTAGAAGATGATGCCTTTATAACCCCAATATTTATAGACAAACTTTGGAGTACCCAAAGCACTCTGTACACCTTACTTATTTTACTCTTTCTTGCTTAGGACTCCAAGTTGGGCTAGTAGTGAGGATCTTATATGGGCCTGAAGATACCAAAAATAGCTTGGGCTGGGTATGACCCATCTTAGTAAAGAATGGATAAGGAGAGAAAAGTGGACCCGATCGGATAACAGCCCAAGAGGCCCAATCTCCATGAGGACGATCTCTAGGTCCCAAACTAAAAGGAAAGAAATGAATCAGCACTAAAGGAAAAGCCTAGAAGATCAGCCCAACATGCAAGATGAAAAAGGAAGCTTCGATAACAATTGTAAAAGTCAATAAATAGAATGCAAAGAGAGGGAAAAACGGTTGAGATATTTTGAGAAGGAATTGTTTTTCCAATAGAGAGAACATTTTTCGTTGCATCTTCAATGGTGTGGTGCAGTCTGTGGGAAGCGAAGGAGAGATCCAGTTGATCCTCAAGTTCGCTGCGAGCAGATTGATCATTCTTTCGGAGGATTAGGATTGATCTGCGAAGATCAAGGTTAAATTTCTGGAAGTTGAAGCTTGATTTCTAGAAATTGGACTCCGACCTGAGGAGATCGTGATTTGTTTTGCAGAGATTTGATCCTGATTGACGAAGGCCAGATCCGACGAATTCACGACAGAAAAGATTTAGATCTAACTGACGGAGATCGGAATTCGGCCAGGCAAAGGCCAGATCTAGTACACTCACGGTAGTAGAGTTCAGATCTGACCAAGATTTCTTGGTTGATGAGACTGCTTCAATTAGGAACGAAGATCGGAGGTGAGAGTTCTTATCCACAAGAAAATGAACAACACGCAAAGCTTGACGAATTAATGAGCCTGATTGAGGCTCTAAGAAGAGAAAATGCGGAATTGAGAGCCGGAATGGAGCGAAGATACGCTCTGGCAGTTCTACGACCGCCTCCGACAGGAGAGAGAATTCTACCGCCAAATGTTGTTCACTAGGGTGAACAAGAAGGAAACGTTCACCTGGATCTGCGCCGTAAAGAGTTCAAGCCGGAAGTTTTTCCACCAAATGTCCATCATATGGAAGATCGAGAAGGATCTGTCCATCTGGATCCACATCGAGAAAGGATCAGGCGAGAGGAAGCTATGGAGTTTGGCCACAATAAGGCTACGCTGTCATAGCAGAGGGAGTTAACTGAGGAAAGATCGTTCGATCCAATCTACCTTTTGTCAATGGCCACGTATGACTACAGGAGTTCAGGCAAGAGACTTGTTGAACAATAGATACTCCCAAAGGAGAACGAAGCCCTCCGCATGGCGGCTCGGACTGTCGATTCACCATTTACAGATGAGATCTTGAATGCTCCAAATCTAAGAAAATTCTCCATGCCAGTTTTTACTTTGTTCGATGGAACGAGCGATCCGATCGAACATGTTTATCACATTCAGCTAAAGATGGTTCTGAATACAGAAAATGATGCTCTGATGTGCAAAGTTTTCCCTACGAGCCTTATTGGACCGGCGCTTAACTAGTTCAAGAACTTGGCAAGAGGATCGGTAGAAAGCTTTTGTAACCTGTGCGACAAATTCATAAGCCAATATTATGGAAACAAGCGGCCGGCCAAGGACATATCAAGTCTGTTTACAATGAAACAACTAGAAGGCGAACGTCTCCAAACTTTTCTTACTAGATTTAACCTAGAAAAGAGCATGGTAATAGAGTGCCATCCATCCACGGCGGTTCAAGCGTTCAAACTAGCCATGAACCGAGGAACACCGTTCCACATAAATCTAGTGGTGAATACGCCGAAGACCATGGATGAGTTGAACCAGAGAGCTGATGGTTTTGTGCGCTTAGAGGAAGAGGAAGCTGCCAACGCAAGGAAGACATCAATGGTTACAGTGGGAGAAAAAACCAGAACAAAGATCAATCAAAAACAAGTTGCACCACAGCGTCTGACCCTCTAGAAAACAGAAAAGAGCCTAAGGAGAAAGAATCGATCACTCCACTTAAAGTCAGCCTGGCGAGGTTGTTCCAAGAAAATAAAGATAAGTTTTGCCCTCCCCTACCGATCATCCAACCGCTCGAACAAAGAGATCAATCCAAACATTGTGCTTTTCATAGTGATTTTGGACATCTGACTAATGAATGCAGGAATTTAAGAAGACAAGTGGAGATGCTAATAACAAAGGGAGAGTTCGCTGGATATATTCAAGGACCAGCAGTAAAGCAAAACCGACCTGTAGAGTAAGTGAAGAGAAATCAGAAGCCGAACTACCATAACGCTCAACCTGTTCGTATAATAAATGCAATTCATGGTCGGCCTGAGCTGACTGAAAAGTCAGAAGAGCTGCTCCGAATGCGTCTTCGTCAAGCACAAATGAAGAAAATGTTAGGTAGTGTAAACGCTCCCTTTGTACAAAAACCATTTTATCAAAACCACACCAAGCTAGGATTTACCGTGACCAAACTAATCACGGAAAAATAAATGTACTAGCATAGATGCAATATTAAGAGTACCTTCCAAAGTCAATGATGAATGGCTACCCAAAGTACTCGGGTCTTAGGCCCTAGGGCCCACCGAATAAATCAAGCATTCTCTAACCAAGGCAAGGGTCCATTCTTCTCTCATGCTTGAGAGTCAATGGCTACAACACTGATAAGAAAAAAAAATGCTATGACAGCTATCACAATTTTTCAACTTATCGTCGATCCTGTTCAATTCTTCTCAGATAGAGAGTCCATCCTCTGTAACTGAATTAGAAAATATTTATGATAATGCGGTGCATCCTTGATTCACTGTGGCCCGTGTATGAACACCCATCATACACATGAATCACACGCATATGTGAAGGGACAACCTCGATTCATCTCATGAACTGATCAATACACAGCATTCACCATAAGTATGTAAGTCATTTAATTAAAACCACAGAATCTATTAATGATAACTGTCTATTACATTCCATTCACTTGCTATGTAGGGCACATAATCCCAACATTACAGTCATTAGGGTGCAAACAATTCCTTGGAGAGAAAACGCGGGGGGGCGGGGCGGGGCGGGGCGGGGTATGAGTACCAACTAGGAAAAAAAAAAAGCTTTGTTACTTCAAAGATTTCATAATAGTAGTTAACAGTCTGCATTGGCAAGCTGTGCCCTAAGAAGTCAGTCTATGCTTTTGATGAAGGGTTTGAAAATAAGGGTTGAGCTGAGTTCATGTTGGCTGATGAATGATCTGGACAGGGTAGCTTGAAGTTCTCATGAGATGAGCTGGTTGGTATTTACCAGCTTTACGAATAACAAAATTTACTAAATTTATGTGGTTTATAACTTCTGATTAACCCTTCAAAACTCTGCGCACATTCAGCAAAATGTAGGACTGTGGTTCTGTTGTATGTCATGACATGTTATAAATATATACATATTTTAAACGGCCAAGCTTAATGACATTTTCTGTTCTAATACCTTCTCAGTGACAATTAGTCTGATGTTTGAATTATGTCTCTGCTAGTAAACTGCATGTACTGGGAACAAAGATTTCCTCGGTTGTTGAGTACCAACCAGCTGCAAGATTTGATGAGGAAAGGATGCCCGCTTGTTGGAGTCTCTGATATAACTTGTGATATAGGAGGCTCAATAGAGTTCGTTAATTCAACTACATTAATTGACTCGCCTTTCTTCAGGTACTATATTGGTGGTTCACATTGAATCATGTCAATTTCAATAGCATATATTAGGATTTATCTCGTCTTTTGCCTTATTGATATTTTTTCTGTGATTTTTTTATTTTTTTTTATTTTTATAACCTCTGAACTCCAAGATGCACAGTTGTGTATCAGGATGTTTCAAGTGTTGTACCATCCTTGATAGCCTATGTATGAGCAGATTGTCCAAATTTTTATAAGGCTCAATTCATTACCCAGTGTTGCTTCTGCCAATATTGGGTGTTGGGAGAGTTGGAATGGTACAGATGTTAACTAAAGCTTTATTTGCACAACGTGGCTTCCATCATACTCAAACATGCATTCTCACATTCGACAGTGTGAGCTATACTACTATTGAACCAAGAGATGGCCCATCCTGATTTTTATATTAGAAGTTATCTTTTAGGCATTGCACAAGAAGGTTTTTCTTACTATGTATAGTGTTCGATCTCATGTATCTAACTGATGTTGGATTTCCTTAATTTAGCAATCTTCTTAAGACGCTTTATCAGGTCCTTGAGCAAATACTTATTAATATTGGCCCATTAGTTTTTCATCTTCAATACAATTTCTAACTACAATTTTTTTTGTGAACTTTTTTATTTATTATTGATAATCTGCTAAGTCATGGCTTCTAGATATGATCCATTCAGTGATTCATACCATCATGACATGGAGGATAAAGGTGTTATATGTTTAGCTGTTGACATTCTTCCAACTGAGTTTGCAAAAGAGGTGCAGTAAAATCATCCTTGCCTCTTTTTATCAAATAACTTTTATTTCCGGTGGGAAATATATCTAAGATATTGTAATACCTGAAATATGTACTTAGTGTTTCATCTAATACACAATTCAACTGTTGGAAAGGCTTCCCAACATTTTGGAGATATTCTCTCCCAATTTATTGGCAGTTTGGTCTCTATAAAAGACATTGAAGAATTACCTGCCCACTTGAGGAGAGCTTGTATAGCCCATGGAGGAGCGCTTACTTCTTTGTATGAATATATTCATCGAATGAGGAGCTCTGATTCAGAGTAAGTTGTTGATACTTTCTCACTTTCTTTGGTTTTTCATTCATAACTGTATGTTTTGTTAAGTTCTAGTGTTCTAAATAATTCAAGCTTTAAAATCCTTGGCGAAGAACACTGGATCAATGTCTCCTGAGTTGAAGCTTGTTTGCCAAAGAATTTTAAGCCTTTGATTTTCTTTGATTCTTTTTTCTTTTTTCTTTTACTTTTTCTTTTTTGTTAGGTACTTTAATTGATTAGATAGCTTGATCTAATTGTGATTTTTTTTTTTTTTTTTTGTAAAAGTGATATCATATTAAAATAAGATATAGTTTCGATGTGGAACTCGAAGCCCATCATATATTAGAATAGCAAGGTTTAAAGTAAACAGTAAAGAAGTTTTTGGATAGAGCATTCAAATATTATCATGGTATTTCAATTTAGTAGAGTGTTAGGTCATAGGACTTATGTTGGCATATTTGTGATCAAAGCTAGAGTCTGTAATCTTTTACATTTTGTTTTAGATAAATGTTTGAAGGTAGGTTAGTGTCAAATTAGTTACCTTTTGCCAGGGCAAAGTTGAAAATCAAGTTACAACCAGGGGTAAAATGGCAATCTTCAATGTCAAGGGTAAAAAGGTAATTTGACACTATATGCACTTACCAAATTAGGGTTTATTCATTCATACATTATGATTTCATTATTTCATGTTTTGATTTGGAAAAAGCCTAATTGAATTGCATAAAAGTTTTTTAGAAATTGGGAAGTCGAGATTTTTTAAGTATAGAAGACTATCACTGATCAATAGAAGGGCACTAGATGCATGTTGATCGATTGATTGAAATTTCCGAAAACTATTTTCCTTTTCAAACCAAAATTCTAAAACTCTAATCTTTACTTTATTTTGCTTAAAAAGGGGCTAGCCTAGTGCTCGAGACTCCTGTCATTAATGGGCTTGGGATTACACAGCCTTACCTTCGCATCTGGAGAGATTGTTTCTTGTTTTGAACTCATTAGCTCATCATCCTAGAAAACCTAAGATATACAACTGAGATATTTTTATTGTGAGTTTAGAGTGCATATATCTAGATAGTTTATTTTCATTCATCATTTTGCATTAGAATTGGTGGGTGATATAGATCCTGACAACTGCTCTAGAGATCAAAGAATTATTGAAGAAGCAAATTGCAGGATCTATTGACAAAACGGACCGTGTGCCTGGAGCTGTGTGTGAGAGTTTGGTGGTCAAGAGGTAACTAGGGATTCTAGAGTATTTGAATGGTTAACTAGGGATTCTATTGTGTTAATTTAAATTTTACTTAAATGGTAACTTAGATAAATTTATGTGGTTAAAATTAGTTGGAAGAACCATTAAGACTTATTCACCCCCCTCTAGGTAGGATTTTGGTCATTAACCCATCATAGAGAATAAACAAATGAGAAAAATAAAGCAAAGTTAGAAACAAAGTTCTCCCCATTAATTGAAGTTAGTTGTGGTGGTTGTTAGCTACCGGAATTCATGGCATGTGTTTGACCATTGGATTTATTAAATCCCAAAACCAAGAGGTAATGGCTAAATATTCATATTATATATTTTCTTTGTTCTTTCTGCAGTAAAATAACGTGTGTACATGTTTTGAAGCAAAAGGGCATAGTAAAAGAGTTTTATGTATAATTAATTTTGAATTACTTATTTTATATGTTTTAGGTGCATCTCACATTATCTCATACCGGTGTCCAAGTGTCATGTGCGTCTGTCGTGGGTACTTCGTGCATTTATGAAGAGTCCATGTGGTGAAGGCTGTGTCACATTTAGCACCAGAAATATGGCAGTAGTGGATTACTCTTGTTCTATTGTCCTTTCTGAGAGCATTACCATAGGGCTGACTGGTTTTAAGTTTTAATTTTTCATGGCTTATGGCTTATGGAATTTTCATGGCTTATGGTGATTTGTATAAGGGCCTCTTGCATTTATCAACTGAGGTGTTTGTCTAGCAGGTTTCATGGGCTAACCATGATTTATTGTAAATCTATCACAGTAAAAGCAAGATAACTCAACAAACCAGGGAACTAAAGTTTATGGTTAAAAGGGCTAGGTTTTTTTTACGTCATCTATATTTAGGCAAGAGTTTAAAGGATTTATGTTCTTACTCATGTTAGTGTTTACCTTACTTCTTTATTTATTATTGTTGTTTCATTACGTATCCTTGGTTGTTGGTGGCGTTTTATGATATTTAAAAATCTCTTGGTTAAAACGTTTGCAAATGTTCTTTTTGATTGTTCAAGAGTTAGTTTTGTTATAGTTATTGGGTTGTTTTACTTCACTTTAGGGCTTCAAATTTCCCTCGAATTGTTTGTTTCTTTATAAGTTGTCAAATCAGTTACTGAATATGTGTGATGTTGTGGCCTGAATTTTGTTCCGGTTTGTCACGCCCCCAAATTCAGACACAGGAATCCCTCCTAAATCTGGTGTGAGACACGCATATGACTTCCACACCATGCACAACAACATTAAATTAAATTAACACTCCATTAAACACTTTCAATAGTTCACAAGAAAGGCCAATTTGTTAACGAGAGTAAAACTCAAACATGAGAATATAAATAAGGCAAGGTCAATTTGCTGAGCAATGATAGTGCTTAGCAATACTCTTGTTGAGCTTGTGAGCTCACGTTATTATTCATTTTTCAGGTTTCCATTAATGGAGTCACGTGATGGAGATGTGTTGGAGATTTTTACTATTATGTTTGTAGTTACTTTTGTTCTTCCTAGCTAATACTCGTGTAATGAGGACGATATTTTGATGGCGTTTGTATGGATGTTCTTGATATTATAACTGATGTATTCATAGTGACATGGTGGTGGGATTCTGCATAGATGGTGTAGATTTTGTGAACACATGTGAACTATTGAAAATGTTGGATGGAGTGGTAATTATTTTTAATGTTGTTGTGCATGGTGTGGATTTCATATGCGTGTCTCGCACCAGATTTAGGTATGGGACAAGAGTTTTCTGTGTCTGAATTTGGTGGGGTGACATGGCTCGCGTCGTGTTGCAACCCGTTTTTTACCCGAAAAATTTTACGACTCGTTTTTTTTGCTTGCGGATCATGGCCCCTGTTTAGAACTCTCTTGTATTCCAGTATATAAAGGCGTTTAGGGTTTGGAGTGGGGAACAAGATAACACTAAAAATTGCATGAAAGTGAGGAGATAGTGAGAGCTAGGGTTATGGGGGCTGAAACTTGTAATCTCTTGATTGTCGCATAAATCTTTTGCTGGATCTTCATCGTGGATGTAGCCCAGATTTTGGGTGAACCACATAAATCTTTGTGTGTGCCGTGTTTACTTTTATGTTGTGATTCTTGTTTTGTTCTTGGTTCGTCGTGTTTATTGTAACAATACGCCTATGTTTTACCTTAATTATTGATCATGAATTTACCTTTCCTAATTTGCAGAGATTTATCAGAAGATCTTCTAGATAGCCGCTCTAATAAGAAGAAGTACAACATATTGGTATGTTTTTCATTATGAAACACATTCTAAGGTTTTAATTCTCCTTAAATACCTACTACCAATGTGTAAAATTACAATAGTACTCAAAGTTTCAAACTAATATTATACAAATTATGTTCGATTATTGGCCCATAATTGTTATTCTCATTGTTGTTCATTACCCCCATTCTACATTAATGTTCTTGTTTTAAAACTGACAGGTGTCCTTGAGTGGTCATTTGTTTGATCAATTTCTGATAAATGAGGCTTTGGATATTATTGAAGCAGCAGGGGGCTCCTTTCACTCGGTTAAGTGTCAAGTGGGTCAAAGTTCAGATGCTATGTCTTATTCAGAACTGGAAGTAAGTAAACCTCTAGCCCAGTATGATTTTTGTAAGACGAAAAGATATTCATCACACACATATACACAACTATCCACATCATATATATGAAATAATACGCTTCATAGAAATTATATTATGACACCTTGTAAACATCCAAGTTGATATTTAAGTTGCTACATTATAAACTGTGATCAGGGGAAATTTTCTTTGGAAAGATATTGTTTCAATTCAAACTTACTGGAAGGAACTTTGAATTTGAAATTATCTCAAGGTTCTGTTTAAATATCCTAACAAAAACTTTCTCATTTCATGTGGATATATATAAATTATAAAGTGTGATAGGTGAAATTTTTAAGTGAAGTCATGACTGCCTCCAATCTTGTCTTTTTGTAATGCATGTTCCATATAAATGTTAGCAAAAGAATATACAATCAGGTTACCTTGAATTTTCTCAAGAGTCAAAGATTTAGAGAGAACTAATGTAAGTTTATTTAGATAAATATAAATACAGAAGCATTAATGCTAAGCAAATTTTTTATGTTTATTTTTCCATCTAAATCAATAGTGGCTTATAAGTTATCACATTATATTGAATTATATATATTTTGCCTTCTTAAGTGATTCTTTTGGATGATTAGTATTAAGCTATGAAGCACGGACACGGACACTATATCTGCAGATCAATGTTAAAGATGTCCCTTGGGCTTCACTCATCTCATTTCTAGCAATAGAGAATCTGTTGCATCTTTCTAAAAGAGAGCCTGTGTAAGGAGAGGGGTCGTTTTGACAAGCAGTGGCAGATGACGTGGCAGTACGAAAAATGCCATTCTATCTTCTCAGGGGATAAGAGCAGCGACCACTAGGCATAAGACAGGGCGAGGCTCACCGGTCAGGATAGGATAGATGGCCACTAAAGTTCAAATAGAACTCAAATAGATAAGCTGAAGGAAGTGTGAAAGGGTACACGGGTACGACACGGACACTGCGATACAGTAAATCTCAAAAAACAAGGACACGGACACGGCAAGGATACGGCAATAAAATAATTATATAATTTATTTTTATATAAATAAAATTATTTTTTATTGAATTTCTTTTATCTATATATGCATAAACATAATATACTTAAATTAAACCCACCACACATTTTGTATTTCTATTAAAAATATAAATGTACAGAAGTCCAAATCAACAAAGGATACCGTTATACCCAAAAGTCTGTCTAATTCTTGTAACCAAACAAGCACTAAAAGAAAAAAGATTGTGTATCTCTCTTTCATTGACACGTAGGTCCACCTTTTCGTAGTTCCCAACCTTTCATCCGTTATCTCTATCTCTTTCTCATCCCTCCATTAAGAAAATTTCAAAGGTCCTTCTTCCTCAACTCTATCCCATCTTTCTACCTCACAGGACCTTACTGATCAAGACCCTCTCGTCGTCGTGCCGATTCACCAAGTGCCCAGCCTTAGGTTGAGTGATCATCTCTGAATCAACTCATCAGATCAAGTCAAGACGAATGACCCCTGAATAGTTTGAGCGAAGATTGTATTCTATTACGTATATATGTTTGTATTGTATCAGTTTTTAGTTTGTATTATGATTTGTATTTGGGTAAATTACACTCAGACCTCCTGAGGTTAGGTCATTTTACAGGTAGATTAACATTTTGGTTTTAGATTTCACTTATATTTGAATTAGTGATTTAACATTTCACTTACACCCCAAATGCCAATTTTTGGTAGGGCCATAGTACTTTTGAGGTGTTAAATGGCTGTGCTACCCTTTGGCAATTTTTGTGACCAAACTACCCTAACATACTCATTCCTATTCCTCGTACCATCGTCATCTCCAATTGCTGTTCCACCACCACTACACACATATATATCTATATACATATATAAAACAGCCAAACATATATATATATATATATATATATATATATATATATATATATATACACACAAAATTACACATATATATGTATATAGGTATATGCACGTACAAAACAGCCAAACTAAAATTGTGATGGGTCTATCAGATCCTTTCTTTCGTTCTTGTTCCTAATTAAAAAAATTTCATTTTTAAAGAGAGAGAGCTAGGTGGTGGATGAATTGAGTGGGGTGGAGGAACGATCTAGTGAGAGAAACAATGAGGTGAGAGAAACTAGTGACAGAATGAGAAGTTCTGATCCAAACCCTACCTACAGAGACTCCAACACTCCTCCTTCCAACGACTGTTGTCTAATCTGTTTCGACGCCTTCATTGTTCCTACCCGAGCTGACTGTGGCCACTGATACTGCGGTGAGATTTCAATACCAATTAAAACTCCTGATCCTTTTTGTTTCATCTCTCGGAATGGCGGCTGTGGCGGCAACACCAACTTAGCAGCGGAAGAAGCAAGGTGGTTCACAGCGGTGACGGCAGCAAGGTTTAGGAAGCGGTGTCATTTGGAGAATCAGCTCGATCCGAAGTTCACACTACAACACCGATCGCCAATGGTCACAACATCCAATTTTCCGAAAAAGATGTTTACAAAGGTCAATCAATTAAAGAAAAAAAAAGGCCCTTTCTTCCAACCACTTGGTTCTGACTCTATTTGGATTTACCTCTTCCCTCCACTACTGGGTTTGCTTTCTGCTTTCAAGCATGAGTTTGCTGCTAGAGCACTCTGGCTTTCGCCTCTGTTTGCCTAAAGTCTTTGGTAGTGATAGAGGTGTTGGGTGGGGGTGGGGGTGGTGGTGATGGGTGGGGCGGTGGAGGTGTTGGGTGATAGGTGGTGGTGATGGAGGTGTTGGGTGGTGGCGGTGGAGGTGTTGGGTGATGGGTGGTGGTGATGGAGGTGTTGGGTGGTGGGTGGTGGTGATAGAGGTGTTGGGTGGGGGCGGTGGAGGTGTTGGGTGATGGGTTGGGGTGATGGAGGTGTTGGGTGGGGGCGGTGGAGGTGGAGGTGTTGGGTGATGGGTGGTGGTGATCTCTCTGCCAATTCTCGGCAAAAGAAGACAATTTGCAAAGAGCGGCAACGAGGTGAGGGAGTCGGTGGCAGAGAGGGGTGTTGGGTTTATGATTTCATTTTGTGTGTTTTAGATGCAGAGGGGTAATTTTGTATTTTAGAATTATAGATTTTTTTTGTATTAAATTGTATTAAAAAATTAAGGGTAAAAGGGTCTATTCACATGTGTCAGAGCCCAAAAAGCAAATTGGGGTGTAAGTGAAAGTTAAAACCAAAATCTTCATATAGGTGAAAAATGACCTAATCTCAAGGGGTGTCAGTGAAATTAAACCTTTGTATTTGATTCTTATGACTTTTCTTTGTTTATTATATATAGAGAACAGGTATACCCACACATACACACACACATATAATCTTTTCCCCTCTGCCTTTGTTTTCAAAGGAAAAACTCGATCAGACTAAGAGGTGTGCCGGCTTCCGACGTGTCTGGACGTATCCCTCGGCGTGTCTGATTCAGAAAAATAAAATAAAAAAATCGGACACCTCTATCAAGTCTCGGACACGTGTTCGACACTGGTACGCTGCATCAATACAATGTGTCGGTGCTTCATAGGTATTAAGTAATACTGAAATGCTGGTTGTATCTAACTCTGCAAATTTAACCAGTTCGTACTCCAGTTAGCTTGTCTGGATTCTTTCCATGTCAATGCATAAATATTTCTACGCAGTATCCATATCTGCCAACTAATGTTTCTGCTTTTTTCAAACTTTCTTGCAAATAATGTGTTTGTTTTTCTGAGCAGAGAGAGAGGGGGAGAGATTTATGAGAGAGAAAGATAGACCATGATGCATCTGATTTCTTCCCTTTTTACGAATAAAATACTGTATAGTAGAGAAAATAAAGGGGAAGGCCCAGTGCATGCTAAGTAAACATCGACCTTACAAGCTCAAACGGAGTTATAATTATCTAGAAGATTCGAAGGATATTTTTAAGATCATAATTCTTAAGGGGCATGGATGCATATATTCATTTTTTTTATGCTACGAGTCCTTATTTCCTCCATGTTTCTAAGGATTCAAGGGAATTGGACACTCCCGGAACGCATATACCAAAAACTAGAGTAGCGAGGGAACGTCTTACTACAGATAGTTATCAGCTGAATCGCCATTTGCTACTCGGACTTGGGTCTATTTCTTGGTCAGGTATAATATATGCTAAAAGTGGTATCATATAAATGCTAGTGTGGGGTCTCTTTCTCTCGTCTCCGCCCACAATTGCGTTTAGAATTAGAAGTTTGTTGTGAGGAAATTAATCAAATTATTTGCAGAAACAATTTAATGAAATAATACACATACCGACTTATTATGGAGATAAAGATCCTTGATTAATCTATTCCTCAATTTCTCCAATCATCCTCAAGGACAACTATAAATTGTTTGTGAGGGCAATTTCATGTTGCCTGCAATTATCGTGCAGCATATGTAACACACAATAAATTAGCTACTTCATATTTCTTTTTTATCAGTGTCTGACTTATGTTTAATTACGATTTACTTGTTTGTAATCAAACCAAGATCCTTGGGTTTGTTCCTTATCATAGGTTATTGATTGTTTTCGACAGGTTGGGGCAGATGATAGCTCAGTTCTGGATCAAATTGTTGATTCTTTATCTTCTCTCGCTTATCCAAGTGAAAATAATGGATATCTAAGCAAAAAGGGAAATGTGATATCAATGAAGGTTGGTAAAGTCCCTGAGAGTGATACTACAAAAGGATGTGATGCAAAAAAGAAAAATGTGGTTCTAATTCTTGGTGCGGGTCGGGTCTGTAGACCAGCTGCTGAACTCTTGGCATCAATTGGAAGCATTTCATCTAGAAAAGGGTTGAAAACATGCATGGGAGATGAATTTGAAGAGCAGAATGATGTTCACGTCATTGTTGCATCTCTTTATATAGAGGATGCAGAAGAGGTACACTAGACCATATTAATCAAGAAATCTCATACTTACACTAACTCTATCTTCATGAAGTTCTTAGAATATGCATCCTTTCTGATATTTCATTATAGACAGGTCAACTCTCGTCCATGCATTCATATATTGGTCATTGTTCGTATAGGTCTGACATTGGTCATTGTCACGTCTTGGTTCTTGGAAACACAGAAACTTGTTGGACTTGTCCATAAATTTTTATTAGAAAAATCATAAATGCATTTACTTTTCAAACTATGGATGCCTATGTAGCACAAACCTTTTTAATGGAGAGCCTTCTCCGAAACTCTTGGAAATAGGTGATCAATGACCCGAAGTGTCTGACCTTTCTTTGGAAAGAAAAATTGAGTCATTTGCAAGTCAAACATGCAGCAGGCACTCTTTATTATAGGCAAAATAATGCAATTGCTTATAGTATGTTTGATAAGAGATTGGTAGTGGTATACATCATATGATTATGTATATGATGCTTCTATATTGTCATTATCAACATTATGCAAATGTTAACAGAAATTCTGGAAAATAATCGGAGTTATGTGATTTTCTAGTATAACAAAATTTTATTTTTATTTATGCATTACCATGTCTGTCTGACTTTTTGTAGGATTTGCCACGGTGTTATATTCATGTTGTGTCCTGCAGTGTTTGTACTTTGTGCTTCTGTATATGTTACCTAGTAGGTAGGGAAACAATCAAATATTGAAAAATATATGAAAATCATAAGAGTATAAATCCTTTTTGGAATTACTGTGTGAGGTAATTCAATATAAAGTTGACAAAAGGTAACTAATAGCATATTCGGTTAAAAAAAATCAATTCTTTTGTCTTTCAATAGATTGAAATAGAATTTTTAGTCGAATTTATATGATAATAATAACAATAATGTTAGTAATGTATTCTTAAATATTTTTGTATGTACACACGCACTTGAATATAATAGCTATATGTGCCTTTGTAGCACTGACCATTGCATAGTTACATATAATTAATTACTAACCCATCAACCCTGCATTTGTCTATTTTCACCACATTCAAAATTTTAGTTCTTAAAATGACACGCACAAATCGAGAAATGGTCCAAATTTTTTATTTATCAAAAAAAATAAAATTTAATTCTTAAAATAAATTTGATGCAGATAATTGAAGGCATTGCAAATGCAACAGCAGTTCAGCTTGATATAACAGATCATAAAAGTCTCTACAAGTATATTTCAGAGGTAGACGTGGTCCTTCTACTGCATTTATCTTTCTTTCTTCTTTTATAGTTAACGTGGTGTATTTAAATTTGCTAAATGTATCAGCAGTTGCTTGCACTAATGCTTTAGACAATTGCTGCGTAAAAATCCTCGATGGCAAACGAAAAATCAAATAGCCGTATCTTATTATTACTTCATGATTAAATTTTTTTTCTTGGGTCTCAATGGGATGGTGTTTGATGTCAGGTGACCTTGACCACGGTCTTAAATTCTCCATGTAATTTTTTGGCTTTGTGCAGGTTGAGGTTGTTATCAGTTTACTGCCTCCTCCTTGCCACAGTAGCATAGCAAATGCTTGTATTGAGGTATTTCACACTTCATCAATAGTACTATCAGTAATTCACTATCGTTGCAACCAAAGACTAATATTACCAATAATGTCAAACACAAGTAATAGTAACTAGTAATGGAATAGGTTCCAAGAAATCTTTTGACTTATTACTGACAACAAATTCTACTTGAATGCGCGTGCAATTTTGTGTTCGAAGAGCTCTCTACTTAAATTTTCCCTTGGTTTTGAGGAACTCCCTTGTGCATGTCTTTCTATATAAGCATGTAAATTCTTCCCATTTCTTCTTGGCTAATAGTCATCCATCCGCCAACTTTAAAAATGTAGACTGCCTCTCCTAGAAATCAGTGGTAATCCATAGGAACAGTAATATGTATCAATATTACCCGCTTCAAAGCTCAATGGGGAGAAATCAAGATACTCAGTGGAAGATCTAGAATATATGTATTACTGACATTGATAACTTATAAGCCAACTTACTCTAGGTAACTTTTCAAGAACACTGTCTTCTTTCTTCTCTCAACATCTTATCAACTAACAAAAGGGTCATACTGGTCATGTTGTCACTTGTTTGAAGCTTTCTTGCATAACTTCCAAAAACAGTTCATTTTTCTCTCTTCTTAAACACTGTAAGAATTTGCAATGGAGAATCACTTATCTGAAGTTCCATGTACTTGGAGTAACTGATTTTAGGGTATCAGAACTTCTCCTTGCACTTCCATATTATGGTGGGCATAATTTCAGCTTCAGCAATTCCCCCCTCCCCCCAGAATAAGGTGCAAGAATTCATGATGAGACACGGGACGGGTTATACCTGAAGTTTCAGGTTTCTGGACAATCAATGAAATTTTTGGTTGGAGTACATTAGGTCTCTATGGATCAGAAAATTGAGGATATTGTTCTCTAAAACACTACATTGAAATGCAATAGTGTGAGTGATTTCTAAAATGATAAAGGGTAATAGCATGTTTAAAGAAAAGACCTGATAAGGAGATGCGTCTTTGGAAAGAAAGGCAATGTACTTGAATGTAGGAATAATAGACAGAGACTTACTTGAACTATCATGATAATGTTTAGTAGTGACAGCACTAGATGTATGGTAATCTATTACATAAAATATTCTAAAAATGAATATTAAAATTTAAATGTTACTAAGATTTGTTAATTCTTGAGTGCCTTTCTTACTATCTACGTTCTATAGAAATGCAATGATCCTTGTCTTTTGATGCAGCTAAAAAAACATCTAATAACTGCTAGCTATGTTGATGAATCCATGTCAAAGCTAGATGAAGCAGCCAAAAATGCTGGTATTACGATTCTTGGAGAGATGGGCCTGGACCCTGGAATAGGTAATTTTTATCGTAAGAAATTTTGCTGTGGTATAAATAAGTCTTTAAAATTACAAGCATTACGTCGATTTGTCTACTTCTGTTTGAACATTGTTACTTGTGAACAGAAAAAGGAGAGATTATTTAAAAATTACAAGCATTATGTGGATTTATTTCTGTTTGAAGATTGTTACTTGTGTGTGGGGAAGGGGGAGATCCCAACATTTGCTTTGACAACTTTTTTAGAATCAAATGACAGCTCTATTTCCTTATCCTTACAGAGACATGAAATAAGAATGAAATGATGGAGATCTGTGTCTGGATTCTATTGAAAATTTGAATTTGTTTTGTTTGAAGTCAGTTACTCATCTATTACAATGAAAATATGAATCTTTAACTATGAAGTTGGAAGAACAGAATCATGTTCATGGAACAAACTCTACATAATGAAGGTCTCTCTCTTTCTGCTATTCTATTGCCCTCTTTTTGTTCTTTATGATGTTGATTTATGCATTATTGACTCCTTTCTATAGAATACCTGCATGACTATTTCCCTTTGTGAGTCTGACACATACAAGATTTCTACTTTTTAATATTCTATCACTGCTTTTCCCAAATTAACATAAGCCATGCAAAGACTTATATTTTTTCATATGATTTTCTATCAGCTGTTAAGTATTTAGAGCCTCAATGTTGGTCTTTCAGTCATAAAGCTAAACCTGTACATTGTCACTTTTGTTTCTTGCCAAAATATATACTCAATGGCCTCCAAATTAAAGTTGACTCATAAATTTATTGACTCAATAATTGTTGGTGTATGCACTTCAACTTTTACCACCAAGCATTGGCCCTAGCCCTATTGTTGTTATATGTTCTCCTTTCTAGAAAAAAAAAAATTGCAATTTAAATAATAAACATGTCTCTGTTTATCTGTCATGCCATAAACCTATTTCGATAAATTTTTAATTCAACTAATAAGGCATCCAATAAATTCGATATATTTGTGCATATGCTGAAGTCTACCCCTAATTTTCTGAGTTGAGTCGGTGTCAATCAAGCTTTAGTGTACTACCAATATGAGTTGCCAATTTTATGATAGTTGTTTGAACTACAATATGCAATACTGAAGTTTATCTGTTATAATTGCTCCTACATTTGCTAATACACGAAGTATTTGAATAGCTCTTAAGTCCTAACCATAAATGTATCTTGTCCATATTGTTCAAGTAAATGGGTACATGCTTCAATCCAGCATTTTAGAAAAGAAACTACAATGTAACGTCATTATCAGAACATTGTTGTGATCAATAGTATCCACTGGATGCTTCAGATCATATGATGGCAATGAAGATGATCAACCAAGCTCATGGCCGTGGTGGGAAAATCAAGTCTTTCATTTCTCACTGTGGAGGTCTCCCATCCCCAGCAGCTGCAAATAACCCTTTGGCTTATAAGTTCAGGTACATCTTGGAACTCCAATAATTTTGGCTTTCTCCCAACTTAAGAGATAATAATGTGGTTTATATATTTAATTAATGTGGAATCATGTCCCATGGATACTCCTCGATAAGATTCACCAATGTGTGTAGCTTTTGCTTGAAGGAAATGGATATAAAAGCAAATATTCAAAAATAAATTAAATGCTGTGCTGAGCTGGGTAGTTCTTTTAAAGCCCTCAGTCAAAGTGTTTTAATTATATATGTACAACGATCACCCTCATCTCATGCTAAGATTGGTTGTACAAAAACACAGTTAATTTGTGACTCAAGACTAACATGAACTGTACATAAATATTTAATGGTTTCCCAGAAATTCAAGTTTTCTTTGGTTTTATAGCAAAAATACTTTCTTATGATCTTCAGCTATCCAGAGAAAAAGTTAACTCCATTGTTACGGTCATCTACTCTGGTTTTTGTTGTTCTCTATTTCCTTTATATGCATCTGCACTTTGGCTGCAAAATCCTGCGGTGGCAGATATCAGTATGAATTTATCTTTTATGAGCATTACCTTCTGTTCTCTTGAGCTTCAAGCTGATTACTGTTTTGAGACAGCAGAATCAAGATGACAGATACTGTCTACAATGAAAATTTTATTTCAGTTGGAGTCCAGCGGGAGCTATTCGAGCAGGGCGCAATCCGGCCACCTACTTGTCTCACGGAAATACTGTATCTGTTGATGGTGAGTTGATTAGGGGTTTAACTAATCCAAGAAAGGGGATGTGTTTGTGCAACTGTTATCTTATGCATTATGCCGTGATGTGTCATTTAATATATATTCTTCATTTATTTGTTTATCTTGGTTTCCCCTAAAATCTAGATGGTAATTCAGTTGAGCGGTTCTATATTATTCTCGCACTAGAAGAAAATATTAAGTTTCCTATTCTCTGCAGGTCAAACATTTAGCTTCTAACATGTCATCAGATTATCATACTCATATTTAAGACTTCTTGTGGTTGTCTATCCTTTAATACTTGTATTATGGTTCAAACTTGCAGGAGACAGTCTCTATGATTCAGGCGCGAAATTCCGGATACCCAACCTTCCAGCTTTTGCGCTGGAATATATTCCAAATCGTAATTCTTTAGTTTACGGGGACCTCTATGGAATAGGAAATGAAGCATCGACCATCTTTCGTGGAACCCTACGTTATGAAGGCATGATATGGATGGACCTTAAATGATGTTATTCTAATGCTAAGGTTTAATAACTATAATTGACATAACTGTCAAAAGCAGGTTGCATTGAGAAGGTAGTTGGGATTCTTGTTAAAGCTTAGAAAACCCAAACAAGAAATAAAGTAATGTAAATGGTGGTCTAAAAATGAAAAATGTGTACGCGGTACAGGAAATCCTCAATAATAACTGGAACTTTAACAGGATGTACTTTATGGAACTTATGCTTAATATTTTGTGCAGGGTTTGGTAAAATAATGGGGACGCTGGCAAGAATTGGTTTCTTTAGTACAGAACCTCATCCGGTACTTGAAAATGTAAAAAGACCAACTTATGGAACATTCTTGCTTGAACTTCTCAAAATTCAAAGTGAGAAGTTGGCTGGATCCATGATGGAAGAGAAGGACATCACAGACAGGATTGTTTCACTGGGACTTTGCAAAGAGCAAGAAACCGCAATGAAGACAGCCAAAACTATTGTGTAAGTTAATAAGAAATTTTTGTATGGTAATCCGCTGCAGATAATGAACGTTCGGCTACTGAAGGCCCATTATATATGTACTTTTAATCTATTTGTTAACTATTATATTGTTACTTTTAATGCTCAAATAATGTAATTTTTGGTTGTTAATATTCCTGTTTTGTGTTGAATTAGATTTTTGGGATTTCATGAGCTGACAGAAATCCCTTTATCCTGCAAAAGTGCATTTGATGTTGCCTGCCTACGAATGGAGGAAAGGTTAGCTTACTCCAGCACAGAACAGGTGATTTTCTAACCCCTACGTTATTCAAAAGCTTTGAATCATTTGCATTCTTCTTTCCAGGTTTAATTCGCCCATTTAGTGTGTTTGTACCAGCGTACTTTTTAATGTGACCATCCGAAAGTATTCATTTTATTTGTGATACGTAATGTTAATAGCTACAACTGGCTTCGCGGGGGTGGGTAACTCATGCTTTGTACAACATTACTCGTTTTTTAGAGGAAATTCTTCCTACAACAATGCGGCTCTGAACTACATATACTGTATCCTAATTGTGTTTTATGATAATTGCATTTTGGCATGCCATCGGAAGGGCACCTTTATTGTCCTTGAACCAGCATATTTCAGCAATTGCATCTTAAAAAGGAAAAAAAAAGAAAAGAAATATAAAATGGAACATGGTCGAGTACCTTTCTGGCACCCTGTTATTGTTTTTCATTATCCAACTAGTGTGCTTTGTGGTCAGGATATGGTGCTTATGTACCATGAAGTAGAGGTTGATTTCCCGGATGGCCGACCTACAGAAAATCATCAAGCCACTCTTCTGGAATTTGGGAGTACGAAGAATGGAAAAACCACCACAGCCATGGCTTTTACTGTAGGGATTCCAGTTGCTATTGGAGCTCTGGTATCTTCTTGTTTCACATCTGTGTTCTCCAATCCAAAAGTTGAATGATTTTTGGAACCATATTTATGTTATTTCAATTTGTCTCAGCTTGTGCTTGCAAACAAGATCACTACAAAGGGCGTCTTGAGGCCCATTTATCCTGAAGTTTATCTGCCAGGTAACAACATTTTACTCATTTGGTTTTGGTTTTAGTGTTGGACAACAGATGATTATCTAATATTGAAATCTCAAGCCTCCACTTGTTTGAAGGATGGTCTTTACATGGCCTTAAGTTGGTTGAACCTAGTTCACCCATCTTTCCCACCCTTGTGTTTATAACGGTGACCTCTTTAGGTTGTCGTTCTTCCAACTACATGATATACATACAATTAACACGTCTGTATGCTGTGTCTGGTGAAAATTACTAGTTTTGTTGATTATTTCTGGGACTTCTAGGTATATCATTCATTGAATGGCAAGCCATTCTAGACATCTGTCAAGTGTTTTATAATGTTATTACTGGTATATACATACTCTCTGCATGTGTGTACCTTTAGCTTCACTTTATGTCGTGACTATTTACTATGTGTCTGGTTTTGCAGCACTAGATATTTTACAAGCTTGTGGTATCAAGTTGGTGGAGAAGATCGAGTGACTTGAATTATTCAGTATATCCCTAATTCTTTCTGTAAATGCTGGTTTCAGACCCCTGCCATATTCTAAAACCATAATCAGATCATAATAATACTTTTGTGGTTTATTGCATGCTTTATTTTTTACTGTATTTTTTATTTTTATCACAAAGTTACAATTGAAAATGTGGAGCCACAAAATCATTACTTTATTCACTGGTCTGAGAGGAAAGAGGATTTTAGAAGTACGACTCACCATCCTTCCAAACCTCTATAAAACTTTTGCAACTTATCACCAAAAAAAAATTAAAATAAATAAATAAAACTTTTGGAACATTTGAATTTCCTAGTGAGAGACTATCATGTTTTTTTGAATATTTTCAAGGTCAGGGCTGGCTTTGGCCCGACTAAGGCTATCGCCTATGGCCTCAGAATGTAAGGAGCCTCCAACCAGATGTAGCAAATCAAAATTTATAAGCCCATGAATGTTAGGCCACCAAAAAAAAAAATTTATAACCGCAGCAAAAGGCCTCAAGAATGATGGGCTACCAAAAAAACAAAAGTGTCTCACCAAATGCAGCAAAAAGGGGCCTCAAAAATAAAATAAAAAAATTAGGGCAAGCATATCACTTGAACAATTGAACCTCCTCCATCCAAATCCAAATTCTCGTTCTCTCTCTAGTCTCTCTCTCTCTCCTCTGCGAGAGCAGCAAGATTGCAAAGGTAAAAATTTAAAGTTCAAAACTCAATTCCTTGGGTCTCGCTCTCTATGACTCTGTCCTCTCAGTTCCAGTGGCAGATCCAAAGGGGGGCTTGGGTGGGTTTGAGCCCCACCCCACCTAAAATTTTTTTTTTTTTTTTTTTAAAGTATAGATATATTTAGCCCAATGTTTTGCGATGTGGGTGAAAACCAAATATTATTTACAGTTTGACATTTATGTTTTGCCTTTAATACATCTAGACCCCCCACATTTGCAAAATTTTATTTGGACACCTGTCAGACATTGTTGATTAACACTGTTAACAGAAGTATTGCATTTACTATTTTACCCTCCAAAACCTAGATTTCTTGGACCCATCATCATTCATTGATTTGACTTTTTCAAGTACTTTTCCTGCTTTCAATTGTAAAAGAATAACAAAACAATTGTAGAAATGCAAATGCAAACCAAACATGTTTTCAATACACTCGCTTTTGCTTTCGGATCAAATGGTGCATTTATTGTCTCTAGTGAATTCCATAAAAACAATCCCAATATGCATAACAAACATTAACTTACGAGTTTGAAAATGAACATAGCACCAAAATTTGAGAGAACAGACCCCTTAAGCTCATCTTCTACAGCATATGCATTCAGGGAGTGAGGCCTGTTTGATGGCACTAATAATACCAGCAAAAGCGTCAGTTTAGACGCCCTGAAAATATCACATTTGATGTACTTTGTGCAAAAGTCATCACAGTTTTGCATCAAAGTAATTTACACGGTAAAGCTTTAATTTTCATTCCAACAGTGGTGTTATGAATTCCATATTCGAAGTTGCGATGTGATTTACTCATTAAAAAGAGAATAGATGGGAACTATTATATGTCCAAGGTCCAATATTGAAGTTGTCATTTTCATTCCATTTTCCAGTAAAGAGAAGATAAAGTCTATCATGTATAAGAATGTTAATATTACATCTTGAATTCATATTTGTTAGGCCTAGTTTAATTGGAGAGAAATGGAAAGAAAAGGAACTAAGTAAAAAAATAAAAATAAAGGAGGAAAATAATATATTGTGTTTGGTATAAATTTAAAAATAAAGAAAATGGAGTTATTTGAGGGAGATACTGAGAAATGGAAAGAAAAGGAACAAAGTAAAAAAATAAAAATAAAGGAGGAAAATAATATATTGTGTTTGGTATAAATTTTTAATTAGAAATAAAGAAAATGGAGTTATTTGAGGGAGATACTGTTAAATGAGTGGTTATATATAGAGCCAATATGACCTTGGAAACTGAAGGAATGAGGAGAGAAACTGATAAATGAAAATGGTGGACAAACTGGGTATTATAAATGATTTTTCTTTTTACGATATCAGCAACAGACATCTTCTAACCGTCACATGAAGGGAAATGTTATGTGTTTGTAAAAGGAACTACTAAAGGCAAAACACATGCTCAAATTGTATTTTAAGCTATATTATTTCGGACTATATTTAGGTCTTTATTAATGAGGATCTACAATATACTGACTATTATTTAAGTCCTCATTAGTGAGGATCTAAAATATACTGACTATTGATGTAAATACTAAATTATCAAATCAAATATAGTAATTTGATTACCACCAATAATCTATCCATTTATTATTAGTTCACATCAATTATCATTATATATGAGAACCTACTATTGCTCATTTATTTCCATGTATTGACAGTTTATTTCCTATATTTTAGTCGGGAAGTACTAAAAAGATGAGAACTTGAAAAGAAGGAATGATTATTTACGAGTCTTTTATATTTTTGCAACGACTTGCTTAAGTTACAAAATGCCCCTCCAAGAATCGAATCCACCGTCTTTCAATTAAATTCAACACCAAAAATCCATATAAATTTGGGGGGGAATAAAAAAAAAGGAAAATCAAATTTCATTGCGAAATTACATTACAAAAACAAAGCTCTAACTAACAAAACCAAGATACCAAATTCAATTCCAATAGGTACCAATTTGTCTTGAGCAGTAAATTTACAAGATATTTGCAACCAAAACAAAAAGGATTTTGTAATAAGAGCAAGTTTGTAATCGTAAAATGAAATTAACTTCATAATCAAGAAGGTTCTTGTCACAATTTGACAATCCCATGGTTTCCCCTTATGGGAAACAAAAAGGAGAAAAAGAAAAAAAGGTGGAACAAACGGATGTCAGAAAATAAAATAGTAGAACAATGTAAGCTTTTGCTTTCGTATTCCTAACACTGCAAAATCCTATATAGCTGGTCTCCTTCGAGCTGCTTCCTGAAAAGACCACAATGTGTATTACATACTTTCAGCATTATGTCTGCTTTAATGGGTAGAAAAAATCAGTTTCTGGATATTGGTGGTGTCTGATGAATCTAGTTATGGGATGAATTTTTCATGAAACTATCCATGATGCTAATTGATGCTCCACTTCTTCCCAGTTATGAACCTTAGTGACCAGGGGATTTTGATCAACAGAATCTGTCTTGCACCAAGGATATGAGTTCTCATAATCAAAAAGTAGAACCTTAATTCCAACCTCGGCACACTCGATGGCATATCTTGGGTTATCGTCAATCAAAACTTTTGCTCCCAAGGACCTGCCAGAAATAGATCAGCAGGGCAACGCCTGTCATGTTTGAGTAATGATGGTAATCATGTCCAGTAATGTCCAAAATAAGTTGGGTGCATTAGAATTCTGATTGTTCCACAGTAATAACGTTCAGTGTGTTTAAAATGCATTAGGTGCATTACATACTGATGGGCTGCACAAATGACAAGCAGAAATGCACAAGGACAAATAGGATAGAGTGTATTTAAAATCCCCAACCTAATTTTGGAAGTCTGATCCGAATCAATTATCAGAACAAGATATGGCATGCAATATATTTGGAGCCGTAAAAGCATCCAAACAAAAATTGATAAAAGATCACAGGCATTACCTGCAAATGTCTGATTTAGGTCTAGACTGTCCGTCTAAAGCAAAGTGATTGCCAAAGTGAATCTCTTGAAACAGTCCCGGATAATGCTTCTCAATCCACTCAAGTGTGTGGTCTTTGATTGCATTCTGCCGGGACCTATAAAAAAAAAGGGGTAGAAGAATTGCCTGATCAATTATTCAGTGTACAGGTTAAATAAATATGTAAATTCAGAACATGTATAGCTAAGTATACGTACGTCACTATTGATAAATTACAAAATCTTGATAACTTTTGAAGAGCCTGCCGTGCACCAGGAATAGGATGGATCCCCGTCTTGAAATAAGATGTCTTAAAGAATTCATGAACACGGATATCAGCTGTCACAAGAAGAATTGCAAAGTATTGATCCAATCCATTATTCACATCCACAGAATAGTTGTATTGTGTGTGCTAGTAGCATATTGATAGCTAAATAGGATTGTCTTGTAATGGAGATATATCTAGGTATACGAAATATAAGAATCAACAATCTGCATTACATACAACTGCTACCCAAAAAGACAAGTCATCCCAATGCCAAAACAAATTTCTTTAGTAGCGATACATCTCCACAATAAAAGTCCTCCCATCCATTTTAACATGTTCAATCTAAAGTTTAGTGATAGAAAAAATAGCCGAGAGTAGACATACAAGCAGGAAAAGCAAGAACCTGGAGTCCTGGACACTAGAAAGCCTTTCAAATACTAGTTCTAACTTTTTAAAGGTGAACTTAGAAATATCAAGAAAAAACCCAACACCATTTCTTTCTTAAATGCAAGATTCATGGTTGATTGACTGATAAAGATCATTGCTAACAAATCCAGGAAGATTTGGCAAGTGTTCCTCCGTTTTGACTAAGTAACAGATAGCTGAAACACCAAAAATGAATGATTTGCCTTAACCTTCAGCTAGGATGTCTAAGAAACAGAAAATGCTTCAATCTTTCGCTAATAAGATTCAAATGAACAAATAATGTTACTGGCATTAAAGATTTTCATGTTCCCAAAGCAGGCTTTTCAAATTGTTTACATGATTGCATATGTTAAAAAGATAAATGACTTGTTGCTCCATGAAGGTAAAAATTATATTGTGACAAAAATCAGTCAAAGCAAAGCAGAGATCTGGTAATACCTTCATCACGGGAACAGTTCCAGATCTGTAACAGAAATACGACATGCGTCAGAATGCATATATACAAAGTCCATACATGTACCCAATGACACAAACCAATAAAAGAAAATGTAATACAAACGTTGACCATGCCAACAAATATGGCACCCTAACCTATGGCCAAAAATATAGAACACGTACAAGAAGAGATAATAAATGGTGTGCCTATCTATGCAGAAAAATTCTTCCACGGATGAATGGTGCACTGGACACTTGTTGACATGATAACCACATCAATGCAAAGACCAACATCTGTTTTGACATGTAAGATAGTGGCCACCCTTTCTATATTCAAAATGGATCCTAATAACGCGTGTTATTTCATGCTGGAAATAATTATAATTTATCTAATCATTATTTTCAATTTATGGCCATTTCATATACAACAAACTCATAAGCACTCAAATATATGTATAAATGATTATATGTTCACACAAGTTCATTATAGCAAATGCACAAACACACTACATATATAAAACAAAACTTGTTTCCTCCACATTTCTTAGGTTGTACCAGAGATCACAGGTCAAATCCCACTTCTAGCAGGGTCGAGGTGCTTTCATGGGTGGAGGGATTACCCCATGATATGCAGCACAAGTTGTCATCATTGAAATAAAATAAAATAAAAAATTGGACAGACACAGAGTCAGTCTTCTGTCTCTAGGTGTCAGAAAGTTTCCATTTTCGAAAAACTATATTTGACCAGTGTCTCCAAATTTCATACGCTATAAACAAAACCCAAGTACCCAACCTTACACAGTTCCAAGTTAGACAGTGGTTCCCCATCCTTGCTGCCCCTACAGTTACTTGGGTCTATTGGGCTTGGCTTCAGACCAGCTTAAGTTGCATTGCTGCAGACTCAACACCAGGGTTTAATGTCTCAAGCATATGTATCCCCAACAAGAAAAATTTATCATACTGATTAAAATTCCTAAGACCGATCAATCTGCAAAGTGAAGTTTGTTATAGCCCTAACAATTTAATTAATGCTTTTCCAATGTATTAAAGTAGCTTGTTCTTCATTCAACCATAAAATTAGGTGGTTCAATAAAGAGTAAATTCGAATTCATGCCAATTTTCCTTGTCTCTTCAAGAAGTTTGCAAAGAAAAAGAGAAGAAAATGCATAGTAAACGTGAGCAGATATAGAAACAAATTCCATTCATAGTGGCATTGATGCACAACTTAACATATCATATACTAGTAAGGTTTAAGAAGACCATAAAGCAATTGCAACATTATTTACTCTCTGCTTGTTCTTACTAACACAAGATCCCTTGAAATTCTAACAAATAATACCTTAAAGAACTCGTAGACATGGTACTCTGAGACTGAGTGATTCAAAGAGTAACGATCTGCAATGAATCGGTTCAGAGCTGATACAAAGTTTCCAAGAACTGAGAACGAAAGAAACAGAAGAAATATGCATCAGCACAACAATCAAAGCAAGCTTGAATAGAGAATTAAAGATTACTGCACAAGCAGTTTATAATTATCATAGGATCAGACCCATAAGTAGTCACACATCCCCGGAAAATAGTAATTTTATGAAGTGAAATAAAGAAGTAAGTAACAAGCAATCCACCCAAAAAATTAGTAAATGGTTCAATTCTTGATGAAAATAGCATCCCAAATCCCCAAAAGAAAAAAAATAATGGTGACCGTTTCTATTTTGCTAATGTTGGTGTAGGCTTATTCTTTGCACACATATTGATTATTGACCAAGTAACAGTGAGGAATTAATTAATTCCACACACAACTTTACTACATAATGGCTTCTACATGTAGATGCAAAACTGGGGGAGTTCAATATATATGTGTATATATAAGGGTTAGAGAAATACCCTCATCAACATCAACAGCAACAACAAATTTTTCAGGCAATTGTTGTGGTGGGAATCCAATGGGGCTTCGCCCGTGATATGCACCACCGCGACCGTTCAACAATCCAGCACCGGATCCGTGTTCAAGAAGATGGTCGGTGTCAGGACCGCGAACCAGCTGTGGCAGGCTTGGAACAAAAGCCCGAGTCTTCTGAAACGCATTAGCACCGTTAGTAGTAGTATTATCATCAACCCCTTTACGACTGTCAGAGCAACCCTTGAGAATCAACCCATTGATTTGTCTTCCATTTTTCCGCAACAAACCACCATTACCCACCAACGACCACACCTTTCCGACAGACGAAGACCGCTCAATTGTGTTGAAAAAAGCTTGCTGGTGGTGGCGGTGAAGGTATAATTCCTTGGAGAATAACGGGTCTAGGGAGGCGGTGGGTGCCATAAATCGACAACCCCAGTGACGGTGGTGGTGGTGGTGGTTCTGATGGAACAATGAGGTTAGTAAGGAAACGCTTTTTTGCCTCTTTATCATAACGATCTTTCTCCAACTAGTCCCAGCATCTAACACAATCTTTCCATATATAACTATATATATTTATATCTATATCTATATATATCTAAAAACCTAGCTTCCAAAATAGAATTGGAAAAAAGGAACAAAATATTAGGAATGCAATTGAACAGGGTATGATCTATGATATGGTGTGATAAACCCCACCTCCAACTACAACTCCATTTCACAGAAATTGAAACGAGATTGAAACAACCAACGACAATAACAAGAAGGATTTGAAGAGGAAATCGAATATACGAATTTCAAGATTATAAAATATGGATATATCTAACCGAATGAGCAGTGAAGTAGATCATACTCGCCTTATAAAAAAAAACAACTGATTAATTAATCAATTAAGAATTTTTAAAAAATAGAAAGATATTCGCAGCCCTAAATAGTGTAAGTTGAGCACAACCGGAAAGAATAGAGACGGAGATACAAATTTAAGGTAAAATAAATATAAGAATGCCGTCAATATATATACATACATATATAGAGAGAGGGATCGGAGAGATGCCAGTCAAAAAGTTGCAGAAGATACCAAGACGTACATTATTTAGGAGTGTATTGAAATAGTGGAGGAAAAAAGTAGAAGAATCTATGGTCCGCTTAATTTTTCTGGTTCATAATTTATTTATTTATTGGCCGAAGCGAATATTTTGCCTTCATTTCCGATTTTAGTTTAAAATCACGTGTTGTATTCCTTTACTTTTCTGGGGTCCTCGGGATGTCAATTCCTGTCCCTTTCTACTCTTAATTTTTTTATTTTTTTATTTTTAGTTAATAATTTATTTTTTAAAAATAGTAAAAGTGAGTTTGTTGGTGGCCACTTTGTCTCTAGACCTACACTTATTAAAAAAATTACCCTTTTTTTTTTTTTTTTTAAAGTAAAAATAAATAATAATGTTGTTATCACTCAAAGCGCGAAACTACCATAAATAATACTACTTCAGAGCATGTCTACATTCATTCTCAAACTTCAGATAAAAGGAGGAATCAAATAAGTGAATATGTTGTATTTGGGAGCATGGATAAGTTTCTGAGATTAAAAATTACAAAGAAGAATTATTTTAAAGTTTAAATTAATTTTTTTCCATTATAATTCCACTATGGATATTCAATACTTACAAACTTACAAACCCAACACATATATTTTCAAGATTTACTCCCTAGGGCATCTCTAATAGGCTCTCAGAATTTGAACATCAACATTTTTCAATAACCACATCGGCATTTTTCATAACCATGTCAGCATTTTAGAGTCTTCAAATTTTAGCTATCGAATATATTCCAATAGTGCATTTTTGCTCTCCAAAAATATTAATATTTTAATATTTTTTAAATTTTTAATAAATTTTATTTTTTAACTTTTTCCTAACGACTATATTTTTAAAACGATTATATCATACAAAAAATTTAAACAATATAATATTTATTATTAAAAATAATACAATACGACATAAATTTAAACAATACAATAAAAATAAAATACAATACAATACAACATGAATTAAAAACATAACAACTAGGAAAAACAGAACAATCATATGGAATGCTTGAGATAATCTTATGAAAAGCTTGAATTACCACGTGCGCATATAGATGCTAATATTTTATTTTGGCGTTCAATTAGCCATACTTTCCCAACTTATGTTGGCATCGATTCTGGATCTTTTTGCATGATTAACATCTTTTTAGCTCTTTGTTTGTTTTTAATCTCTCTTAGTTTGCTTTGAAGTTTGAATTATCTGATTTTTTCTTTATCTGCTTTGCGTGCCCCTCGTGCAATTTGAGCGGCCTCAAGAGTTTCAGATTGTCTTTGATAAAGGGCTGTTGCATGATCGAATTTGCTAATGAAATCATTCTGACTTTCAGATTGTCTTTTATCCTTATTTCGCCTCTGCTTCGCTGTTTTTCGTTCTTCTGGTCGCTGACATTCTTCAACATCCGTCGAATCATTTTCGCTTATGTGCGTCGATCCTTCAACCGAACTTGGTGTCGTTGCTGCATTACTTGATGGAGTAGATGGGTTTGAGTGACCAATATGCTTACTATCATCAATGTGGGTTCCACCCCTCTTATTCGGCTGTGTGTTTTTTTTTTTGAATGTCAATTCTTTTTGACAATGTAAATGCCACTTATTGTTGTTCTTCAAAATGTTCCACCAACTGTCAAACTTAAATTTGGTGTTATTTTGACGAACAAACAATTCTTTGGCTGCTATCATCTAAAGAAATAAAAATTAATAATTATTAGAAGACAAATCTTTAAAATATCTACCAATTAAATTTAATATAATAAATAACTTACCTTGTACTCATTGACTTGCCTACTGGGGTAATTCTTTTCGATCTGGGCCATGCATCCAGAAAAATTGGTAATCATTTGTTGCATGAAGAATCAACGATTCAAGCAGGCGATATGATTTCTTTTAGGTGTACTAGCACCACTAACGTGTTGCTCAAAACTTTCTTGAATTCAGATCCATAACACTATCTTTTGTTGGTCTGAACCGATGACCACATTAGTGTTAATGGTCATCCACGCATAACATAAAGCCTCATCTTCAACAGTGGACCAATTAGGAGGCCGAATAACCCTTTGCTTTCTGGGAGGTTGAGAGTTACTTGATTATGGCACTTCAGTAGGAATGTTAAAAACTTGAGAAGGTTGATGAAATGAAAATTGAGATTCTTCTCCAACAAATAAGAAGGGATCAAAATTATCATTTGATTGGTTGAATTGGGTGTTGTAATTGTAATATGGTGGTGTAGGATCCATGGAATTGAATTTGAGTAAAAAATATAACTAAAAGATTGAGAAAATGATTTAATGGTTATAGTTGTAGGTTGAAAACTAGAGAAGATGGGTTGGATATGAGATGAATAATAATAGGGGTTGATGCATTTATAGAGAAAAAATGAAACTTTTTTTTTTTTTAATAAATAAATATATAATTATTTAAAAAATTCAAAAAATTAGTTTTTGTGCCAATATAGCTGTTAAGGCACTGTTTGGGTTAGCCAAACAGTGCCTAAAAATGGCTATATGTCAGAAGGAATATTTTTAAAAGTAATTTTTTTTAAAAAAAATCATTTTTCTCTATTTTTTAATAACTTTTTTTTTGTCCAAAAAAGCCTTTAACAGCTCTTTGGCTTAATTATTTTGAGGAAAAAAAGAGAGATCAAAACAAACCAAAAATCTGTTTTTTTCCTTCTTTTTTTTTTTTTCAAGCAAACAGAGTTTTGGGAACAGTGGTTTGGGCTAAAACACTGCTCTGGCCCAGAATAAAAAATTTAAAACAAAATTGATGTGGGCCCGTATGGCAGGCCCGCGCCTCGCCAAGAGGGTTGCGAAAAACCGCGACCCATTACGTGACCCAACCTGTGGGGCCCAAATTTTGGCGATGCCATTGGAGGCGTCCAATAGCAAGACTACCCAGAATCACTTTTTCTGGACCACATTGGAGCTGCTCTTAATAAGTCAATTTGATTCCAAAATTCTAAGATATCTTTATTAATTTAAGAAAATTTTACGCACCTAGGATAACTATTACTTTCAACTAAAAATTTGAATTCTTACAGTAATTTTTTTTTGGAAAGTAATTCTTAAGAGTAAAATAATTCATTCACTATCAGAGAAGAAAACAAGTTAAATTTTCAGTTGGAAAGTAGTTGTAGTAAAATGTAATGAATTGAGATGGATGGGAGATGCCTGTCTAAAACAACTCGGAATTTTGCCAGCAAATAGTGGTGAGTAGAAAGGAAAAGGCAATTGCCAACTACTGGGAAAGGCAGCTAGTTTTAATCAAGCATTAGCTGAATCAAATAATTTTGAACACACACAAAAAAAAAAAAAGAAAAAGAAAAATCCTTTAATTCGTGCATAATGTCTACTAAAATATCTGTACAGGAAGGTGATTGATCAATTCCCAGTCCAGTGCTGGTTTGACATGAAGGTTTACAGAGCCAGCACAGCTCATAAAACACTACAAATGATCAATGCAAACACAGCGGCAACCGCAATAACAGAGTCCAGCTTTCTTCCAGCAGCCGACGAAGTGGTCGGTTTTCGAGTCTGCTCATGCTTTCCGAGGTCAATCATGATCCCAAATCGACACGTCCCATTTCCTGGAGTTGGATCAATAGTGGTGATGACACCCAAGTTAGAGAAATTGCAAGATCCTTTCTGTTGATTCATGGTCTGATAATACGCGTTAAAAGCATATGAAGCATTGGTCCTAACATCAAGACCACCACAAGTCGACCCTTGTCCAAGACTAGTGCAATCTGCATAAGTACATGCAGTGTTGATGCTCTCTGGCAAATTGGGGTCCAAAATATTAGCTCCAGGAGCCATTACACACCATTGTCTAGCCAGATACCTCACCCCTTTCGCCGCCACAAGACTTCGATTATTACCCAAATTCAGAGGGTACTTGATTGCTCCATCAAAGTAAAAGACGCCCCAATGCCTCTCAAAATTTCCAGGATCAATGCTCTTGGCATCCTCATCAATGAGACCAAAAAAATAAATGTCAGGTGGGGTTGACCTTTTTGGGGTACCCTGTCCTTGAATTATACGGTTGATTAGACCTTGATTGAACTTACGAGCATACTGCAAGTTTGCATTAGGATCACCATCACTTGGCCACCCAACTTCTCCTATGATGACAGGCATTGATGGGAAGCCATTTTTTTCTAGAGCCCAAATGAGTGTGTCGTAGTTGGCGTCGAAAACATTGGTGTAGGAGATTGGGCCGTCAACAACAGGGGAAGAGGTGCCCGAGAAGAAGGCAAAGTCAATGGGGAAATGGGTGTCTGCATATAGACTGAGGAATGGGTAGATGTTGATGGTGAGGGGAGAACCACTGTCACTTAGGAATTTGATGATAGAGATCATGAGAGTCCGGATATCGGATCGGAAATCACCGCCTGAGGGCAAGCTGCTGTTGTCGGACTGGTACACGTCAGCGTTTAACGGGACGGTGACCTTCACCTGCCGGCCTAAACCGGCTTTGATCAGGGCAGCTTGAATGTTCTTGAGTGCCGGAAATGTTGTTTGTAGGAACTTGTCTTTGTAGGTCTTTAGGAAAGGTTCATTGCCAACTGCCACATACCTGAAATTTAAAATTTTAAAAAGCCTATTTTGTCAACTTACCAATTTTTTTAAAACTACTTGAATTGACTAACAAGTTCTCCGAACTAATTACAAAAAGAACAATAATCTCAATATAGAATGCACTGTGTTGTTTGGAAGCTTATCAACATGCAAAAAAGTAAAGTGGTTGTAAATTGGTCCATTAAACAGCATATATAGCATGTTGTTTGTTGCTTAAGTAGTGCTCTTCTTTTGTGTGGAAGGGTTGTTTTGTACAAGTTTTGTGGATTAGTCAAGGACAAAGCCCCGGACACCCAGATTTAAAAAATAATAATAATAAATATTGCTCTTCTAATTGTTGCTTGTGATGCTTTAAAAAAAAAAAAAAAAAATGTTGCTTATGAATTAATTAAGAAAGAAGAAATGACTGACCTTATATCAACCCCACTCTTGGATATATAGGAGGAAACATTTTGGGACACCCATTGTTCAGCAGCACCAACACTATTTGCAAGTGGTGCTAAGAACTCATTGGGTATTCCAAGCATAACCTGGATACCAGAATTGCCAAGAGCCTTCAATGGTCCGGCCTCGGCTTCAAAGAGCTTCACTTTGTCGACGCCATTCTCCTTCATCAACTTCACCACTATGTTGGGTGAGAGAGGATGCGTTGAGCGCGTTCCCCAGTTGAATGCCAAGCCTGCTACAGCTAAACCTTTACAAAGTATGAAGAACAAAAAGAACCTAAACAAATCCATGTGTTTTTCTTAATTGGTTTGTGTCTTTTACATGTCCAATATTTTCTCCAACTCTGTCACTAGCTATGTATATGTATATGATGAATTGAGTTGTTTGAATATAATGGAAAGAGGAATGTCCTGAAAGGAAGGGGAAGGAACTAACTAAAATTCAGCAAGGAACTAGATTCTAAGAGGTAGCCCATCAACAAAATCAATTTATTTTATATATATATGCAGAGAGAGAGAGAGAGAATCTGTGAAGAAAGGAATATGGTGAACTTGTTGAGGAGTAATTGTGATGATATATGCTTTGACCAAAAACCCATACAGAAGGAATGCACCTTTTCCAAACCTGGATCTTTCTCCAGACTCGTAAAAAGTTGCGAGGAAAGTTTTAAGATTTGGTTAGCTTTATGAAAAATGATTCCATTTATTCTAAGTTTTTGTTTGGCATGCGCTGTGTTTTAGGCATTATGTTTTTGGTCAATACTAAAATAATGTTTTGTTGTAGAAGTGCTTTGGGTAAGAATGGCAACCCTGTTTGGTAACAAAAATTTATTTCGGGAAATTCAAAATTTTATTTTAGTTCCTTCGCTATAATACCAAAACACACAATATTACCAATTTAGTGACATAAGTTTGGGCAAAAAAATTCTCATATGTTATAAACTATTCCAAACTAAAATATGGGCCCAAATTTGAATACCAATATCAAAAAAACAATATCATAACGCATGCCAAACGGATCCTGAACTTTTGCGTGATATGAAGTTAATACTAATAACTAACTCATAAGCCTAGGTACATAGTGCAAAGCAAATGTATAATACAAGACAAAGTGGATAATAAAAAATAAGAAATGCACTATTTAATCTTTTGTCCATCAAACTTCATAAATGCAAGATCATAGCCTTTCACACTTCTTACAAAAACGTTCTTGTTTTTTGTCTTTTAAAATTTAAATGACAAAAATGCTATTAGATCTCTTCACTCTTATTTATGCATTAGGGATAATAGCGTCATTTCAATTTAAAAGTAGTACAAATTTCACATAGGCGAGAGCAAATTTCCCTAAAAACTTATAGGTCTAGATTGTTCTTGACTTTTGTAATTCAATAGTTTTAGGTTATGTTTGGTGGTATGCTCTAATTCCATCAATTTCATTTCTAAAGCTCCAATTTCATGCCACCAATTAATAGCCTTAAAATAATTACAGAGAATGTAACAAATGGAAACAACCCAAAATGCATAAATGGGCCTTTTTTTTCAACCTTCTATAACTATTAGTTCACATACACAACAATGGCCCAACCGAAAAGTATCCGGGTTGCCATGAAGTGTTCCCACGTTAGAAACCCAAATCTGAATTTTTACAGACTTTTTATAATTTTTATAATCTGAACAAATTATAATTTTTTTTAATAATAAAATTTTGAGAATTTGTTTATATGAAATTTTATACATTTTAGTTTTAAAGTTTTTTTATTTTTATTTTTATTTTTTTTAAACGTATGAGTAATCAACCTAAGATCAATCCAATTTATTTAGCCGAAGCTCTAGTGCTCAACCATCTTATACCTTGGATTAAACTTGGTATTGCACCATTAATACTGGTAGAGACTAAGGTTGCATTTGAAACAATCATTGAAGTAATAGGCTGATTTAGATCAGTAAGAATCATTCCAAGTAATGTACAACATAGCTTCAGTTTATCTTTCAACAATCAGTAAGAATAACTCTTATCCACATTGGGTTGTTCCTCAATTTGATCTCGGGTCAAAAGGACACTACATCTGATGTTCAACTACCACACTGAACTGAACTGCATCTAGTCTTGTCCTCGTAAAATTTGGTTTCGACAAGGTATACATTTTTCTTCTATTACAAAGTGATGCCATAATAGCTAAGGCATCCAAGTCTGAAATTACAAGAAAATACGTCGTTTTAATCTTTTCCACTGCATAATTCTCTGAAAACCTTGAAAGGAGAAATCATTAAAAGAGAAATGCAGCCAATACGCCTTAAAAGCAAAATTGAATGTCCACCAGAGTGCAATAATGGATCAGCTAAATATGACATGTCGGCTTCCAGAAGCACTGCAATCCCATCGAAGTTGATGAAGTGGCAATAAATTTTTTCTATGGCAACAAACCATTCAATTGCATGCTGAAAAGATCACCAAGAGCTCCACGAACATTCATCTGAACAAATGGAGAGCCAATCAGATTAGTAGATAAAGCGCTTATACAGATGGAATGCTGAAACTGGCGCATAGGAGTGCCCTAATTAATAAATACAAGTTGAGGAATTATTTTCAATCGGGTCCCAGTTAAGATATCCCGTCTGCACAATCTATCCAAGTCTTTTTGCACGAATTTCATGGACCTACGTGAACTTTTAGATGACTGAACTGATTCTAAAGAGGAAGGTCGGGATTGGCTCTCCAATAGGCAAATCCGATGCAATGAATTCAAAAGCCACTACCCCAGTTTTGGCCCTATTAATCAAGTGTGCACAGGAAGGAAGGAATGGATAGATACTCATGAGTTTCTATTATCTGAACAAAGTGGCTACACCTCAAAGTTGAAGGCGGTTCCCACATGACAGCCTAGATGAAGTACACAGAGTCAAGATTTCCAGGCTTGCTAAATTTGATGCTTTAGCTCCAATATATTTGCTAAATGATTCAAGCCACAAACTTGCTGTAACTTTATATATCTCCTAAGCTGGTTGGATTTCAGCTTAAACTGGATATCAGTATAAGCTTTCAAGTATGAAAGAGATATCTCAGTAATAGCAACTGTTCCATATACCCTAAAAGTTGAAGGAATGGATAGATACTCAAGAGTTTCTATTATTTGAACAAAGTGGCTACACCTCAAAGTTGAAGGCGGTTCCCACGACAGCCTAGATGAAGTACAGAGAGTCAAGATTTCCAGGCTTGCTAAATTTGATGCTTTAGCTCCAATATATTTGCTAAATGATTCAAGCCACAAACTTGCTGTAACTTTATATATCTCCTAAGCTGGTTGGATTTCGGCTTAAACTGGATATCCGTATAAGCTTTCAAGTATGAAAGAGATATCTCAGTAATAGCAACTGTTCCATATACCCTAAAAGTTGAAGGAATGGATAGATACTCAAGAGTTTCTATTATTTGAACAAAGTGGCTACACCTCAAAGTTGAAGGCGGTTCCCACATGACAGCCTAGATGAAGTACACAAAGTCAAGATTTCCAGGCTTGCTTAATTTGATGCTTTAGCTCCAATATATTTGCTGAATGATTCAAGCCACAAACTTGCTGTAACTTTATATATCTCCTAAGCTGGTTGGATTTCGGCTTAAACTGGATATCAGTGTAAGCTTTCAAGTATGAAAAAGATATCACAGTAATAGCAACTGTTCCATATGCCCTAAATTTATGGCAAGACTTTTCTAACACTATAAGGTGGGTATTAAGAGCAAACAAATCATCGGATATTACTGATGGAATGACCAAAGAACTTGGTCCCTACAACTCCAGGTATTCTCCATACATCAGCACAGAAAATAAAGTAACAGAGGAGAGATTTTGAAGAAAAAAAGGGCAAATATTTAACAAAAAATATCCTTTTTGGGAGTGTGAGAATACCTGGTCACTGCATACAAGTTTAGTAATCAAAGGATAGAACTCTCTCAGGTGTTTTCTGAATATCCGGTTATTCATCAAGCACATGCCTTTAAGCACCTGAAAGACAAAAAAGAAAAAGAAAAGGTATATTTATAGTTCCCATAGTTCATTACAATAACAGGGTAAGCAGTTATAAATTGCAATATGGCTTTGCTAAACTGCAGTCAGTAAATATATAATTGCAAAAACCAATGGGTCTGTGGCATAGCAGTATCAGGCCTCAGTGGAGGCATGTGTGTGTGAGTACCGACTATGAATATATATATATATATATATATATATATATATATAATTGTAAAGGAAGATATGCAAATTCACATAAATATTGAAGAAACAAAGAATCTAGCCAAAAAGAGTTTGACCCACTGAAAGCAAAGGAATATTATTTCGCAGAGATTCACTTCACCAGAAAAGTTTAAAAAACACCAAGTTGACAAATAACAAAGGTCCTCATCAATCGAGAATGATGGGAGGACTGGGGTATAGACTTGACAGTTGGCATAAGTTCTTTGGCATTATTTACACAAGGTGACTACCCTTCTCAAAAACCACATTCTTACGCTTTATAACCAGGCTTGATAAGCTGAGCTTTTACAACTTCACCAAGCAACAGTCCCTAAATTTTTTATGATCCAAATGTCAAATGTAGACGAATATTAATGGAAGAGAAAATAGAACCTCCTTTACTTTGGTAGTAAATGGTCTTCATTTATATCTATAATTGAAACCCTAGATCATAGAAGGATTGGCTTTGGTCCAAAAAGAGTGATGGCCTCCCACCCTTGAGTTGTAGGTTACGATGTCTCTTCTTTGAATGTCAGGCCTCCTTCTGAGTTCTGAAGGAATTTGGAGCTTAAAATACAAAAATAGAAGCATTATATGAAGGCATTAATTTTCAAAGTCAGTTCCAGAGATTTGCCAATCCATTAAAGTGTGAGATAAGAATGCAGCCTTTTTAAGCAATCAAGTATTCCTTTAGGCGGTAACCCAAGTACTTGGTCTCTATAAAGCCGATGACAAGTTCAAATGGGTCGAGGAAAACTGTTTTCCTTTTTGTATGGCTTTCTTGCGCTGTTTGTTTCTGGTGGTTATTTATTGTCTTTCCTCTTCTCTTTTTTCATTTGAAGTATTCCTTAGCCTTCCTCTATGTTACTTTTCTTTCTCCTTCTTAATGCCATTCTCCTCATTTCTTAAAAAAAGGGTTGGATAGAAAGACCTATATCTCATTGAACGGTGTAACCATTCTTATCCAAGTTTATAAAACCAGCGTAAACACAAATGGATAACAGTTCAAGTTTACTCAAATTAGGAAGCAAGATTTCCTCTTTGAGAAAAATTTAGGTGTTTTATCTTTCTATTTGGACTTTTTTTCCTTATAGAAGAAATACAAGATAGAAGGAATACAAGAGAAATATGTAAAGGCTTGAATGAGAATGTAAGAAAGGGTTATATTCTGGCATCTTTGCACCCATTATTTATATTACTCAGAAATATAATTTACAATAATTATGTGGTCAAATCCCACTAATTACACCCAAATCCCACGATTCTAGGCTAACATATCTCGGCTAACACTCCCCCTCAAGTTGGTGCGTGGATATCTGAGACGCCCAACTCGGACAATGCATCTTTAAGCACAGTCTTGCTACCACCCATTGTTAGAATGTCTCTGTGGAGTGCAAATCTGACCGAAGATGATTTTCTTTCAAATGAAGTGCACTGTGCCGATCAACTAATCAAAGTCTCCTCATACCATTTTCCTTCATACATATGTTTAAAATATGCAGATGGAAGAATCAACAATGTCTCCTTGGACCATTCTACTTCATATACATTTAAAAAATGTAGATGAAAGAATCGACAATGTCTCCTCAGACTATAAACAATCAACAATGTCTTCTCAAACCATTCCCCTTCTTACACATGGTCAAAAAGATGTATATGGAAGAATCACTAATCTCCTCAGACCATAAATGATCAACAATGTCTCCTCAGACCATTCCCAAATGGGTGGTGCCGAACTCGCAATGCCCTCGTTGCAGTCGGATCACCCTAGCTTTGATATCAAGAAGAAATGCAAGATAGAAGGAATACAAGAGAAATATGTAAAGGCTTGAATGAGAATGTAAGAAAGGGTTATATTCTGACATCTCTACACCCATGCATTTATATTAGTCAAAAATATAATTTAAAATAATTACGTGGTCAAATCCCACTAATTACACCCTCAAATCCCACGATTCTAGGCTAACATATCTCGGCTAACACTTATGCTCTGATGTAAAGAAAATTATGTGCTTTAGAAGATTTTTCATCCTTCTTTTCCTTTTATCTTATAGATTCTGGTTTCTGGAGAGGGACAAAGAAATTAGGTGGCTACATATTTTAAGTTTATATATGATTCAAATGGTCAGTAGAAAATATTTAATAATGTAACAAGCAGCTAATGAATGAAAATTACAAACAAGCAAAAAGCTACCAAGTAATATACCTTAACGATGATTGGTGAACGCAACTCTAGAACTCGATGAGTATCCATATTCGTAGTCTCTCCAACACTGCACTGAAAGTCAGATGCCTCCTTCAGAACTTGTCCACAAAAAGACACTAGTTTCTCTTCTGCTATTCCTTCAAGTTTATCTTCTGCACTAGAATGTTCTGTGAAACTAGAATCATTTTTAACAGAAGTATCATCCACGTTCTGAGAAACATTGTTTTCAATTTGTCCTCTGTCATAATTAATTCCTGATGTCGTCTTCTGTAAAATATCCAAATAAATGCAAGTTCCAGCTAATTCCTGGCGAAGAAGATTCAAAGGCGGCCTGCTAGACAATAAAAATAAGTAACAGCACAAGATTCTCACAGTTCAAGCCTCAAGGATAACAAATTTAATGGCAAGCAGTGGAAAAGACGATGAAGGTTATAAACAAGTATGAAAGCTACCTCTCAGCAGGAATGTGGTGCATACGCAATCTGAGGTTGGTATACGAATTATATGATGCAGCAAACTCCAAAACAGAGAACAAAATATCCATTACAGTGATCTTTTGTGGTACCTTCAACTTGTTCCAGTATTTCTTCTGCATATTTAATAGACATCAATTAGAATGCTCTTCCTTTCTCATAAAAAAGTAAAGAATTTCTCACTCTTTTTTGAGCCATACTTTAGGTAGCATTCGGATGAGCTTTCTTCAGTGGGCATGCTTTTACAGGAAGAACTTCATTAAAAAAAACTTAAGAAGGCCAGAGATGTTTGGTAAATGTATTCATTTAAAAGTTCTTAAAGCATAAGAATAGCTTTCAGTCAACAGAATTACGCTTGATCCACAATATTTAGATACATTACATTTGATACAAATAAATCTAAATACAAGCTTGCTGATATATTTTTTGATAATCCACTCATAAAATAAATATAAATGAGGATAATAGATGAGTTAGCTATATTATTACATAAGGGTGTAGGATTCACCCCCCAAAAATGGAATAATCTATCATCCTTTCTGAAACAATACAACTTGACACTCCATCCTTCTCTGTGTTCTGCTACAACTGTCCCCCTCTAAAGACCCAACAGAAAAGAAAGAAGGGGTGTAAAGATGCCTAAAGAACAAAGAACAAAAGCTGCTGAATGCAGAAAAGATCCATTAATTCTTAATGTCTTTATTCTTTTCTTTGCTAAGTGAGACTGTAATCAACAGTCCACATCATCCAATACATCGAATGAGAAAACTCTATAAATTATGCATAATAGTATATGGTTAGATGCATCCAGATCCTCACACTATCAGGTTTTTACGCAAAACCACACCAACATATGCATAAACTGAACTTTGGAGTGGCACCCCTACACATGGAGAAAGAGAGAGAGCTGCAGAAAGAGAAAGCATGATACACCCACAGCACAAAAGCTCTCACAAGCCTAGTCCTGCAGTACAACTTTGTCTGGTCACCCAAAACAGCATGCCCTAAAAACCGAGTGGCTTAGATATCTACTTGTCGTGTTACAAGCATAATCAATGAGACAAGGCAATCATTCTTGAAGAAGAGGGAAATAAAAGCAAAAGCATAGGATAAGAGAACAAAATTATGGAATTTAATTTAATTATTTATTTATTATTTATTTTTTTTGGGGTGGATCAAGACAACCATAATTAATTTTGGAGAAATCAGAACTTATTTAATTTATTTCAAAAAATCCTACATATGCAAACCCTGAATTAAAAAATTAAAAAAAAAAAAAAAAAATTAGTGCTTTTTGTTTCTGAGAATGTTTGTAACGTAGAAATAGAATGGAAATGGATGAAAGGAGGAGGTCTAATGGATTCAAAGCAAATAATATAGTTTTGAGTGAGGACTAGAAAGTGATGAGCAAGAAGGTATTCTAGGAGAAACTGAAACAGAGAGAACGGAAGGAAAAGGAAGAAAACGTGAGAGACTGAAGGTTGAAGTTCAACCAGAAGTGGAAGAAACAAAAAGATAATGGAAGAAGAAGAAGATAAGGAGAAACATCCTGCATCTCCTCTTTAACTCCTCTGCAACATGGCATGGTTAGGGTTTGTAGTTATTAAAAAAAAAAAAAAATTGCATAACTTATAGTAAATTATAGGAGCACTACTGTGATATAAAATTCATCAAGTAAGCGTATCATCTAGCATACCGAGAAACTGATCTGAAAACTAATCCTTATAGAAACACTCACATTTGTTCGAGAAACACTTTTTAAGGCTTAGAGATCCTTCTAAAACCTCCTAGAAGATCCCCAAACCACCTTATTTCGTTCACAATTAAAAGAAGGCACTACTCATACGATTTCTACACCATCCAAATGATTTTTCTATTAAACTCCCTCTCTTTCTCTCTCATATTTTTTTTTCTCTAATAATATTTTTTTTCTTTTCTTTTCTTTTTTTTCCCTGGGAGAGTTTGGCGGTGAATAAGATATGTTTATTGTTTCATTTATTTATTTTCTCTTGGTGGAAGGGGGGTTGGGGAGAATTAGTTTGCCACCCTCAGCCTACCAACCCTCCCTTCTGGTTGCCAGCTGAAATCAGGAAAGCAACATGAAGAAGAGGAGGACATCATTAACATAAACAAAATCATTTAGAAAAACAGATAGATGCCATAGCATGATGCAGCTTTATTGTCGGAATAGATTGGCCTTAAAATTACACAAAACATTAATAAATGTAATAATAATTTGAAGGACTGTTTGATAAACAGCGATAAGAGATTAACTAAATATATAACATGAATTAGAGTCACACCTGAATACTATCAATGGCACCGAGGAGTAGTAATTGAGTGATGCATTTGCTCCTAATGGTTCCCAGCAAGGGACTTTCCTCTTCATCTTGGGCAACAGGCTCCACAGCATCAGGAGACTGAGGTGGCATTAAATCAAGACAACAAGAAAAGAGAAACACCATGTAACTTCAAACTTCATTCCAGAAAGAGGAATATGTAGATAATATGTTTTACACTAAAGGCATGAGCAAGGATATTTCTAAAATTAAGTAATGAGGAATTGCAGTTATCAGTCAGCCAATATGACACAAAATCTCACAAGGTACAGCTGTACCACATTTTTAGAAGTAGAACCACTCACGCACACAAAAGCAATAGAGAATGCACCTTGAAAAATTACTTTTCTTTGTTAGATAGAAACAAGATTAGCAGAGAAGGCAAAAAGAATTTCAGTGGTTGCATGATTCACAAGAAAACCCACCATTAAAATACACATCTAGTATCATGATGATAAGAGACAAGCAGATTTCCTCGAGGAGATAGAAGAGAAAAATTATAACATTCTCAATCAATGAACTTAGCCAAAAAAAAAACAAAAAAACAAAACAAAAAAAATTCCGAGTGAGATCAGAGAGGAAAGGAGTACAAGTATCTGCAATGGTGCATTTTAGCTCGTGCAAATGACATGATGTGCAGAAAATCGTGAAACTCGTATGTTTTCCTTGGTTACATAACTGGATTTTCTACCTTGTTGATACTTTCTTAGGATGAGTGGATGCGGAAGGGATTCGTTCTGTCAAAGAGACCTCCACTCATATTGCCCAGACATTCTTAAGACAATGACAAAAAATGCTTCAATTAACAAAAATATTTTTCCCTCGCATTTCCGAATCAGATCCAACAAAAATCCCTTTATAGCCTTTCTAGCCTACTAGCCATGCTAATGATATTTCTATAAAGAAAAGGAGGTACAATAGGTAAAAGCCAAATATATATATATATATATATATCAAAGAAAAACAATTCCCATCATGACAGAAGTGCTCATTCAACCCAGCCATCTTCTTGCTACCCATTGGTTTCCAGAAGTCTAAGGCTGTCAACTTACAACCTAAGTTGCATGGATTTGGGAAAACATTTTTTTTTTTTTTTGATAAGTAAAAGTCGATTAGAAGAGCATTCAAAAGGGGAACGCGTCCCTGATACAGAAAACGAAAATTGATTTGGGAAAACATATCGGGCATCCTTGCTTACTTCATATACTAGGTCTCTAAAATTTAGACATAAAGAACAAAGGTACGTAGTTAGTTTAATTCAATTCTCTTTTAGTACACCTATGCTAAAATAAAGTATCTATCCGATGTCCTGCAATAAGAAAACAATCTCTCTGGCCTAGGTTTGCTAAATTTGATAAAACCAAGTACAATATGAATATAGATATGTGTGTGTGTATTAAAAAATTGCTAGGCATTTAACAGGGAAAAAAATAATTCTAGAGGAACTTTGAGAAAGCCGGAAATCTGCTCTAGCATGCTTTTCTCACTGAAAAGCCATGAAAAATTACAGAAATGTAGCATGGAGATCAATATATGTACTACTATTAGTAACTACAAGAAAGTTACTTGCACGTTGAGTAAACAAAAACAATATTAGCTAGTAAGATTACAAGGTATCAAACTGAAATTAATCAGATAATGTAGAACTGCAACACCATAATACCTTGGATGGAGAAGATGGCACCAAAACCTCCGAAGCATTGTTTTTAGGTTTAGAGGTAAAACTTCTAACAAAGAGGTTGTCCATCATATTTCCCATAATTCTTTGACCTATTGTTTGATTCCGTTGAAGACCTCCAGCTTCAACAGGTTTCTGAGATCTTCCAGAAGGTGATGGTAGGCCTACAGATAAAAGACATTTTAGGTTTGCTATTAAATGAATTGCAACTTGTGCAGTTTCTAAGTTATTAGGATTACTCCATACAGTACTTATCTAAAAGATCTTACCTTCAGAACCCTCTAAATCCACTGCCAGCCCCATTAATTGATTGTGATCACCAGTGTTAGGGGCCAAAGCGTAAGTGTTCCCATTGTCACTGAGCCTATGCTGATAATTATCGAGTGACTCATTGTCAACAGGCTTTATCTTAGGACTGTCACCTGTACTGAACTCTAGATCTCTGGTCAACACTGTACGATTTGCAGGGCTTTCAAAGCCCAAAGCATTGAGCAGCTCAAGAGGTTGTGTTGTGTATGAAGCATCTCTGATCCACAACAGTAAGAATCAATAACATCACTGTTACATGTCATAATCAGATAAGAAGAGATACACACCTTATGCTTTTCAACAAGGTATCCCAGTCACTATCACTGAATTGGTGTCCTCCAACTTCAATGAGATGCACCAATGCTCCCAAAGAAATTGAAACCACCGCCTGATCTGTCTTTTTGGCGCAATCTAACAACAAACTCAGTAGTGGAGGCAGCATAAAACAAACCTCCTAAATGAAGCAAGAAATATATTTTGTCAAAAAAATATATTTTAAAAGTAACTAATTACCATTGATTGATTTCATAAAATTATAAATGCTATTACAAACGAATATATGAGAATTTGTATTTCTGTTAATAACATGGTATCATTTGGTTGCAACCTAATCATACACATAGCTGTTAATATCAAAGAGTGAAGATTGAGCCAAATATTAAGACCTGAAGAATTCATGTTGAAAAGCCAATGAATGAAATGACAGAATTTTTTTCTGCCACAGGACACATTAATCATATACAAATATATATATATATATAGAATGGAATGCCAATCAGTATAAATATTCAGTACAAAAATACACAAAATAAACGTATGAACATGAAACAAGGATGCTCTACCACCAGATATGGAAAAATAAAGATACACAATAATGTTCATGATATGGATACTTGATCAAGCATTGACGATACCTTGTAAAAAGTGTTGAAAAGGTTACACAACAACTGAAGTGAATGAATGCTAGTTTCACGAAGCCACTCATCTCCAGAGGATATCAAACTCTCTTTTCCAGCGTGCCTCACGTGATCAAATATGGGAAACAGGACGCGATAGAAAATGTTCTCCCAAAATGCCGTTGAGAACTTGCTCCCTCTCTCATTCAACAAATCAAACAAGACCTCAAGTGCGCAGTTTCTAACCTCTAGCCTTGAATCAGAGGTGAGGTCTGATAAACCAGCCAGCATTGGGAACCAGTAATGCTCAGTCACATCATAAGTTGTATCTGCACTGACATCAATGGGCTTCAAAGCACCACCTGGTATGAGGCCCTGAAAATGAAAAATACAAAAAAGCACTTATACTTCGTTTGGTTGGAGGGATAGAAAAAAGGATGGAAGAGATAGGGGGAGGGATGGATGAGGTATTCCCAAGGAAGGGAAGGTGTCTTTCCCATTTTTTGTTTGGTTGAATGGAATGGATAGTAGAAAGGATGAATGGAGTGATACTTTATTCTTGTTTGATTGGAAGGAAGGGAAGGAGAGTTTTCATATTCTTTTTACCAATACACCCTCATTATATAAAATTATAAAAGGTAGATATTTATTTCAAAATTTTTGAGAAGGTCAAAATTGTAAATTACAAATTTATAGGTAGTTATGCCTTCTTTCTCTCCTCTCTTCCCCCCAAAAGTGGGCAGATAGAAAACAATAAAGGAAGGACGGATAAAGCATCCCTCCTTGTTTCCTCCCTCTCGTCCCTTCCCTCGAATCAAACATGAAAATGTTTATCCATCCCTCCTCTCATCCATCCCCCTTCAATCCTTCCCTCCAACCAAACACAGCATTAGAGTTCCATTTGTTTCAATATAAAATGTTTTAAAGAAAAATTTCTCAATACAAAGGAATTTTCAGGTGCAAAGAGATTTTCCCTAATGCAATCCAAATAGACAGTAATTTCTAGCCAACCATCAAAGAAAAATATCCATGATTCACCACAAAAGCCTAGGCTTCAGTGGTATGTCCTTCAGCTCCCCAAAGGGAAGGTTGAGGGTTCAAGCCCCAATGGGGGCATGTGTGTGAATATAATTGCGTATTAAAGAAAATTCCACAATTCAAATTTCCTGAAAAAACATTACCCAACCAAATCACCCAATAACTATTTTCCATGAAAACAAATGGAGCATTAATAGAAATGTGGACATCAGTTATTAATGCTGTGCCACGGAAACTTATCTTCAGAACTTCATTCAGAATTTTATATCTTCCATGCAAAACATGAGCATATCGAATCAGCCAGAATTAGAAACTTAATGGACAACCATGCTAGGAAAAGGGAAAAAGGTAAAAAAGCAAAAGAAAATATTGCCAATTATGCCCTCATCGTGATTCTTTTAATCTTTAGCATCCTTGAATCATGACAATAATGTAAATATAACAAAATAGTGTTTGTTGATTAAAAACCAGGAAATGTGTCTTTCTGTGCTCATGCGCATATATATGCAAGTGCCTATGTATTCGTGTAAATATAAGTTAATATTTTACCACAACAGACACATCAGTAGAAAGTGTTCCTCACCATAGTATATGGTCGTCCTCTTTATCTCTTACCTTATATGCTAACTAATCTCACTCTTCTTACCAGTGCATCACAGGTCTTCATTGTATTTGTCTATATCATCTAAAGTCTATTTTCTCTTATTTTCTCACTACTGGGCGACATGCCTAATTTTTTCTCACTTGTAACCCTGTCTCTTCTAATCTCTCCAAACCAACCATCTTAACATTCTCATTTCCACTACATGAAGGCATTGCTCAAGCCTAGCATTCCACCCCATAGAGAATAATAGACCTAATAACTCCTATAGAATTTTCTTTTTAACCTATTTGTGATTCTTTTGTTGCATAGAATGCTACTAGCTTGTCTCCATTTTATCCATCCTAATCCAATTATATTAGTTATATCATCATCTGTTTTTCCATCCCTTACTATTATCAATCTTAAGTATCGAAAGTGGTTATTTTGCGTAATCCATTGGTTTTTGAGCTGTGATCATTATATTATCAAAATTTGAGTCTATTAAATTTACATTCCATATTCTCAGTTTTGGTTCAACTAATTTTCAATCCTTTTGATTCTAATGCATTTCTCCACATTTCTAGTTTAATTGCCAAATTCGCTTTAGAGCATCCACTAGCATTATATCATCGGCAAATAACATGCACCATAGAATGTCTCCAATAAAAATTCTTCTTGTTATTTAATCTAAGATTATTGCAAATAAATAAATACATGGATCTTATTGTATTTTACAAAATACATACACGAAATATATCGAAGCACGGAAACAAAGCAACATCTTTGTCACAACCCACTAATCACACAATACAGACAGTCCATAGAAGAAACATAATGATGCACCAATCTTCTTAAAACTTCACTTCCAACCACTTTACTTACTTAACAGGCTCTTATATTGTAGGCATGTGATTCAATCAATTCAAATTTGGGTTCAGAATGTAAATTCCCACGTATGGCAAGATGAAGCCAATAGAAGATAGGTAGTTCTAAATTAGAACAGGATGATAGAAGTCAGCTAAATGGTCAGGTCATTTTTATAGATTACTAGTAATCAGACTAATAAGGAGAAACTTGATTAGAGTAGAAGGCATTACAACTTAAAAGGTAAGGATGGCATAAAACTATGGATCAGGAGTATGCCCAAAGGCATTTGATTCATAAGAAAATATAACTACAGATAGCAGAATTAAACACTGCTGCTGCTGCTACTAATAATTATAATAAAATGGACTCATGTAGCCAACCCCAAGAAATTGAGACACAGCTTCATAAAAGTTCACATTAAAAAGGTAAACAAGCCACAATAATCAAATTCACTGGAAATGACATCTGAGTTCATGAGAGTGATAACCTATAAATTTATAACAGATATTAAATTTCTTTTTCTGTTCTTTCTTGTATTATCACTCATCATTTTTATGTACATGTTATCTCCAACCACCTAAAAACAGTACTTTTAAGCATAAGGTGGTTCTAGGAAACCTTTTACTCTAGAGAATCCCTAATACCAATGTAGGAAAATCAGTTACGTTTAGGAACCATGTTAGTAGTCGATGTCACTGCTCCTTGAACACCTAGTGTCATTATTATGTCATCAAAACAACATTCCATATATTCTTCGCCCCATCTGTTTTAGTAAGTTAGTATTTTTAAGTATCTCTAGACGACATTAGCTTGGAAGTTGCCAATGCTGTCATAGTACAGGAGTAATGGCATCTGTTGGATTGGGTATGGTCCTGGATTCAACTCTTTGAACTACCTATAAATTATTAAGTTAGAAGTTAATCCAATTAGTCAAGTCCAAGAAGGAACCATGTTATCAATATATGGGACACTGAATACTGAATATGAGAAAGAAATATTACAAAAAAAAAAGCAATCTAGTTTCAAGGAAATGACTTCTCTACAGAAAACTAAAACTGAAAACTGGAAAACAAACCTCTGCAAGACGGTCCTCGCATATGCGCAGGAGTGCAATAGCCTTCAAACTTATACGGTGGGAACTTTTATTGTTGGCAAACCCAATAAGACAGTTGACACAATCCATAAAGCAGTCTCCAACAACCTGATCAAAGTGCTCCAAGATAACTGCAATTTTTTTGGCATCAGAAGCGGCGGATATGAAAAAATGAAGAAAAACACCAATATATCATGGCAACAATACTACAGGAGGAAAAAAGGAGGAAGAAAAGAGGTTGGTTCTCACCCTGTTCTACATTTTCAAATGCACTTTCAACAATTGATTCCAATTCATCATCTGCAGCAGCTGTAAAAATCATAAAGACACTTCGCCAGCCAGACTTTATACTTCCAACTTTAGATTTTATCATCTGCAGTTGACACAAGCATAAGTGGACTTCTACCACAACTAATAAAAATTAAAAACCAGCTGTCAAGTATCCAGTCAAGCAGACATACTTGAACAATGCAATCGACAATTAGCCTCCGTATAGATTCACTTCGACTATTCCGCATAAGAATCACAAATGGTTTTAAAATGTCATTCTGGAATGTAAAATTGGCTAGTTCAGCACGCTCCAAATATTTCATACCGAGTTGCCTAAGAGAATCTATGGCATACATAGCGATTTTCTCATCACGATGACTCCCAGCAGAAATAAAATGATTAGCCAGCACAGACCATATTCTAGCCCAAACCTGAAAAGAGTATCAAGAAACTTTTAATGCAAAAAATGCAGCATCAGAAAACTATTAAAAAAATTAATAAACGCAATTTTACTGGAGGGAGACAGCTGTCCAATTTATCAGTTAAATTATTCACAGCTTATTTCAACGTTTTCATCATTCCAACAATTTTTTCATCATTCCAACAAAAGACAGCCTGACAAAAAACAATTTTTTTTCCTTTCTTTTATTTTTAATAACTCAAGCAACAAATGTATTAACAGACACTTGTCAGAAACCTGTCTAGCGTACAATGCAATCACATAAAAATGCGTAAACTGATTCTGATATATGCATCGCTTACTGGAGGGAGACAGCTGTCTAATTTATCAGTTAAATTATTCACAGCTTATTTCAACGTTTTCATCATTCCAACAAAGACAGCCTGACAAAAAACAATTTTTTTTTTTCCTTTCTTTTATTTTTAATAACTCAAGCAACAAATGTAAGACACTTGTCGGAAACCTGTCTAGCGTACAATGCAATCACATAAAAATGCGTAAACTGATTCTGATATATGCATCGCTTAGAATTGTTTGTCACACATTACATAAAACTTTTTTTCTCTAAAAAGTAGAATGAAACTAGTAAGCATATACCACACTGATATCGATGTTAATGTTGACAGCAAACTAGAACAACCCCACTAAAAAGTAGAATGAAACTAGTAAGTATATACCACACTGATGTCAATGTTAATGTTGACAGCAAACTAGAACCAAACCCACCCACCCCCCAAAAAAACCCAACCCAAAATAAGAAGTGTAAAATTGTAGAAATAGAAAAATTAGCACAACAGAGAGAACTCAACCACAACAAACATGTCCAGTACGAAAAGAGCATTTAGTCGATAACCAGTTCTGTTAATATTATTTATTTCGAATTTTTATGAGGAAAGACAAATTAACAGAAGAAAGAAAAAAGAAAGCAAAAATCAAGAGAAGTTACAAGTCAGGAAAACCAAAAACTATATTGAGAGAATAATTGAAATTTAAAGGGGGCCATTGTGCATTGGTAAAAGCTTGAGATGACAAACTTGAGGTCACTAATTAAGTCAGAGAATGGCAACTTCGTGCAAAAACAATATGGAATGTTAGATTTGTCTCCAGTCTTCCCCTCCCAGAACCCGCTCAAGCAGGACAAGCACCGAGTAATGACCTTTTAATACTTAAAATTTTGAAAAGAAAGAAACAAGCTGATACTAAATGAAACCAAAAATGACACATATACTTCCATGAATATTAGTTAAAAGTGCTACATGAATTCATAGAACAATCAAGCAATTCTCTTGAACAACACATGCAATGAATGTCTTGTAGGAAATAAAATTACAAAATCAAACACAAGTCGTTTGTATCAATAAACACATGAAAAATCACCAATATGTTATTTTCAGAAGTTTTGGCAAGACTAACCTTGGGTTATGTTTTCTTTTTCTTAGGTTCAGTTTATCTTGAAGCCTGGGCAATGGTATCAAATTCATTATTTGGGCTTGAAGATTGACTTCAGTAACTTCGTTGGGTAGAATTACAAATGGAAGTTTCATAACAGGGAGTTGGCATTGGTGGTGTTCTGTGCAAGTTGCCCTTCAATCACTCTGCTGAGATGTTGGTCGTCCATGCCTTGTTGAACTTGTTTTTGCTTTCTGGTTTTTGGAAGTGGTTCTTTTTCTGTTTCTGTTTCTGTTTCAGTCGGTTAGGCCTTTGGGTAATTCTTTGTACAGTTCTTTGAGGGTTTCCCTCTTGTTTGCTGTCTTTGCTTGTTGGTTTAATAATATTTGACTTAGGAGAGAGAAAAAAAAAAAATCACCAATACGTCATAAACAAATCGGACAACATTTCGATATGTAGTCAGGCATTTTCTCAATATGGTAACAAAAGATGGACCAGGAGTTTGACTTTAACAATTTAAAAGAAATGTTGCTCCAGTCCTAGATACTGGCCACCCCATTAGAAAATTTGAAACACACCCATCATTTAACCATCAAGTATGATTGCATGTATCCGGACTTGTGATCCACGCATTTCATTCCAAGGGCTTTAATTAAACATGCAGGTATTTCCAAAATTTTGTTGGATCATTATCAAGTCAACCTTGTTGTACAAATAAGGTTGATGTTGTCACTTTAGGGCTACTGTCAACAATAGGGAGTCTAATTCAATTTAATAATTACATTGCAAAAATCAAACAAGAGAAAATTTTATGACCATCAACCACCAACAAGATTTCTAATCAGAAACGTGAAAACGCAAGAAAAAACTATAGAAATTTATGAGTAAAGGAATTACCAATCGTATACGAGCCATATTGTAATAGCTGATCTCAACAAGTTTTTGCAAGCTGAAAACACGAGCAGGAGTCTGTTTCAATTCTTCAGCTGACACGCTACAAAGAGCAGTAAAGAACTCTACTACAGATTCACTAGGCAGTTTAACACTATTCACAAACACTTGTTCAGCTGGTTTCCCAGCCAACTCTCTCAAAGATTGAAGAATAGCATCCCTGGAAATCTGATTTGATCCATGCATGACAGTTGCAGCAATACTAGGAGTTGAAGTGATGCATTCAAGCCGAGAAATGCATTCCAAAATTGCATTCCATGTGTCTTGAAGAGAGTCAGTCTCTGAATCACATAAAGTCAGTAGGGTCCGCAATGCTTCGACATTTTTACTACGCATTTCCTTTGGCGCATGCAAGAAAGTAAATCTGAGATACAATTTCAAGAATATTTGCCATAGTGAGATAACCCTTTTCCTAGTGATCAATAATATATCACACAACAGTTAGTTGTAGTAGCTAAACCTAACAAAAGGGAAAATTTGAGCACTTTTTTTTTCACAAAAAGTATAGAAATGAATACAAAACAAAAAAAGAATAAGCAACAAGCAGATGACAGGAAAAAACAAAACAAACAGAAATTTTACCTAATTAAAGATGTTAAAAACGCATAGCGCATGGTATCCATTCCGAGAACATGCGTGATGCATATTCCTGCTCTAAATCCTTCCATACAAAGAACAACCCTCGGCTTATTTTCTCCTTCCTCCATAGTAACAGAAAAGGTAGCCAGCAAAGGCCACCCCACAGCTTCAACCATGGGCCTTACAAGTTCAATCTGATTTGAGGTATGAAAAACTCCTCTTTTTGCTCCTTGGTTACGGAAAATAGCCTGTGTTTGCTTAATGATAGCTTCACTCTCAGCCTTAGTGTCAGTTGCTGACTTTCTTTTGGGAAGAGCCAGATTAAGAATACTGACAATGCGGCCTCTCTCTTCTGCATCTGGCTTTTGTCTGCTGCTCTTCCCAAGTGTAGCAGTGTCATCTTTCATTTTTATCTCTTCTTTAATGATAGAATCATAGATCTCCTCCAGTAGTTCCTGCGGAACACACTCTTCAACATCATTCATGGCATTCATGCGTATAAAATCAGCCTTGGACATTTTAGGCCACACCAGTGGGTTATGCGCATCGGTATTCAACATTATAACTGCATATGCAAGTATGTATGCAGTATCTGCATTCTTGAACAGATCTGGATTATCTGCACAGTATCTGCCATAGATACAACACATTTAAGACTACGTAAGTTGATAAGCAATAAGAAGGACATATTATCTGAATGATTGGTACTGCTAGATAGCTAAGGTTAAGTTAGAGCTTTATTTGAAAATCCGACACATTAATTAGTGACAACTATATGATCGATGCACTTATATCAGATACAGATCATTCTAAGACCCCAAGCACTCTGTTGGATTTCCAGATATGTGCCTACAATTATCTTTCCACTATAGGCAAAACCATTTAAAAGTACAATTAGGTATTAATAGGTTATTTGCAGATAAGGAGCCGAAGCATTGGCCTTGCAGCCATTTCCTTGTGAGGCTGGGGGCCTCTCTTGCTCTTTAAAAGTTAAGATGCAATAGATTTCAGATCGCCGCAAGAAGTCTCATCTTCTAGCCAAGAAAAGGAAAATACTCTTTCTTTTAAAGGTCAACACTGATTATTTTTACATAAAGCAGAACAAGAATAAGAATTAAGATAAGGGTAAGTTTATATATTCATATAGGTCCAGTCTAAGTGTGATAGTAATTTTTTTTACTAGTAGATGATTAGTGAACAATGAATTATCAAAATGCCAACCTTGCCCCATTAATATTCAAAGTACGTTCTATTGGAATTATCTAAGAGCAAAGAACTAAAACTATTCATTATGTTCGTTGAGCTCTTGGTATGTTGTGGGTTATCAATTCATTTCCTCTGAAACTCCTCCAGTCAATTAAATTTTTAATAATTGTTTTATGTGTTACCTCCAACAGAAAAAGATAGGGAAAAAATAAGAGCCAATAGATTGCTATATTTAGGATTCTGGAACAAGTGTACCATGTTTTAGAACACATGTTGTAAACCTGAAATTGCTAGGAAATTAGAATTTTATGATGACTTATGGTTAACACGCACACAACATAACACGGAAGAGAGTATACATGCACCTACCGCTCAGCAAACTTCTCCATGATGCGATCTATCTTTTGTGCTTCTCCTGGAAGTCGAAATCCTCGAAGGAATTCACGGATTGCAGTACCAAACTTCATTCCTGAGAACTTCATAGAATCTACATAAGCATGCATGACTGCAAGGGGAAACTCCTCATGTTGGCCCAAGTAATCACCAATCATTGCCTGCAAAATCAAGAGGGTTATGCAAAATAATTTTCAATGTAAAACTACAGTTATACAAAAATAAAAGTCCTACCTTGTTCAAAGTGGGAGTATTCCTCAGAAATTGGGCAACTGAAGGAGGTGCTTTTTCGACCAATTTATTTGATATCAGATATTCTATGCCCTTTCCTGGATTCCGGTTGAACTGTAACATATTTGGAACTAAAATTCAATCTACTTACAAACCCCAAGCACTTGGAAAAAAAACCACTTTCAGAATTGTATCACTCTATGAATGTAATATAATAACATTTCTTTTAGAATTTTCTTTTCATCGTCACTTGGAGATGTGGTGCAGTGAGACATCTAAAATTTGACTAATTACCTCAGATATAGCAGCTTCCATGATAGATTTATGAGCCTTCGCCTTCTCAAAATTACTGGGAAAATCTTCCCTGCTTCTAATCTCATCAGATTCTCTAGCTGAAATGTCTTCTTCAAAAGATTGTTTGCCTTTACTCCGCTTTGCTAGTTCTCTCCGTGACTTCTCCCAATCAACCAGTGATTTCAGCACGTTCACAAGACACTAGGAAAGCAAGGAAGCGACATCAACCAGCAATTTCTTACAATCTTAGCAGAAAATGACTGGCATTAATAACTAGTCATACTAAGTTGAGCAAAAGAGATGAACAACTAAACTTACCTGAAGTGATGAACCTTTTGTTGACCCGGTCAGGGACATGCTAACAGAGTTTGGATCCATGTTTTGAGTCCCTTGAGCTATTTTTGATAGAGTGGTAACCTAAATGAGAAGACAGAAATATGACGTTGGATGTCTTCAATGTATTGTCAAAGAACCACAAATAGAAGCTAAATGCATAAATGAACACTATAGTGAAATAATTAATCGTTCATACCATGCGTTCAAACAAGTTAGGTGCCTCAAGATCACAGTCGTAGTTCACATATAGGTCAACAAGCATCTGAGAATCCTTGCAAACTTTCTCTAGCATCCTTCAAAAAATAAAAACAGTTGGCGAAATATGCTCATATTAGGTAACTTAGTATTAGTAAAATGTGGTTACTAGTATATTAAAATGAATTAGGAAAAAAAATATCGTACCGAAGAACACTTATTTTTTGGCTAATGGGAAATTCTGAGCTATCCAATGATCGTACAACAATCAAGGGAAAGAATATGCCAATTTCACCCTGGGAATAAAAATTTATTAGGCATACCGCACACAAAAAAACAAAGAGATCTAAGTATAATTAAACCCTAGAGAGGAACAGCAGTGAGATCAGCTGTCAATTACTCAAAAATTTACACTTACCTTGAGACTTTCCCTAAATTGCAACAGAAGCACAGAAAAGATTCCTGTTGCATACTGCACAAAAAAGTAACACAGAACCATTATCAAGGTTCCCATGGCAGATTTTGATGGCATCAGGTGCAAGAAAAAAGGAGAACTATGAGCATACTACTACACCTGAAATATGACAGAGGATTGAGAAACCGATGCACGCAATAAAACATAAGAAAGGTAAGCTTTAACCGAGTCAATAAAATGGAAGTTCTTAGTGAATGAATGACCAACACCTTCCAATAATCCCTGCAAATGTCAAATTTCAAATTATGCCACGGAAGATTCTTTAGCATAAAGATAAAATAAGCACCCAAACAACGTTACAAAGCAACAAGTCCATGAAGATGCCAAATTCGTGTAAAATCATTAGCTTTCCTAATTTAGCAAAATCTTAGGATGTAAATTTCTGTGTCACTTTTATCTAATTTCTGACAGAAGTAAAAAACTTTTTAAGCTTTTGAATAAAGAAATTCAGTTGTAACTTGTAATGAGCAATTATACATAATGGAGGTTAACAGATATTGCTCTAAAATTGTTATAAATTAGTTTTCAATAACTTGTACCAAAGAATGGTTCCTTTGCTTCTATCAACTCCATTAAATAATATTGACAGTACCACAAACTATTGAGATATTATATTTAATTGCAATAAACCAATGAAGGGTTTCCTTGCTTCTGTCACTTTATTTATTCAAATCAGAACCCACGTGGGGTCTAAGATCATTGCTTATATATATATACACTAACTAAAGAAGAAATTACAAGGTGGTTGCCTATTATTTAACAACAAATATGTGGCAATATGGGACTGACCCAAACTAACTGAAGCAGATTGTTTTTCATCTACCGATCAAAAACATGCACACAAATACACTAATTAATCGATGGAATTAACCTGCAGAAGCTCAAGTGACAAAATTCGTGTCTTGGTTGTAACTTCATCGCTCTCTTCCTTCATACCCATCTGTAACATTTTATTAAAAGGTATGAGAGGCAGCTTAGAAATTCAAACTAAAATACAGAGAGAGTTCTGAGAAAACAAACCTTGCAGAGGGTACGGAAAAGCAATAAAGCATCACGTTGCCCAATGCTCATGCTCTCTAGGTCCATCCCTCTTATAGTATTAAACAAATACAGTTCCAATTGTGTAATTAGAACGAAACAATAATTATTAATCCCCAAATAAAATACAATTAAAGTATAACACTTAAACTTTAGCACCATATCCATACCGTGTTATCCTTTCACCATCTTCAAGTTGCACAGCCTTATCAAGAACTGCCTCTAAACCCTATACAGCATAAAAGATTATCATCTCATGACCTTTGGTATAAAATTACACCCAGAAAATACAAATATGGAAGCTTGGCAACATACAATCTGGAAGCAAGGAAAAGCACTTGAATAAATGTGCATGGCATATAAAATAATAAAAAAGAAAAGCACCTTTATATCAGCGCCTCCAGCAAGATTCTGAAGTTCCTCCACGGACGCAAGAGATGTGTCTTTAACTTTATTCATAGAAAGTGCATCACCCAGGGTCATTTCTTTGCCATTTTGGTCAACTGAGGAAGTCTCTTCAACTTTTGAGTTTGAACCATTCTCTGAAGCCGCTTCCTTTTGTGCAGCAGAACCAGATGAAGTAGAAACCTGAACTGCCTGGGAGACATACAGGAAGCAACCATATTGTTTCCAACTCGGTATGCATTAAACAAGAAACAAAATTTTTATTAAATGGTCAGATTCCATACCAGATCAGTTTCCATTCGCCGGAATACGATGCTGATCATTTGGGTCAACATGGCTTTTGACGTTGCTTGGTTTATAGGGCTCTTGCTAAACATCCAAACCAGATTTTGTCAGTTCCATGTGCAGTTGATACTATTTAAACCTTGCAGAGATATATATATATATATATACACACACACATATATATAATACCTGTTAAGAGCAATATTATAGCATACTCTGATTACGCCCAACAATGGTTCCCCATGAACTGCATTTTAAATATGTAAAAAAATAAATAAATAAACAAATAAAAAGAATTAATTAAATCAAAATAGTACTCCGTATATATAAAGAAAAAGAGTCCATAAAATGTAGTAGGACTAGGAATAGGAAACCACCTTTGTAAATCTCTTAATTCAATATAAAATAGCAAACAACCAAAAAAATAATAAAGAAAGCCTTCTCCTACATTCTTTAAGAAAATGGCAGTACTAATTTGAAGACAAACTACAAGAACCCTCACAGAAAGGAAGTGGTGAAATCTGGCAGTGGTGCACAATAGAAGCAGTAAAACATATAACAGACTCAGTTCATAAACAAAACAAACAAAAATTAAACAGACTACTCTTTCTTCCCTTTTTTACTATAAATGCTAAGTCAACAATGAAAACAATAAATACAGATTAAATTCACAATAAGAAAGAAAATACAAAGGAATATCATTTCTACCCACTGTGAGTCGGTGACATACCTCTGAACTTGGTGGATGCTACAGCAGTAAGAAGCACCTTCAACACTTGCAAAATCGTACTGCATGTCATTTCCTTGGAAATTTTAGTCTTGAGAAAGATATAAACATTAAGAAACAAGTCTCACCATACAGAGGCACTTACTTGTCAGATGACGAATTATCTACACAACTGCAGACCATGTTCAGAATGTCAGTAAAAAGTGGTACATTTTTTCCACCATCTAGACCAGGATCTCCCTCTAAATGATCATAGGCTATGAGTTTCTGTGCTTGTAGATTCATCAGGATGCATTAGCATTGATCATGTTTTTAGTGCACACATTAGAAGTTTCAACTATAAAACAATATGAACATTCGTTCTAAACGAGTAATGGATTTAAAAACTTCAACTTTCAGGAAAAAATGTAGGGATCGTAAGAGCACTATTTATTAAGTAAAAAAAATAAAAAATAAAAAATTAAGCCAATTATCAACAACCAAAAGAAACACATACATGAAGACAATCCAGTGCGAGCTCCATGACTTTTACGTTCTTCGTCTCAAATGCAAGTCGGAGTGGATTCAAAACAATCTCAGCCTGAGCTCCTTCTAAAGTATGCCCAGCATTTGCTAAGGTTGTTGTTATGCCCACTGGCCTGCTAGTATGTTCTGCCTCAGCAGTACCTTGCTCATTTCCAATATTTGCAGCTCCAGTATCAGTATCAGGCAAGCTATCAACAGACAAATCAACATATCAACAAACTTGTGTATGCTATTATTGATTAAAGTCCAAAAAAGGGAAAAAATGTATAAAAACCAAACATATCAACAAACTTGTGTATGCTATTCGAGGGCATCTTGGATCAATCTAAATCAGAATCCACTCCATTAACACCAATCCAATTCTAGAAAAAAACATGCATGATCACAGAAGATAAAGACTCCGCAACCAAATTAATGGGAACCTTGCTGATTAACAGATCAGAAAAGGGTCCATATGGAGGCATGAGTGCTTGAAATCAAAAAATTATCACAATTCATACTAATCAAAACCACAGGAAGAGATTTTAGTAGAAAATTAAATGGTTGCAAGAAAAAGAAAAAAAAAAAATTAAATTAGCAGATTATGTTATCTTTCTATTGGTATGCACCTCTGATCTCCTGCCAAAGATGCTGATTGATTTGTCTCACTGGAAACAGAATGCAGATTGGTCTCTTTAGTACTGTCTGAAGGCATGATCCAGAAAACCAAAAAATAAAATAAAAGCCATTAAGATCACAGAATAAACACAAAGTACAAAAATTAAGTGAATACATAAAAGATATCCAAAAACTAAGTGCAGCTGGATCATATGAAATAAAGTAAAAGATAAAAGAGAGTGGACACCCACAAATGGCCCCTCCACCTACTTTATGTTTCACAATAGCACAGATGTCGTAGATCCCTAACATTAAAGAACCTTGAAAGACCAAGGAAGAAAGGAGAGAGGGAGGGAGGGAGAGAAAGAGAGAAGGAAATAGAGAGATATAGTAGGATCAAACAAAACCCAATTCAACCAAGATCCATCATAAACTCCTAATTGAATGAAGGATTTCTTATATTCCCAAAAGAGAATATAAAAAATGACCTCAACAGCATAATAAGACATCAGTAGAATTCTTGTTCGTTTGATAAATTTGGAATACTAAGACTAGCATGAGCATAAAATATATTAACTGGGATCTTAGCCATTCAAGAAGTAAAGCAAAATCACAAATATTCAAAAAGCTTTTATAAAAACAGCCAAGTCTTATATCCTGGGGCTTAACTACAAATGATTAAAAATCAGAAACAGGGTTGCCATCGTTTAATTAAGTATTTTTTATTTTTTATTTTAATTTAAGTCTTCGGTTCAATTTTTGGAAAAACTGCCACAAATAGTAAAGAGCTGTGAACAATAATTTCATATATTTATATATATATATATATATAAACATATATAATTTAGAAAATAAGATGAGCTGAGAAAGATGTATGGTTTGAGATAAACAATCAAAACAAATCAACAATTCCACACTTGCACACTCATAAATTAGACAAAACCATTTATTAAAAACTATTCAACTTTATTAGAAGTAAGAGAACCAAGAAGACACATAAATAGACTCAAATTCCACAAAAATTCAAAATTTATAAGCAACTATGGGCTAAAATTGCAACCCAATAAAAAAATTAGGCCTGGAGCTACTCCACCACCAAGTTATTTGGGGTCTGATAAGCCCATAAAAACATGGGCCTACCATTAAAACCCAAAATAAAAGACAAAATTAACTAATGATGATGGCATAATCTTAGATATATCAAAATCAGTGGGTCTGAGATAGAATAAAAACTAAGATAAAGACTATAAGACTAAATAAAACTAAGAAACTTGTGAGACTAGCAAGAACAATGAATCTCTCACCCTTTTACATGATGAAATTCTAATCATTTTTATCTGCTTTCTCTATTAAAGGGTAATCATTACATTTTGGGCACAGAAGACTGTACGCCGGAATAGCAAAACATAAGTGCTTTCAATGATGTGAGGCTACCTCCCTATAGGCTTCAGAGAACAAAGAATTTCAAGTTTTATAGGAGTTGAGCATACACAGAGCGGAAGTTTATAGCTCCTTTATACAGGAGTTGTCCCCCTTGGAGCTTTGTTTAATACAATATTTGTTTGTAGGACATTGCATGATTAGATCTTAAAGGAAGAGGGGCATAACCATCTCTAGCAAGTGTTGTATGTGTAATAAGGTGGCAAGATTGGTGGAACATTCAGTCAGGAGATGTGATTTACTGAAGCTATTTGAGAGGGATTAAGTGTTCCAAAGGTCGAGATAAGAGGGGGGAAATGTTTGGCATGTGGCTCTATCGTGATCGATGTGGCTTGTAACTGTGCGTAACTGCATATGGAGAGAATGGGAGATGGTTCAAGGAGATAGAAGAGCCTAATGTCTAAATTGAAGATTTATTTTGTTGGGGATCTTTAGTAAGGACGGATAATTGGTAGAATTAGTCTATCTTTAAAGACTTTCTTGGAATTAGTAGATAGCAGGGAAACAGGATGTTAGATTGTTCTAGTACTTTTCGTATACTCCATGTACATATGAGTTGCACCCACATTTAGGCACCATTTAACTAAAAAAATTTGGTTATAAAAAAATAAATTAATAAATGCATGTGCTTGGCCACCCATTAAAAGCTACAGCTGAAATGGAGAGTTGAAATATATTGTTACAACCCCTCATTAACATGTTGAGATGAAGTATTGAGTGATGTGTAATTGCGCATTTTAATTTTTGTTTAGTCAGGTTAATAGCAATAACAATATATATATATATATATATATATATATATATATATATAGAGAGAGAGAGAGAGAGAGCAAGAGAGCTCTAGTGCTCTCTCCATATTTCTTTACTGATTCTTTAAGGTTTCTTGTTTTGTTCATCCTGATTCACCCTCGTTTGATCAAACATAGATTAATACCTAAGAACCAAGATCTGCTTAAGTCCCTCAGAGTGGGAAAAAGTTTAGCCAAAAACTTGAACCAAAACTAGAGGTAGGTGATATGCTATAGGAGATTGCTTGATGAGGGGCATTTAGTATGTACTACATATTTGTATATAATATCAACTTCCTGGATGTTACGAACTTGACCAATACACAAAAAGCAACATGATCATGGTAATGGATCAAATTTTAGATGCATATAACCTCATTATGAGGTAACCATCATTCCATGTTCTTTTACTCAAAAAATCAAGTAAGACTTGCAATTCTCTTATGAAGAAAGCCTCAAGCAACAGAAGACAACCTAGAAGTTACACCCAAAAAAATAAGAATAACAAAGAGCCAAGCATTAAATGTACAATGCATTTTATGTACAATGCAGTTTATAAGTTATAGGATCCAAAGTTCCAAAAAGTATATAATAGCTCTATTCCGTTCAATTACAAATTCAAAATAGAAGCCAACGTTTCAAATAAACTAAAATATCAACAATATTGGAAACAGATGCATCTATGCAAGGTTATTCATAGATGTTACCATTGGGGGTCTCTGAAAAACTTAGATTGTCTATAAGAAGATATTTACGAAACAATTTTGACGGTAGTAAAAAGGGTGCTAAGAGGATGTACAAAGTGCCTGAGTGATAAAGGGAGAATAATTCAAATATCATCTGGTTGACGGGGCAAAGTATTCTCAAGTAAGGACCTCAGAAGAAGTTTCACAAGTAAACAGAAGCAAAATCCGAGGCATTCGAGATAGGCGGGTGACTGCAATTTTATTGTTGCATATGCTTTGAAAAGGCGAGTTTAGTGTGGTAAAATGTGAGTCTAATTTTTGTAAGCAAAGATGCATGTATAGCAAACCCATTTATGAACAACATTGTGAAAGTGCAGAAGCATTTCATAACAGATTTTTTCATCTTTGCAATTACAAAAATCCACAATTATATTACATTAACAAATCAAATGAGAATAATTATATCACAACAAATCAAGTTGTATATCAAGTGTGTGAAAAATATTTGTGACATGCTACAGATTCACATCAAGATCTGACGTAAATAAGTGAGACAGAACCAAAAGAAAAAAGTACCAACCTAAATAAGACTGAATAGCCGTCTGGAGAGAGGTAAACTTTTTGCCGGAACACTCTTTGAGCATCAACTCAAAATCCCGAGTGACAAAACCCCCCGCAGCCATTTCCTTTGAAAAAACCTTTCTCTTTCAATTGAATATCAGTTCAATTCAATTCAATTCAAATCGAACCGAATGGACACCACGTTCGGCACTCTTGCCTGAAATTTTTCAAAAGATAAAAAAATAAAATAAAATAAAAGAAAACGAGAGATCCAATTGACAGCAAGCATAAATATAGCGACTACAGATTGGGATCAATGAGATCAACGTGTAATTTGATAATTGTGGTATAGATCACCTTCACCATTCAAGAATGAACCTTAAGCGTCCAAGATTTTCTATCATTTCGATATACATATATATATATACTCATGTATGTATAGAGAGAGAGGATGAGAGGAAACGTAACCCTACCTTCTCCTGCAGAGTGAGAAGAATTACGGAGTGGTGATGACTTCCATCGGAGAGGATCAGAGATCTGGGGGGAAATAAAATGAGTGTACAGACTATTCGACCACCCACGCCAATCTCCCTATTATTCTCTATTCTATGTTATTATGTTGTCTACTGTAATGAAGTCCATTTCTATTTACCATGGTTCATCAACATTAATTACATTTGTAATTATTATTATTATATTTTTTTAACACATTTCATTTGTAATTTTACCAACGGGTGTTTATAATGAATGCAACTAAGTAAACAGTTTTAAGACAAATTCAATCGAATGCCAAGGTGTATTAGGGCTTTGAACACGAATTAGAAATGTCTGCACTCTTGACCCAAATCAATTCCATGTCAGATCTCATGAGATTAAAAATAATAAAAAAAAAGGCACAACGAAATCAAAGGATCAAAGTCTCGTGCAGGGCCGTCCTGAGATTGAAAAAATCTTAAACTTTAAATGTAAAGCCCTCTATACATAAGTTTCACACGCGCAAAAAAAAAAAAAAATTATAAAAATGCAAATTTTCATTAAAAGTGCTAATTTTTTTTCTTTTTTCATACCCGGATTCAAATTTTCTTATAGGCATAATTGTCAAAAAATCTTGAAATCTTATAAATCTAAATAATAGGAAACACAATCAACATAAAACTAAACTTTATTTTTTTTTTTATAAGTAACATAAAAAAAAAAAATTATTTATTTATTTATAATTAAGTGTTTTTCTCTAACTTAAGAGCTGAGGTTCAAATGATTTGCTGCATTTGCTTTAATTTTTTTTTTCTTTTTTGAGGCCCCTTAAATGATTTGCAACATTTGGTTTCAATTTTTTATTTATTTTTTGGTGGCCCATCATTCATGGGCCTCTTAATTTTGAGGCCTCTTAATTGATTTGCTGCATTTGGTTACAATTTTTTTTTTTATGGCCCATCATTCATGGGCTTATAAATTGTAAGGCCCCTTAAATTCTGAGGCCCTAGGCGACCGCCTTCGTCGCCTTGGGTCAGGGCCGGCCCTGGTCTCATGGCCCTTTGATGCACGAGGGTCCTCTTATTTCACCATTTTGGTGTCATTTTGTTGTGAAAAACATTATTTCACAGTAAAAAATTAGATTAAAGTTTCGGAATATATGTAAAATATTTTTTTTATTTGGTATTTGGCAAAGGTCTATATCGAGATTGAGATTGAGTCCATCGAGCGAGGCATATAAAATAACTTGTCGAAAATTTTTAAATAAATTTTTATTAAATTTTATTTTATTTTTTTCTTTGTAAATATTTTACGACAACCAAACGTTATTTTACATTCAAACAAGCCGAGACTAAGGGAAAAACATTATTTGTGATAAACATTAGATTAAGTATCTATTTAAGTATGCATACTAAATCAAAATGCAGCATTCCCGTTAGCAAAAGAAGAGTAGATTTTTATGCTCCCGTTCACCAATATATTTAAGATTTTAAATTATATATATATATATATATATATTTTCTTCGGACCAAGAAACTCAAGAGTCACGTACCCCTGTGGAAGCAAGAGGTACCAGCCTCACTTAATGGAATTATAACTATTTGAAGGAGTTTAAATTTGATACTTCTTGGAAAAGAAATGCATTCATGGATGGAGTATACTTAAGAAAAATACTTTTACATATTGCATGTCCAAAAACTAGCAAATAACACATTTGATAATTTTTCTTATTTGGTTGAAATTACAATAATGCTAAGTAGCAAATTCAATCATTCAATTATATTATATTATTATTTTAAAATGAGTTAAATGTCTATATTGAATATTAAATTAGATAAAAAAACATTACTCTACTTTAAAAGATAAAATGAAAGTAGATAAAATGAATATTTAGCTTTGTCCGCGTGTCCTCTTATTTGAAGATTTGGCACGCATGATGGATTATGATAAATGGCTATCATCTACTGACTCGGTCCTAAATTTGAGATTGAAAATCTATGAAGTAAACTTACCAGACATGGAATAACTTGATTTGAACTGGTTTATATACACACTAATCCGAAAAGTACATTCTCTCTGACAACCAGTGAAATGGTTGATTAGATAATGAAATCGAGAAACTAGCTTTTTAAAATTCAAGTTGCCACAATATATATATATATATATATATATAAACACACACGATCGCTTTACGATATTAGTTTTTCTTCCGACATTTTTATGATTGCAACCATAGGACCGGGCCTATATAATTTTCCACCCAACATACATCACAACTAGAGAACGAAAACCAAGAAGAAATTCTGGGAGTTCCAAAAATGAACCTGTAAATAGATGGGGGTAAACGACAGTGTAGATGGGACTTTAATGTTAACAAACATCATATATCATTTTCCACCCATCATACAATGAGATGAGAATATACAATTGGAAAACAAATTCAACAAAAACAGGTTGCACAGAATAATCATTTGAAAGAAGTAGTGTAGGTGGCATCTTTCGAAATATGCAAAGATGCAAATGAACCATACCATTCAATAAGAATTTTTTGTACAGCAGCAAAGTTTATACAGATTTACTCTAACCCAATGCAATATATGCTCTTATACTGCACAGCATCAGATTGAACTTTGGCTGGAAAGATGCCATGCAGCAGCACTTATAAAAAGCAGGGCAGCATTTGAAAGAAACAGAGTACACGATCAGATAATGGATCAACAAGAACCTCAAACCCCTCTTCTACCCGACCCTAAACAGAAAAAAGAAAGAAAAAAAGAAAAGAAAACAGACACCAGGATATATATACTAGAACTAGGACCTAGAAAATGTGCATGACTAAAGAAAATCACATGAACACATACATCAAGAATGCTGCAACATTGTCAGAGCTCTGAGAGAATGGCTGGAATGTAGTGAGATAACTCTGCAGTAAGTGACTGAAACCCATTGACAAGCTGCGTATGGAAATCCTGGTCCTCTTCCCCAATCAACCTGAAGTGCACCCGAATGGCACGCTTGCAAACAGCCATAAATTCAAGGAGTGCAGCTATAAGTTGCTGCAGTTCCTGGGAACGTAGCCTAGTCGCAGGCTCACCTGAAAGGAAAGCTGTGCACACACTCAGCACTCCACTGTTCACCTGCAAATAGTGCGTTCAATATTAATAAATACAACGTATGGACCCAGGAATTGAACCAGAAAGCATTGTTGTTTGGAAAGATCAAGACAAATGAAAATCTGATCAAGCACCAGAAAATGATTATATATGACTAGGCAACAATAAAATCAACAAATATCACACAACACCCTCGAAATCGTGATTATAGTCGAACACAAAGTGATGAATTACAAATTAAATGATTTAAAAGATTTAAGTTCATGAAACTCACTTGAACTGCAACAGAGCCTTGAAGTATCCTCTGTAGACTCTGCAGACGTGGGATTTGATCGCCTTCAGAGCTGCGAGGCTCTTCAAGCTCATTTCGTAGTGCAGCTGTTCGAGTTTCTATCATTCCAATTGCATTCTCTACAGGGGAGAACTCAAGAGATTCTGATTTAATTACCAAGAGCCGATTCACTAGGGCAGGGAAAGAGCCCTCAGTCTGAAGAACTGTCCGCCGCTTCCATTGGTCTTCCAATCCACCTTGCGTCTTGCCATTTTTGGTAAAAGGAGTATCAAACAAGAAGCGATCAAAGACACGTGCACGCACACTTCCAGTGGAAAGAGAGAATATTCTCTCCCTTCTGCTTCCCAGATCTTCATCTTCCATTACTGGATCAACGGCAGTTATTTGCAGGTAGCACGCTCGAGGTTCCAACTCATCTGCCTTGACTTGTCTAGAATCAGGAATTATGTGGGTATGATTACCGTCCATCCTTGTATCATATATATGGCTAAGTTTCTCCATTATGTCACCCAACCGTACATCACGAGGCTCTCGGTATACATATTCCTTTCTATCCAGCTTCCCAAATCTTTCACCATAGAATCCCACCCTATAGTATGTGGCATCAGTGAACGGTATTGGGCTTGATTCCTGCTCAAGGATTGATTCATAGATATTTGTTAGCATTGTGTGACTTTTTGCTAGCTGTCCATATGCCCTCCTGCTCTTATAAACTGGAATTACAAGTTCCAGAATGCTTGCACAGAAATGGTAGAGCTCCGCTTGAGAGAAAAGCTTATTTGCAAGCTGCAAGTATTTCACAGCAGAGTCGACTGTGAGTTTAGAAGCGCCATATCCTTCTACCTCAGCTGCTGAGGCCTCAGAAGTTATCTCATTGCTGACCATGGGGCATATTTTGCGTAAAGCAGTAACATGATCACTGCTCCAGACACCATCATTTCTGCTCACAAGGGCCTACAATGAATTTTATTACACATACGAGCAAATAATGGATTATTTGCGCTTAACTACCCCGAAAAGGGGGAAAGGGGGTGGGGGTGGGGGAGAGAGAGGATAATGGTTTGTTGAAAAGGGCATCCCAGGACATCAATATTTTACCACATTTCTGTTTGGTGATTATAGTGACATGCCCAGATCAAAATGCTAACTTGGGTCTCTCAACTCCTTTTGAAATACAACGTTAACAGTAAGACAACCCTAAATATCTTCCATAAATGTGTATACAATATTTTGAATATATATTTATTATAATTATATTTTTCCAATATTTATTAGCACATAAATGTTGCAACAGTAAGTGGAGGATAAATCTCATCATTATCATCCTTGACTTTATCCCGTACATGAATTCTCTTTCAAACAAATCTGTCCATCAATTATACATACCTTTTTTCAAAAATAAAAAATAAAAACGAAAAGCCAAACATTATTAAACCAACTTTGCACTGACACTTGTAAATGTAGGAAGTACCCGTGCTCGACACAGAAATAGGATACTTGTCTGGCATGTCTGGTTGGAAATGCAAACACCAACCATATCTAATATTTCTAATAAACTATATTGTTTTCCATAAAATTCTACTATTATGTAACTTTGTCATATAATTGATTCAAAAAAAGTTAGAAGTATCCATGCAAGATGCTTTTATCTTCCGTAAAGCTAAAAAGAAGGAAAAAATAATTGAACTTTCTCAATCAGTTGTATAATACCTGTTTTAACTACAAGTTTAATCATATCACAGGCAGAGGATGGACTATGGAATCCTTCTATAATTTTGCCAGTATTAACCAGTGGGAATTTGTTGATATGCTAAGATTTTTATTTTTTTCCTGAATAACGTTTAAGACTTCTTTTAAGCATATTGTATGTTGGCACCTTCAAGGGTTAAACATTCTATTTAAGCATGGCAATAATCAGTCACTCCAAGCACCAAAATCAGCGAGTTACCTGCATTACAACACCAGCAACAGCAACAGCACACTGTGCAGCTTCAGCCCAAGACTGCATTTCCTGATGTGCATCACATAGGTGCAACAGCCACATTATGTGAAGATCTGGGACAGGAGCAAAGGCCATTGCAAGTTTATAGAAGCTCTCTGCTGCTGCATATCTATCCATGGTCATCATCGATGCCTGTGAGAAGATATATCCAACATCATAATTGGTTTAAAAAAAAATTATATTTATTTGGATTTCCTAGCTGCAAGAAACCCCGTAAGATTTTACCAAAAGTGCATGTTCGAGGCTTGCATCAAGAGCCAGCAGAAGACTGTCAGTGAGATATTTCACCCCTGACCATGACCATTGGTTCTCTGCTGATCTATCCGGAGTTGCATTTAGTGCACTTTCAGGAAGTCCACACTCCCTTAATAAGTTTTGGCTCTTAGATTCATCTGCCATTTCCTCCAAGGATTTTCGAAGACGTCGTGCTTCACCGCTCTCTTCAAGTGTTCCATCAGACTTCATCTGAGTCACTTGCACGTCGGACATCAACTCTGACAATGTGATAGTCAGCATGACCCTTAACCTTGCTGTCTGCATAAAATAAGAACAAGAGCTCTGCAAAATGGAAGTAAAAAAATTTAAGTCAGGAAGCAACATGGAGAAGATGAAGCCAGAAGATAACATGAAAAAGGAGTAGCACTCTGATGAGCACAAATAATCTTACCCGGATGAGTAACTGTAGCCCAATAACAGCTCTTCTCCTGATGCTATCATTTCGGAAAACTGCAAGACGAAGAAGATGGAAAGCAATTTGCTTTAAGAAACGATCATTTTCCCTTGCCAGTAATGTTGAACCATGAAGATCGAACACACTGTTGAACACAGGAAACAATGCTTTCCAAAAATCCAGCGGCTGATTCCGTGAGAAGAAGCTTGTAAATACGGATGTGATGCAATCAAGTTTTACATAATCAGAAGCAATGGCATGGGATGCCGCAGCCGTTGAAAATTTTTCAGTTACTTCCAAAACCTGAAGACTGACAGCAGCACTCAAGTTTTCTTCCCAAAGTTCCTGAAGTTGATTTCACAGTTATTAGGTGCCCCAATAAATGGGGATAACAGTCTAAAAAAATTTAGAAGGAAACAAGTTTTCTACTTCCTTTTCTTTTTTCCTTTCTTTCTGTTTATATATATATATATATATATATATATATATTGCTGATTGATGGGAAAGATGAGGTTGTTCTGGTGATTAACAAAGAATGATCAAGAAATCATCAGTATATGCCATCACTAGCTTGTCTATTGTAATAATAGCAATTTCCACAGTATACCAGTTTTTGCCTCAATATTGGGTGCAAAGACTCTCTCAGTGCTTGGGCTGAAGCTCCAGTCCTGGAAGATTGAGCCTGAGCAAGAGCTTCCCTTAAGGAATACGGCTGGCTAGGGGAACTGAGCTGGGAATTCACTCTCTGCCACAAGTAACCATTTTCAGGTGTTCCAGTAGGCTGCATTAGAGATAGAGAAAAGATACTAAAGATATATAAAAAGGTGCATTTCTCAATATCTTAAATAAAAAACATTTGCACCAATAACAGTAAACAGTGAAAGAAAAAAGCAAGCTAAAGACATTTTCCATGTCAGCGGGGAATATCAAAGAGTAATCATAGACACTTGAATCACAAAAACGGAAAAACCAACAGAGAAAGTAAACTCACTCTGACTTCTTGCCTTGATGCCTCAGTCAGATAGTGATTAATTGAAGGAGAAAGTCTGTCAGAGTACTTTGGAGACGTAGGTGCATCCCCAACAGGGCTGCGGGAACTACTGCCTGCAAGCATGCTATCAGCAGGTTTCCTGTGCTGCACATTATGCGGTGCAAAGTTATCAAGAATATATAATAAGTTGATCAAGACCAACAATAATGTACCATGGGAAGCTATTCAAATAAACATCCAGATTGAATAACAACAAACACGCTAATATCAACTGTGAAGAAAAACATCCAAAAAGGTACACCAAGAAACATGCTTTACAAAATGAGATAAAAATTGGAAAGGGAAATAAAAAGCGTAGCTGTGACAGATTCAGATGTCTCTTAAATTAAACTAGCAACCCTACTATGGAATGTGTACTCTGGCTATTCATGGAACATCAGGAAAACAAAATCAGATACTAAGTTAATGCACAATATAAAGGACCGATGACTCGATGTTCAATGTTCCAGATACATAAACTTTTAGCAAGCTTTAAAGTAGTGCATTTTGCCACAATGAATCTGCATCTCATACCATTGTGCTTTTAATCACACAAAAAATCAACAAAACTTAAGTCTAATTGCTGCATCAGCACAGCCACAGAAAATCATAGAAAACTTCAAAAAAAAAAAAATCCATGGATAATAGACCAGGATATGAAATAGCCAACATGGGATCTAAGGTCTAGCAAAATACCAAGTAATGCAAACAAAAAGGAAATAGAATTCGACATATATAGGAACCTCAAAAAGAATTAGGCATTCTTCCAACAGTTTGAAAAATAATCTGGTTCGAGCAACGCTATGCTGCCAAGCCTTGACAAGTGATGCATCATCCAGATTGCGTAAAATTTGCAAAATAACAATCAAGACTTCACGCTTTTCAACTGTATTCAGATTGTAAAAGACGGGCATTTCATCCAGAATCTGCACACAACATTATAAATTAAGACATTATACGATATTAATTAAGAGCAAGCAGTCCAAGCAAAATAATGAGAACAGATGTAACCTTCAAACTTAAAATTGAATATCAAATTCATCTTTCGTTTAATTTATTTCTTAATAAAGCATTGAGAAAAGCAGCATTGGTGGGGGAAGGGGAAGGGGAAGTGTTGGGGTATTGGGTGCGGAGCCTATGTACACAAAAGGCCCACATAAAAACTAAGATCCTCCTGAAAGTTTAAATCGCGTGTAAGATCTGTGGAAGTGTAAAGAGAATCAGGGAATTTTCCCAATATTCAAAACAGTAAGGAACTAATTCTCTTCAGGGTATAGGGTGCATCAATTTCTTCAGTCTGCCTCCTCAAAGATGTGTCTAATTCTCTTCTTCCCAAATTCTATCATATAAAAAAAGATTACCGAATAATAGGACAAAAACCCAACCCTGATCACTGATATCAATTAAGTCAACAAGTTACAACTATGAACAGATTTTCCAGACCACCTCATTCATAATAGAAATTTAGAACAGTAATATTGAATCAGTTACTGACTGGGTTTGTTCCATCAAAACGATAACAGACCAACAAAATCTCCGTCTTGAGAGCAATTACCTCAAAGCATCAATGTACTTGAGAGTTGTGCAGCAGAACCAACTGGTTTTCAGGTATGAAAACAAAGTAGAGGGGAGGGTGGAGAATAGATCACCTTGGTTCAATGTCTCAACTTAATTTTTTAATCAATTAGCCGTCAAGCAAAATAAAAATAAGAAGCAAGCACAAAGACACTAGATATAACAAAGAAACCTAATCCAGATCCAAATATTAAACAATGTGAAAGAAAGTCAACAACATTACCGAGTCAGTCTAGATGCTACTCCCTAACTCACTAACCCATTGCTTTACTATCGACACATAGAGTTCCCAGCTAGCGCAAATTCCTCAAAATTACCATCACCAGTCCTCTGCTATCCACGTCAAAGCAATTGCTCCTCATGATATGCTTCCTTTATACCAGTGATCAATAAATAGCTCTATTCAACAACGCAAAACCATAAAACAAGTATATCATCTGTTGCTGCTATCTGCTCTTCAGAAATGCCTTCCAAACTCGAAGAACACTCGCTATCACACACAATCTAAGCTCTCAACACTCAAGTGTGTGTATGGGGGAAAAAAAAAAAAAAAAAGAAGAAGAAGAAAAAAGAAAAGAAAAGAAATTCTGGAAGCTATAGAAAACACTCAAAACTCTTAAAACATGCAGCCCCTCAATATATATGCATAAAGTTGTATAAGCATGCAATATCAATTATATCAAAAAGTTACTTAGTAGCAGTGCTTAAATTCAAGTACCAGTGCTCAACTTTCTAGAATGCCAAGTACCAACACTTGAAATGGGTTCAACTCTGTTATGCTGAGTAACTGTCCTTAAAACTGACAGAACTCATGGTTTTTCCCAAAACTAGCCTTTTTAAGTCCAGATCTCATCCTAACTCTTCCTAAATAACTTTCAAAGTAAGGATGCTTTCCATAGCGTCTTTGCGATGCAACATGAAAACTGAAATGCATGTTACTTGTCCCTAAGTCGGTGAATAACAATCGTTTTTGATCATTTTTCATAATTTTCAAACTCCAACAACAACCAACAAAATGAAAAATTGCAACTCAAAAAAGGATTTTGGCACCATAATTTCCAACACATGACACCAAGTCCTAACAATAATTGTGCAACATGCACATGAGTGAGCTTAAGGTTGATGTCGATCGACGGTAAATCTAGGCATCTGTAAGGGCAACCCATCATGTTGCTAATTCTTTTTCTTTTCATTTTCTTTGGAAGAAAAATCCACAAGGGGACACCAAAGAAGCAGCAATCCATGTACAGTATAGCATATAGAGAGACCAGTCGAGAAAGGGACCAAAAAAAAAAAAAAAACAAAGAAACAAACTAGGGGCCCAACTCCCCATAAACAAGAATACAGTGAAAAATATATCTGACATAATTTTATGATAAAAATCTCCACAACATCTAAAGTTAGTCTATTTCTCCACACCAAGCATACACCACCAAAGGAACAACAGAATTACCTGGCATCCTGGCCTAAATTTTTTCCACTTTCTGTCTACACCAACTCCACAAAACTTCCATGGTTGTACTCGATAGAAAAGAGACAATAGCTAAAGCCACTGGCCAGTGAAAAAGAAGATTATTTACTCTCTTCAGGCCCCTTAGGGAGTGTTACGACAAACACAGCAAACCCAAGAACAAATCAAGAAACATGACAAAAAAGTAATCACACCACACACAAAGAACACAAAGATTTAGTGTCGTTCAGCAAAGCCTACATCCACGGTGGAGATCCGGCGAAAGTTTTCAGTATGCGAAAAATAGGAGATTACAAGTTTCAGCCCCAAACCCTAGCTCTCACTCTCACTCTCACTCTCACTCTCTTTCTCTGCGATTTTCAGTGTCTCAATTGATTCCACTCCAAACCGCAAGGACCCTTATATATCAGGCTACAAAAGAGTACAAAACTGGGTCCATGACCCGCAAGGAAAACAAAACCTGGGTCAAAGCTCATTCAACAGGTCGTCGGCTCGTAAACAAATCACAAAGCGACCCGGCACCAAATTCGGGCCACAACATCACATGGAGAAACTGTCCCCTTCCCATTCGAATATCAACAGTCAAAAGTCTCTCCAAACCCTCAATCTACCAAAAAGAATACACCTTACAAGGAGCTATCGTCCACGTAATAGCTTTCTAAGAAAACAGAGAGGGGCCTCTCCTCTGAACCCTATATCAAACGAGCACTTCGAGCTTCCCCCAAAGGCAGCAAGCACAAGGGTCATCCATTCCAAGAGAACAAGTACAAAGAGCATATGTACAAATTTTAATAAAAGAAAGAGGCTCTAGTTGATCCATCTCCGAGTTCTGTAACGCGTTGCTGAATCAGAGTTTCCAAACCATCTGACACATTGAAGTTTACAAAATTAATCAAAAGATCTTCTTTTGCAACAAATTTGAACTGATCTGGACAAAGAAGACATAATGAACCATCTGGGCATTCAATAGTCAAGCCAACACCTTACGTACCCAAATATCCAATATAATTGGAGAACTCATCCCAGCCTTTCATGATAGTTACAGGTCCACACTGTAGAAAGATTGAACCTCAATCAATGACCATTCACCCTTCCCGCAATCATATCATCCTACAACCACACTTCTGTACATATTGTTTTTTTCTTCTGTATACTTCAAAAATCATTTTTCGTCAACTTTGGTAAATACCCAAACAAGGTGAATCCAATCCCCAGATAAAACATACTCATCTTCAAAGACCCTCTCCAGCATTTTCCTACCAAGGTTTGGAAGGAAAAAAGAGACAAAGACCTCAAGCTCATAAACATGCCATTGGTACTGCTAATCCCACCCTCTTGGACAATTAAACCCCCATATAGCCAGTCACATGCTTTTAAACAACAGATCCCATGCCTAATTTCGACAGAAGAACCTAATGGTGCACCCAAATTAGCTGTGAGAAGGTTACTGATCTTACAACCCAAATAAGACACCAACCACATGATGTTTTCAATACACTCTAACAGGTGTTAGTGGAATAAACATAGAAGTAAAAGTAGTGTAATATTGCTTTGCCTCAATGGAGGTTGGTGTAATTTACCCTTTTGCATAATAAGGATTTTGAAGGCAATATTAAATTGAAATCTCATGAACGATATTTTTTATTGTTCAAAAACAATAATCATTACATTAAAGTAAGAGAAATCTCATAAAATTTAGATCAACCAATAATCAGGTGGAAAGCTTTAAGATGTTGCATCCAATCTATAGGCTTCATATGACCTATAAAGAACCCATTACAATATCTACTAAAAGTGAAAATTATAAAACATGACAAAATGAAGAATCCAAAAGTCATACTTTACCCAAATTACTCAGCCGCCATCAGTGTGGACAAATTGTACACGAGTAAACAATATAAAAAAATTTATGTCTTGCTTCCATGACTAAAGCTGAGAAGATAAACCACATTCTCATGTCATACGGTAACATACATACATAAATATGGACAAATATCATTTCATGAAACATATATGACCTTAAAGTGATAGTTTTATGCATTTCCAATAACGTAATTCTATGGCCTATGATGAAGAGCATTCTAGAACTTCTATTAAGAAAGTTCAAAACAGTTAAGGAACTTGACATGTAACAGAGCAGATTTCCACAAGCAAAGATTCCATGAAAAAGGAAAACCATATATACAGTACTATTAAACTTTAAGAATGCTGTGCACCTGTCCAACGAGTGGAAAATATAGCTGGGAAATATATAATTTATCTTCAGGTTTTTGGTACCGAGCATCAAATTCATGCTTGCACAAAAGGACGACCAAGATCCTAGCCGCCTACAAACAACAAAAAGGAAAGTGTCATTCTAGCTCCATTCAAACACCAAATCGCAAGTGCTACAACAAAATAAAATTTTAGTCGCAAACATTGAGAAAGAGTTGCATTTATATTATTCTGATGGAATGAAAGATATTTTCACCCAGTGAAGAAATAAGACAATCACTTACCAAAAAAAAAAAAAAGAAAAAAAATAAGACAATCATTTGAAATAATGATCTGATGAAAACACCATTCTTCACTCACTTTTGCCCGCTGAGATAAATCATCGTGATCCCAAGTAAGGAAAAGCTCTTGTATTAAAACAGAAGAAAGGTAGTTCCTGTAACGTAAAAATGCACAATGTCAAGAACACGTCTGCACGACACCCAAAATGAGTGATCACAACTATTAAAGAAAACAGATTTGAAATACCAATAACAACAACAGCTATGATAATAGTAATAAACCATATTGACTTGTTTTTCACCTTATGTAGACTAAGAGAAATAAAATAGTAAATTTTAAATTTTACTTCCTTAACCTTGAACCATATTTTTTTTATTTTTTATATGCATATAGTTTTATTTAAAAATTGTTACATCTCTATTTTTTGAACCTTACACATGATATGCTTTTAAACATATATTGTGTACTTACTTACTTGGTAAATTACCTATAGTCAGTTTGTCTTAAATAATCACACTTGAAATGGTATCAGAGCCTGACCCAGCCGGAAGTGTGGCCAACGAGGACATAGGGCCCCACCGGGGGGGGGGGGGGGGGGGGGGGGGGGGGGGTTGGTTGTGGCGACCTTGTGGGCGGGTGTGTGTGAGTGTACAGGTGGCACCAGTAGGCTATTACACTGGGCGAGCTACAGGTGTACAATCCCACATCGCTTGAGTATGAATGGGGCTTATATGTAGATTCAACACCCTTGTATGACATAACACGTTTTAAAGCCGTGATGGCCGTGAACCCATCAGAACTTCGGAGTTAAGCGTGTTTAACCTGGAGTAGTACCAGGATGGGTGACCCCCCGGGAAGTCTCTTGTCCGAGGGAGCCAAAAGCGGACAATACTGTGTCTAAGTACGGTGAGGGTCGTTACAAAGATATTCACAAACTATCGTGTATTACATCATATCTATTAAAAAACCATGGCTTGGTACATTCATAAAATAATTGGAATATCAAGCATGAGAATGCAGGTTCAAATCCTGAGAGTAACCACTTTGAGCAAATAATGCCCAAGATTAAGTCTACATCCGATCCATAGTTACCAGCACCCTCGATTAATGCGTATCCCACTGGGGAATGACCCTTTTCACATATTATCTACTGTTTTCACCTAATTCAGATTTAAATATGTATATATATACATGCATACACATGTATATATATACATATACATATATATATCAAAGACTTTATTCTGAGCTTCTTCGTTGGAGACCTCGTCTAGATGGTCTTCACTTCGATTCTATTTCTGCCTTGGAGAGAGATGGGCTGGAAAATCCTTTTTCGGAGGAGGAAGTGCTGAAGGCTTTAAAGAGTTGCAATGGTGATAAGGCTCCAAGTCCTGATGGTTTCACGATGAGATATTTGTTGGAAAGCTGGGAGGTGGTCCGGTACGAGATTATGGGCACTTTTCATGAGTTCCATTCCACGGGGTGATTTGAGAAATCGCTTAACGCATCTTTTATTGCCCTTATTCCTAAAAAGGGTGGTGCTTCTAATATCAAGGATTTTAGACCCATTAGTCTGATCGGGTGCATTTACAAGATCATTGCAAAAGTCCTTGCCTTTAGATTGAGGGAGATGGAGTTATCTCTGAGTCTCAGAATGCTTTCGTTGGGGGTAGACAGATTCTGGATTCCGCTCTTATTGCTAGTGAATGTGTGGATTCTAGACTTTGTAGTGGGACTCCTGGTGTTCTGTGCAAGCTGGATATTGAGAAAGCCTATGATCATGTTTGTTGGAATTTCCTGTTCTATCTGTTGGAGAGGATGGGTTTTGGTGAGCGATGGAGGAAGTTGATTGTTTCTTGTGTTTCCACTGTCAGGTTTTCGGTGTTGGTGAATGGCTCTCCTTCGGGGTTCTTTGGCAGTTCTCGTTGGTTGAGACAGGGGGATCCTCTCTCCCCTTTTCTTTTTATTATTGTTATGGAGGCCCTTAGCAGGCTGATGAGAAGGGCGGTGGATTTGGGTTTTCTTAGGGGTTTCAAGATTGGCCCTGAATCAGTTCAACAGTTGGAGATCTCTCATTTACTTTTTACGGATGACACTATTGTTTTTTGTGAGGCTGATGTATCCCAGTTGAGGTATCTGAGACGTGTTTTGGTTTGTTTCCAGGCTGTTTCTGGTTTGAAAGTTAACGTGGGAAAGAGTGTGATTGTTCCTATGGGGGAGGTTCAGGAGGTGGACACTCTGGCTGCTGTTCTAGGGTGTGGGACGCAACGCTTTCCCATCTCGTACTTGGGTTTGCCGCTGGGGGACTCGGCTAGGAGGGTGGGAAGTTGGAACCCGGTGATTGAGCGGGCCGAGAGAAGATTAACGGGTTGGAAAAAACAATATCTGTCAAAGGGCGGTAAAGTTACGTTAGTGAAGAACACTTTGTCAAGCCTTCCAACGTACTTTCTTTCGCTTTTTCGTATTCCAGCCTCTATTGTTGGAAGACTAGAAATGCTCCAACGTAATTTCCTTTGGGGGGGTCGCGGAGAAGAGTTCAAGTATCATCTTGTCAAATGGGAACAGGTTTGCAGGCCTATTCAGTTGGGAGGGCTTGGAATTAGGAGATTGGCCCCTTTCAATTGTGCTCTTCTTGGTAAGTGGCTTTGGAGATTTGGTAAGGAAAGACACAAATAATGGAGAAGGGTTATCTCATGTCGCTTTGGGGAGGAGAGAGGAGGGTGGTCAGTTAGACCAGTCAGGTCTGTTAGCGGAGTGGGTGTGTGGAAGGCCATTGGTAAGGGGTGGGATGCCTTTTCTAAACATATTAGATTCAGAGTTCGGGATGGAAGAAATGTCCGGTTTTGGGAGGATCCATGGTGTGATGATAGGCCTTTGGCCCTTTTGTTTCCCAGGCTTTTCAGGATTGCTGTTGACAAACATGCTATGGTTGCTAACTACTATCGCCTTGATAGTGGGATGTGCGTTTCCGGCGAGCTTTTCAGGATTGGGAGCTGGATGATGTCACTGGGTTTTTGGCTCTCCTTTACGGACAGGAGGTGGAGGGGTCTGGGGCAGATTCTTTGATTTGGGTGCCTTCTTCTCAGGGGATGTTCCAGGTCCGGTCCTTTTTTGTGTGCCTTTCTGGTTTTCATGGTGCCTCATTCCCATGGAAGACGGTGTGGAGGTCTAAGGCGCCTCTTAGGGTGGCCTTTTTTGTGCGGACTGCAGCTTGGAGTAAGATTTTGACTTTGGACAATTTGAGAAAGCGAAGGCATATCATTGTTAATAGGTGTTGTCTTTGCAAGATTAATGGGGAGTCGGTGGATCATCTTTTGTTGCACTGTCCTGTGGCTCATGATTGTTGGAGTTTGATGTTTGGCCTGTTTGGTATTCATTGGGTCATGCCTCGCTCATCTCGGGAGTTGTTAGATATGTGGAGGGGCCAATGGGTGGGGGCTCAGGCCAGAGTTTTTTGGAGGGTGACCCCTTTTTTTATTTGGTGGAGCCTTTGGAGAGAGGGTAATGGAAGATCTTTTGAGGGAAAGGAATCCTCCATTGGGGTGTTAAAATTTTCTATCATTTGTAATTTGTTTTGTTGGGGTCAGGGGAGAGACTACTCCTCTCTTGAGGATATTGTTGATTTTATGAGCTCTTTGAGTTCATAGGCTCCGTTTTGTCTTTGTATAGTTTGGAACGTGTTCCCCTTTTGAACACTTTTAATACAATTTACTTATCAAAAAAAAGAATGCCGGTGGCCCTTTAGTGTCCTTGCATTTCGAAGTTTAGAGGATACCACATCATGGGCATGTTTCTCATTGATGCCCGTCCTCTTTACACTTCAACATGTGTCAAGTGTTCCTTTTATTTTATTCCATCACATTATGTTTCTTTGTTGGTTGATAAAGTATCCATATCCACATCACCACTATAATTCTCAATATTTACCTGGCATGTACTTCAATTCACCAACGAAGACTGTCACCATTTCAATCTAAAGAAAAAGAAAACAGGACAAGAAACAAGGGATTCACAGACAAACATCACCTATTCCATCCAATTCCATTGGACTAAGATATGTTGGGTGTATTAGCTGATAATCAGATTTATAAGAGACTAAAAAATATATATCAGCAGACACATAAAGGCACCAAAAGCATTATCTAAAGAATGACCTCTTTAATATACTTGGTACTTGGAAGTACTGGACCCAAAAACAAATGGGTCCATTTCAAGCTAAGGTGATTAAATACTTGTACGCTCCCCAACCGTAACCCCCGTCCCACCAAGAAGAAAAACCCCTCACAAACATGGTGAAAACAAAAGGTAGATAATTAAATGATAAAAGATCATATAGAAAACCATTTTGATAAAGATAAAAGATAATTCTCAAGTAATGTAGTTTAAAACATGAAATATTTTTAGGACTAATAATCTATTTGATATGGTACATAGTGACTACCACGTCCTCTCCAGACCTACGTAAGTTGTTTGAGATCTCGTTTGAGCAACGGTGTTCCGGGTGTTCTTTGCAAGCTGGATATTGAAAAGGCGTACGACCATGTGAGCTGGAGTTTCCTTCTCTACTTGTTGGAGAGGATGGGTTTTGGTGGGCGGTGGAGGAGATGGATTCTTTTTTGCATTTCTAGCGCTCGGTTCTCTGTCCTTGTGAATGGAGCTCCAACGGGTTTTTTCTCTAGCTCGAGGGGCTTGAGACAAGGGGATCCGCTTTCCCCTTTCTTGTTCCTTTTTGTGATGGAGGCTCTTAGCAATTGCTGAAGAGGGCTGTGGAGTTTTGGTTTTTTGAGAGGTTTTCGAGTGGGCAGGGATGTTGCTAGTCAACTAGAGGTTTCCCATTTGATGTTTGCGGATGACACTATTGTGTTTTTTGATGCAGACGCGTCCCAGTTGAGGTATTTGAGATGCGTTTTGATTTGGTTTCAAGTTGTTTCTAGCCTTAAGGTTAATGTTGACAAGAGTCTTCTTATGCCTGTTGGGGATGTTCCTGAGATTGAGTTGTTTGCTCAGATCCTTGAATGTTGTACTAGCTCTTTTCCCATTTATTACTTAGAATCGCCTTTGGGCGCTCCTTCGAGATGCGTGGGGAGCTGGGATCCGGTTATGGATAGATTCGAAAGGAGGTTGGCAGGTTGGAAAAAGCAGTACCTGTCCAAGGGGGGTCGGGTTACCCCGATTAAGAGCACCCTTTCTAGCCTTCCTACTTACTTCATCTCTCTGTTTCAAATTCCTTCTTCAGTGGCTGAGAGAATTGAAAGATTGCAATGCAACTTTCTTTTTCTTTTTTTTTTTTGGGGGGGGGGAGGGAAGGGAGAGGAGTTCAAGTTTCACCTGGTTCGGTGGGATCAAGTGTGCCGTCCACTGGTTCAGTGGGATCAAGTTTGCCGTCCAATTCGGTTTGGAGGCTTAGGGTTAAGAAGGTTGTTGCCTTTTAATAAGGCTCTCCTTGGTAAATGGCTCTGGCGGTTTAGGATTGAAAGGCATTGGCTATGGAGGAGAGCTATTGCGAGCAAATTTGGGGAAAGTAGCTGTGGGTGGTGCTCTCTTGCAATGCGTTGCCCAAGGGGGGTGGGAGTTTGGAATTTCATTCGGAGGGGTTGGGATGATTTCTGCAAGCATGTTTGTTTTCGAATTAAAGATGGAAGGAGGATCATTTTTTGGAAGGATCTCTGGTGTGGGGAACTCCCTCCTGCTCTTGCTTTCCCATGGCTCTATAGGATTGCTTCTCACCGATAGGCCATGGTTGTTGACTGTTATCATCTTGATAACGGGAGACTGACTTGGGCTATTCAGTTCAGCAGCCATTTTCAGGATTGGGAGATCGAGGATGTTTCTCGCTTTCTGGATAAGATTTTAACCCAGGATAATTTGAGGAGGAGGAATCAGGTGGTGGTCAATCATTGTTATATGTGCTTGTGCAATGAGAAGTCAGTTGATCACCTCCTTTTACATTGCAGCATGGCCAGAGATTGTTGGGATTTGATGCTTGGTTTATTTGGGGTCCATTGGGCTATGCCTTTTTCCTCTAAAGGGTTGATTGAGGCTTGGAGAGGCGTCTCAGTGTGGGCTTCCATTTGTGATGCTTGGAGGGCTACGCCGCTTTGTATTTGGTGGTGTATTTGGCTCGAGAGAAATAGGAGATATTTTGATGGAAAAAAGAAGCCTGTTTCTATGCTTACGTTCTCTGTTATTTTTACTCTTTTTTGTTGGGTTTCAGGGAGAGATTATAGATCTACGGAGGATATTATTGTTTTTTTGGCCTCTCTGAAGGTCTAAGGCGCCCTTTGGCCCTTTTGTTTCTTTGGGTTCTACTCCCCTTTTGAGCGTTTTTAATAAAATCTTACTTATCAAAAAAAAAAAAAGAATTTGTGCTGCTTCATGACACTTCAGGAATTCAAAAGCTTAAAATATAACACACCCATTAACAGTATGATTGCTGGGTGGATTTTCTTGGCCATTAAAACCATAATAATCAAGATGGGCTAGTTATCTCAGCTAGCCACCACAAGATCTCAGATGTTGATTGTTCTCAGATATTTGGAGTTACCAGGCCAAGAGCTGCTAGGTTGTAGCCGAGCTCTTGCCTCATCTACAAGATTAGAAGAGTTCAATATATATATATATATATATATAATAAAATTAAATAAAAATAAGAGGAAAGACAGTAGGTGTAAGGTACCTATCTGAAGGATCACGCCCAGGCATTTCTACAAATAGATCATGATCACATATGATCTGCAGAAATGTAAGCTTGCAGTCATGCAGAACTGATTGACATACCCCAGAAAATTTATCCAAGTACAATGATACCTGCATGAAATGGAAAATACTTTGTAAATATATGCCAACCAAAAATAATAGGAAAAAGGAGACAAATAATACAAAGACATGACTCTATTTCTGTACATATATAAAGTGTCCTTTTAACAACATTGCTTCATGGATAAGTTTTAAAAGTGCCCCAAAAATGAAATGATTAAAAGTGCCCCAAAAATGAAATGATTAAAAGTGCCCCAAAAATGAAATGATAAAAAGTATATTGCAAATGTAAAATTACACTTGGAAAACCAAGGCACTGACAGTAATTTAATTTTCTCCCCTTCTATCACAGATGACAGTTTACTCTTCTTCCTATTTCTCCTTATCCTTCCCCAAAACTCTGCCCAACAACATATCCGTCACAATGCCCCTCCCGCTGCCTACACCAAATTCTAGATAGTCAAATGTTCAAATATCTAACAAGAATCGGGAAATCTTCTTTGAGCGTTTGCTGCTATAGTGGTTGAAATGGATGGGATGGATTCTCAGCCTTGATTCTTGGTGGTAGGTAGAGATGAGGGTGTCAGATAAAGATTGTGCGCTTTAGCTAGTTTCCACAAGTAAGGCCTTAGGGAGAGACAGACAGAGAGAGAGAGAGAAAAAGAGAGTACTTGGAAACAGTGACTATATGGACAAACCCCTCTTCCATTCATTTCTAATTTTCTTCTCATCATCAGGTGCCTTGATATAACCACGTCAGCAGTCAAATCATTAATGCATTGTCATCATTGCACTAGGGCAGTGCAACAATATCAACGGTGGTCGGGTGGTGAATTGGACACACCAAATACAGATAAATATATATTCAGTGACATGGGTACCAAGAATGCACAAAAAAGACCACAACTTCGGAAAATATACCTTCAGTTATTTGGGGTAACGAACTCATAAAGCATTGGATTCCTTTAGAGAACGTACTAGGAAATGGTTATACTAATACACGAGCCTCTCCGTATATGAATAAAACCTTACGTGGTACTTCTAGTTATATGTTCCTACCATCTATCCCCCGAGTTAGGTGCCGCATGCACCACTATTAAGATATATGATTTTTTTAGTAAATTACTCTCAGACCCCCCCCCTGAGGTTTTGCGAAATTACCCTCAGACTAAAGTTCTGAAACAACCTCCATTGAGGTTTTCCAAAATCACCTTGACGACCCCTGTTGTTAGTCAACTGTTAGATCAGTTAAAGGAATAACTGCTTAAACCCAAAAATGCCCTTGTATAAAACAAAATGAGGTAAATAACCATTAACTTTATGAAATGAACATTTTAACTTAATTTCATTGGACAAAAATATCCTTACGGATAACCCATATATACAAAGAGATTATTAGCACTTTCTCTCTTGCTAACAACATTACCCTTAAAAGTTTAATAATTTAATTATAAATAATTAACAATTAATATATAACTGAAAATTAAATATATATATATATAAATATTAAATTTACATTTAAATTACAATATTTAAAATTAAATACACACACACACACACACACAAAAATTGATACATTATTTTACTTGCATTTAATTCATTTCACTCTTTGAAAAACATTCCCAACACCGAATTAGCCCCACCATGATCGTGAATCAACTTCAATACTTTGCTTATTCTCCGCTTAGAATCTCGATGAATTCGTGTGACTTCTATTAGTAAACAACTTAATACCATCTCATCAACCATCATCCTCATATACCCTACACTACCCGACTCACACATAGGAGGGGCAAACAGTCCTTGTTCATACCATATTCCTCAATCAGACATTGTCCATGGATTTGCTGATATTGGTCTTTATCTAAACTAGGGTTTCTATGCCAAGCCAATGGACCTCCAAACCAATCATCGGAATTTCCAAGAAACGAACGATGGAGATCCACAGTAGGTGTAACGGGTTGATCACTTTCCATCCAACCCAAAAGCTTAATTAGGTTGTGCTGCCTACCCGCCGTTATAAGCCCATGACCCTCCTCGTACATATCTGATGTGGGACTAGAGCAATATGACAATAAGCCTATAATGATCCAAGAAACAGAGAGTATAGAATAATAGTATTTGGAAGGAGTGATCGTTTTGTGGTAGAAATCTAGGGGCTTGATTAAATAAGGGGTGGAGATGACAAAACGGGAAATGAGAAATTGAGTTTGTTGCATACAGAATTCTAATTGCACCAACAATTTCTGCTGAGGAGGGAATTCGTGGGTAACGCTGCAATTAGTTAGAATTTTTGTCATACTTATTAGGTTATAGTGGAAGTGGAGAGAGACATAGAGTAGCAGTGATGCTGGAGAGATAGAGATAAAGATAAAGGTGTGCCGGTGGGGGGGGGGGGGGGGGGGGGGGGGTTTCGATTTGGTAGATGAGAGAGAGTATGAATGATTAGTAATTAACTATTGTGAGAGGGTAAATAAGTAAGATCAACATATTTTGCTTAAATCAGTTAATATAATAATAGTACGGGTATTTTTGTAATTTTACCATGGGTGCAAACTGACCAAACGGATTCAACCTCTGAGAAGGGTGTCAGAGTGATTTTTTCAAAACTTTAATGTGAGGATAATTTTAGAAAATCTTAAAGGATCTGATAGTAATTAACCCTAATTCTTATTGATGCTTAGATATGGAGTTATACCATTACTAACAACACATTAGTCTTGAGCACATATAACTCCGCGTCGCCATAGATTTTGCCATGACACTCAAAATATTCCCTCTTCGTTATTGACATCATAACTAAAGTCTATCTTCTTTTCACAAGAGTATCAGCAGCAACATAATTGCTTGCAAGCTTTTGTTCATGCATATCTTATGCAATTGAGTACATGCAACACTTCCATCCTTTGTGAATTTAGAGATCCTACAACGATATTATGATAACGCAGAATCTATAATTGAAATCCCATGAATTTGCTGATTTTTGTGCACCATACCCATATTAATCCAGAGTCAATTCCATACTACTGTAACATGCATTATAGTTCATGCCAAAAGGAAAAACAAAAGCAAACGAAATTCAAATTAAATAGAAAGCATACCAATTCAAAAACTTGGCGAGGCTCAATGATGGACAAGAGATCATAACAAAAAAAGGCCAGACTGCTGTTTAAACGTTTCGCCAAGCTTAATCCTTTCTTGCAACGCTCATGCACTTCTGTAATAAGGCAATCATATAATTGCATAATACATCTGAACACACCTTCTTTCAATTGCATTGGCGGAACGTCTTCACCTATTGCATAAAATAAAAAATAAAATAATATATATATCAATACAGTATCGCCCGCCAAGAGAACATCTTTAATACATGAAAAGTAAAACCTCAACCAGATTTAACAGCTTTCTTTTGTCATAAAATAGCATTGAATGAGATCAGTAATTCAACAAAGAAAAGAATGCAATTTTTTGCTAATAATCAAACCTCTCAGTAGGAACAAATTTTTTACAGGTGGCAGTATGTTAGTGATATGACAATGCCTGATGGTTGAGTTGTTAATCTCTAATCTTAGCTTTGGGGTTGGTTCTCTTCTTTTTGTAGGTAATCATCTTCCGGAATTGCTGGGTAACATTGTCTTCTTCCCAGTTTTCAATTCTATTAAGGGACATTCCAATACAGGAGAAAGTAGGAACTTCAAAACCAGATTGACAGCTAATTCAAAGTCTCAACATTTTCCCTTTTGTCAGTGCAACACTTCAACAAAAAGAGAAGCATGCAATTCTGTTAATAACCAAGAATGTGATTTTAGTAGGGTTTCAAGTTCTTTGACTGCAAGTTTGCTAAATCTGTGTGGATGTAGTGAAGCCTACACTATCAGGTCAGTTTGAACAAGTTCAGAGGTTACAAGAATCATTACCAACGTTAGTTATTATGTTATTCCTTTATATTAGCCATTAATTAGGTTTTTTCCATTCTTCAGGTTCTTCTCTTAGGTAGCGATGGGTAGTTGGGGTCCTCGTCCCCTTTCCTGTTTTTTATTCTATTAAAATTCAACATTCATCAAAACAGAAGAAAAATACTCCTCGTCCACAATTAAAAGAATAAAAAGCAGGTGTGGCTCAGCAACTCTGCGATCTTCCAACCCATGGCAACATGTTGTGGGGAACTGTGTCAGAACCATGTTGTGGCAGAAACAGACTCAGCACCCATTTTAAATTTAAAGTATACATGCTACTTAGTCTACAAGCATCATCATGCCAAATCATAATTATTTATGCACATTATGGTAAAATATAAGATTAATGACAATACATCAGTCAAACAACAAAACCATATCCCTATTTATACAAAACACTGTATGTCTGCCTCATTTAATTATTCGTTTCTGAAAAAAATCAAATATTATGAATCATATAAAGTTTAAAATTATCACACCAAAAAAAAAATAAAAATAAATAAATAAATAAATCATCATCAATCATTTTGATTTGTCTTTAATTTGGATACCTAGTAGAAGGATATTTCTTTTCCAATAACAGATGTTAAAAGGGGGTAAAAAAAAACGATCTGCTTAGAAATGACAAGAATCTCACTGTTTAAATGGAAAAAAATTGCAATATTTTGCAATCTAAAGCTCTCTATGTTTGTAAAGTGACAGAAAAATTTAGATCATGAGTTGGTTCCCCAAACCTCGTAGAAGTCAATCATTGTACTCCCCAAAGGGTTTAAGGATATAAGGACTGGAAGTAGAACAATAAAAAAGCAAAAGGAAGATGAACTGTCAACCATCTTCAAAATTCGCAGTTTCCGTGATAGAGAGGACGAACAAAGTCAATATGCATTGCCTATTCAAACTGAGACATCAACCAGGCCAGCCAATTTACACACTCAATACCAAGTGGAAAGATTTTATTTTTCTTTTCTTTTTAAAAAAAAAAAAAATCAATGCTTCACAGATTTTTTTTATCAGTATTGTTCAATAGTTAAAACCAAAAGACAGATTGCTGGTAAAGAACTTTGTAAAAAATATTACATGATAAGCCAATGCTTATGCTTTATAAAATTGCTTTTCTGAGGATGATATTTGGATGGTACAAACATAGATCCGCTAAGTAGAAACGGGGAAAATGTAAATATTAAGATTTTCCCCTTAAATTAACAAAAACTAATAGAGGATAGAACTGCCTCTTTCAGTTGAAAGAGGGAAATGGTTGGTGATTTGATATTACACGTTGAAATAATGATTTTCCCCTTAAATTAACGCGGCCTGAGCCTACTGCTCCGACCAGTCACCGGAGTCATCTACTCCGGTGAAATCCTCTGCTACTTTTCTTGTTTGTTTCTTTTTTCTCTCGTCATGCGTTCTTTCTTGGAAGTCGCTCGACTGCCTCGCTTGTTTCAGGGTGGTTTCGCAAGGTCTGCTTCCACTTACAGAGGTAACTCGATCTTCTTGGATGATGACTCGGTTGGTAAGAGAAGGGAGGATTTAAAGACTTGCTTGGTAGGAAAATTTGACAAAGAAGTGGGGAATAGAGATCAGATTGCAACTTGGGCTTCACGCGCTTGGAAGGTCTCGCCAGTGGTGGTCGTCTCGCCTTTGCCGGATTCTTTGCTTCTCTTTCAATTTCCATCTAAAGTGGAGGCTGAGAGAGTGCTCAAGGAGGGACGCCGCGATTGGGGGAAGGCCACTCTCTGTGTGGATTCGTGGAATTTTAGGGTGGGAAGCTCTGAGGTGTTAAAAATGAAAGGGCTGAAGAAAGTTTCGTTGTACGGCCTTCCTCTTCACCTATGGAACCATGCTCTTTTTGTGACGGTTGGGGATTTGTGTGGAGGGTTCATTTGGGTAAATGCGGATGAATCCATTGATGCTGAGAGGGTTCAGATTACCGTGTCAGATGGTTGTGCTTGCCCGCCTTTCATTTTTATTCATGATGACCAATTTTGCTATAAGGTGGCCGTTTGGGAGGAGACTCTTCCACAACTCATCCCGACGACGGACAGTCTGGAAGGGGTGATGGTTCTCACTTGCTGAAATAAGTGGAGTGGTTGAGGTGGGTCTCCATGGGTGAGAAAGGGATGGAGGAGTTTCAGAGATGGAAGGAGTGGAGAGAAAGGCATTGGGATCGCAACACTGCCTGTTTTAGAAGGATCTTTACTCAGCGTAGGAGGGATAGCCATTCTTCCTCGAAGGTTGGTGGCTGGAATCTTGGTCGCTGGGATTTGCAGAGGCAGCAGATGTTCTTTCACGCACAACGGGCGCATAGATGGGGAAGCGATGGTGACCACCCACGTGGTTGGCGCAAAAATGACAACCGTTTCAAATGGGTTACAGCTGTACCCAATTTGAATTCTGGCATTGGGGCGAGGAAAGTTGATTTGGGCTCAGGCGGTGGTGGGCTTGCTTCTGGCCAGTGATTGGACCAGCGGTTGGGGCTATTGTTGTGCAGGGTCAAGACTCATTTCCTGTTGGGCCAGTTTCTGGGCCTAACTTTAATAAGGTTCATGGGTCTATGATGTGTGGGAATGATAATGGTGAGGCGGCCCCTTTTTGCTCGGATGGTCCATCAACTGTTTTGGGCTGTGGGCCAAGTTCAAAGCCTATTGTTCCCGTGCCTTTTTGCTCTGGACTGGATGTGGCCAACCGGTTTGGACCACTTTCTGTTGTTGGTCTATCTCAGTTGTCTGGTTCATCACTCTCCAAAGACAGACGGCGTACAAAGTCTAATTCTCAGGGGCACCGACTGAGATTTAAGAAGAGGATCCTCCTCCTGGCCATGCGAAGAAAATGGACCCGAAAGGAGAAACAAAAATGGATTCCTAATTCAGACTCTCTCCCGGGTAAGTTGGTCTCTTTGAATTGTTCTTCGCCTGTGGGTCCTTCTTCTTCTTCCCGTTCTTTTTCTTCTGATTTTCCGAGGACCTACTCGGAGGGTTTGTTGAGGCCGGTGTCTTCTCTGTCCAACAACCTTTCCTCGAACTTAAAGGATGGTTTGAAAAATGGGCGAAAGAATGTTCTTGGGGATTTCCAGGTTGACGGATTGAGTCCATCTCGGTCTGTGGTTCAGAAGGGTGAGAGTGTTACAGTGTGTGGTGGGCGTGATTTGAAATTTTGTTTGGATGATGCTTCTGCGACTGTGTTGTTGAGTGAGTTGCGAACTCACTTAGCCTTAAAAGGTTTTCAATGTGGGATGAGTGGGCCTTTGGCTGCTGAGGAAAAAGGGACCCCGCTGGCTGGTCTCTCCCCTCCCTTGTCAGTCTTTGAGGATGGGGATGGTGGATCATGTTCTTTTTTTTAGGATTTGGGGATGGGGCAGTGGAATGGCAGTGAGACGAATTTTGATTTTTTTGCTCCTTTGGCTGTTGTTCATCCGGATGAGGTTTTTGAGGATGGGGCTGGTTTTGATTCAGGAAGGGCTGATAGAGAGGAGAGTTGGGTGAGGGAGAAAGGATTTGAGAATGGCTCATTGTTGGGAGTTTCTTTTGAAGGTAGAATGGAGGCGGCGACGAATCTATTTCTGGAGGTTCTGAATTCTCAGCATTTGGAAAGAATGGGTGGTAGGGAGAGTGGGGGGAGCCTTCCGGTGGAGGTGGAGGAGAGGGGAGTGTTGAGCTCAACGGCACTTGTCACTAATGAAAGAAGAAACAAGGGTTCTAGGGAGAAGGGTTGTGGAGGGAGGGGTGAGTCTGTTTGCTCTGTTGTTTCCCTACGAAGCAACAAATTCTTTCATGGAATGTCCGAGGTCTCAATAACCCGACTAGAAGGAAAGTGGTGAAGGCGGTGATTCATAAAGGGGGTGGGCATGTTGTGTGTTTGCAAGAAACAAAAATTGAGACGATGACGGATTTGTTGGTGCGTAGCTTATGGGGAGGAAGATTTGTGGAGTGGTTTGCTTTGGATGCTATTGGCTCTGCGGGTGGTGTTCTTGTGATGTGGGATAACCGGTGGGTCTCTATGATGGACTCTCAGGTTGCGCTTTTCTCTACTTCTTGCATTTTCTCTGTGTTGGAGAATGATTTTCGTTGGGTTTTTTCTGGCATTTATGGTCCTACAGAGGACAGTGTGCGTCATTTGCTTTGGGAGAAGTTGGGAGAGGTTCGCAGGAGATGGTCTTTGCCTTGGTGTATTAGCGGGGATTTCAATGTTGTTCGTTCCCCGTTTAAGAGGTCGTCGGGTGGTAGGTGGACGGTCGAGATGGAGTCTTTTTCGGAGTTTATTGATGTTTTTGGATTGATTGATCTGCCTTTGGTGGGAGGGCCCTTCACTTGGTCTAGTGGTCGTTCTCCTCCTACCTTCTCTCGACTTGATAGATTCCTTGTGTCGAGCGATTGGGAGGAGCACTTTTCGGATGTTGTCGAGGCCACTTTGGCTCGTCCTTTGTCTGACCATGTTCCATTGTTGTTGGATTATGGTGGGCTGCGCAGTAGAAGATCCCCTTTCAGGTTTGAGAATATGTGGCTTCGGACTGAGGGTTTTCTGGATCGTGTCCGTTCTTGGTGGGTGGGGTATGGAGTTGTTTGCACCCCTAGTCACTCTCTTGCAGGTAAGCTGCGTTTTTTGAAGAATGATCTTAAAGTCTGGAACAAAGAGGTTTTCGGTAATCTTGCGTGGAGGAAGAATAGGGTTTTCTCTGAGATTGTTGATATTCATAGATTGGAGGTTCAGGGTATTTTGACAGATTCCTTGAAACATAAGAGGGTGGAGTGTCAGACAGAGTTTGCTGAGATTGCTGTCAAGGAGGAAATATCTTGGAAGCAAAAGTCTAGAGTTTTGTGGCTCAAGGAAGGTGACAACAATACGAAATTTTTTCATAAACTTGCCAATGGTCACAAAAGAGGCAATCATATTGGGAGGATTTGGATGGATGGGGAGGTGTTTTTCAAGGAAGAGGAGAATTGTAAAGGTTTTGCTGATTTCTTTTCAGTTTTGTTCACTGAACCGGTTGGGTGGAGACCTTTACTGGCTGGGTTCCATTTTGACTCTACTTCGGGCGAGGAGAGTTCATTACTGGAGGTGCCTTTCTCTGAAAAGGAAGTTTTGTCTGCTTTGAAGAGCTGTAACGGGGATAAAGCCCCAGGTCCAGATGGTTTTTCCATGAGTTCTTTTTGGAGTGATGGGAGGTGGTCCAAGATGATGTGATGGGCTCTTTTCACGCTTACCGTGCTCGAGGCTCTTTTGAGAAGAGCTTGAACGCCACTTTCATTGCTCTCATTCCGAAAAAGGGAGGTGCGCTGGATGCTAGGGATTTTCGTCATATTAATTTGGTGGGATGTTTTTACAAGTTGATTTCTAAAGTCTTAGCCTCTAAGCTGAGGAAGGTTCTGGATGGCGTCATCTCTGATTCTCATAATGCTTTTGTGGGAGGCCGTCAGATTTTGGATTATGTTCTTATTGCCAGTGAATGTGTGGACTCCAGGTTGAGTAGTGGGGTGCCGAGTGTTTTGTGCAAGCTAGACATTAAGAAGGCTTACGACCATGTGAGTTGGAGTTTCCTCATTTACTTGATGGAGAGGATGGGGTTCGGGGGGCGATGGAGGAGATGGGTTCTTTTTTGTATCTCTAGTGCGCGCTTTTCTGTTCTTGTGAATGGGTTCCGAAGGGGTTTTTCTCTAGTTCAGGGGCTCGAGACAGGGGGATCTGCTTTCTCCTTTCCTTTTTCTTTTTGTGATGGAGGCGCTTAGCAGGTTGTTGAAAAGGGCTGTTAAGCTGGGATTGTTGAGAGGCTTTCGAGTGGGTAGAGATGGTGCTAGTCAAGTGGAGATTTCTCACTTGATGTTTGCGGATGATACCTTGGTTCTTTGTGATACGGATGCGTCCCAACTGAGACATTTAAGATGCGTTTTGATTTGGTTTTAAGTTGTCTCTGGGCATAAAGTGAATGTCGGAAAGAGTGTTTTAGTGCCGGTTGGGGATGTTCCTGATATCGAGATGTTTGCTCAGATTCTTGGATGTCGCACTGGCTCTTTTCCTATTTCTTACTTAGGTTTGCCTCTGGGTGCTCCTTCGAGATGTGTGGGGAGCAGGGATTCGGTGATGGATAGATTTGAGAAGAGGCTAGCGGGTTGGAAAAGGCAGTACCTCTCCAAAGGGGGGCAGGTCACTTTGATCAAGAGCACTCTCTCTTGCCTTCCCACCTATTTTATCTCCCTTTTTCAGATTCCTTCTTTGGTGGCTGAGAGAATTGAATGTTTGCAGCGTAATTTTCTTTAGGGGGGGAGAGGAGAGGAGTTCAAATATCATCTGGTTCGATGGAAACAAGTGTGCCATCCTCTTCGGAGTGGAGGTTTAGGGATTCAAAGGTTGTTGCCTTTTAATAGGGCACTTCTTAGGAAATGGCTTTGGAGGTTTGGGGTTGAGAGGCATTGGCTTTGGAGAAAGTTATTGCCAGCAAGTTTGGGGAAATCAGTGGTGGGTGGTTTCTCCTAAGGTGCGTGGTCCTAGGGGTGTGGAGGTTTGGACTTGCATTCAAAAGGGCTGGAACGTTTTTTGTAATCATGTTCGCTTTCGGATCAAGGATGGTATGAGGATCAAATTTTGGGAAGACCTTTGGTGTGGAGAGCTTCCCCTTGCTCTTTCTGTTCCTCGGCTTTACAGGATTGCTTCTGACAGGCAGGCCTTGGTGGTTGATTGTTATCATCTTGATAACATAAGAGTAACTTGGGATGTTCAGTTTAGGAGGCATTTTCAGGATTGGGAAATTGAGGAGGTCACTCGTTTTTTGGAGTTACTGTATCGTCAGGTGAGCTCTCATGAGGAGTCTGATTGTTGGCTTTAGAGTCCACACTCTAAGGGTCGGTTCGAGGTGAGATCCTTTTTCAAGTGCCTTTCTGTTGGGGAGGGTGGCCCTTTCCCTTCGAACATTTGGCGCTCCAAAGCTCCCCTTAAGGTGGCCTTCTTTGCTTGGACTTCTGTCTTGAGTAGGATTTTAACCCAAGATAATTTAAGAAGGAGAAATCAGGTGGTTATCAATCGCTGTTACTTGTGTCGACGCGATGAGGAGACTGTGGATCACCTTCTGTTGCATTGCAGTATGGCCAGAGATTGTTGGGATTTGATGATTAGGTTATTTGGGGTCCCCTGGGTTATGCCATATTCTTCTAGAGGGTTGATTGAGGCTTGGAGAGGCTTCTCAGTTGGGGCTCTCATCCGGGATGCTTGGAGGGCTACCCCTCTCTGTATTTGGTGGTGCATTTGGCTCGAGAGAAATCGGAGATATTTCGATGGCAAGGAGAAATCCATTTCTACGCTTAAGTTCTCTATTATTTCCACTCTTTTTTGTTGGGTCTCAGGGAGAGATTATCGTTCTGTTGAGGAGATTGTTATTTTTTTGGCCTCTTTGAAGGCTTGAGGCTTTTTGTGGCCTTTTGTTTCCATGGGATTCGCTCCCCTTTTGAGCGTTTTTTATAAAATTCTTACTTATAAAAAAAATAATAATAATGATTGTAATTTTTACAAAAATCAATATTCTAAATTCCACCCAGCAAATCTAGTTTATTAAACTTCCCTCAGGATGTAAAGTCATCTTCAGTGCACAGTGCTTAATGATGCTTCTCACTAGATTTTTGTGCTCAATAATAATCTCAAGAAAACAGTCTTAGGTACTAATGAGTGCATTAATCTTCCACTGTCAAGAATTTGGAGGGTGTACTAGAAGCCCAATGATTACACTTTGAAACTTCCTTCCATGATTAAGTCAAGAAATATCTGGAATATGAAGTCCTTCAGAGGGCTGAAAAGCATCCTGGTTCATGGGGCAGTAAATTTTGTCCTAATAGAGGTAAGATCACTTAGATTAAAAGTACCGCTTTTCTGTATACAATATACATGGATGACTTTAGTCTACATTCCATATTCCAGTGTAAGGGGCAGAAGGATTGGAAAACATGGATTGCAAAAATTCTTTTGGGCATAACGAAAATGGTACCATCTTTTAACCGGAAAAAATGTAATCACGCATAGATGATCTGAGTGTTCGATTCTTCTAAGAAACCTTTCCATGAAATGGTTGTGTAAATTTTCATCATGCTGGGGTTTGTGACACATCCATTGAGAAGGGGGGCCGGGGGCAGAGGAATTTGATAATCCCTGAACATCCCAAACATATCCCAATATGTCATTCAATCAAATCAACAATAAACTTATTATGTGCACTTCAGTAAATATTAACGCAACTATTTCAAGTAATTGCTGCAAAAAACTGCAAATTTTAAAAATACTTGTATTTGTTATACCCAAAAAAAACTTTTCTGCATTATAGATAATGAGAGAAATGCATGGATTAAACACTTACCCAGTGGAAGATTGTGATAGAACAAGCGAGTTTGCTCCAATGCCATTGACTTGACAATTAATTCTAGGAAAAACCAAGCCATTGCCAAGACATCATCATATACTGGCCCAACACGGTAACCTTTGGCCTACAACATAGGTTGAAAACAAAGTAAATGGAGTAAAATAAAAATAAACATATATTACCACAACATGCAATGATAGGGTATCTAGTTTCAAAACATCTTTATCACACAACAGCACAAAACATACAACACATTTAAGTATGCTATACACAACTGAAATACATAAAACCAATTATTTGCAGCATATTAGGAATCCAAAAATAAAATAAGAAAAGAAAAACCATAACTTAGTCAATGCCTTTAGTTCATGGATCTTGAGGATTGAATAATCGATCAACAAAGGGGAAAAGAAAATAAAAAAAATAAAATTGAAGGAAAAGTGGCCATTATAGGCCTTGGCAATCAGACCATGCCTGGATGAAGTATTTAAAACATGTTGTTTTAAAGATTAAAAATGCAAAAAGTATCTAGTGCTTGCACATTATTAAAATTGAAAAATGAAACAAAGGCAAAAAAAAAAAAAGAAATAGAAATATAGAACTGCATAAGAAGCCTTGAAAACTAAAAAAACAAAACTGTGTCAACCCCAAATGCAGTACATCTGACTATTAGAGAGTATGTCGCAGCTCGGGTCTCAAGAAAAATCATCGCCACCAACCCACAACCTCCACACCTATACCAGCAAACGCTGCCAATATAGAACTAGCATTGTTACACCTATCTTTGTAAAAACCACATCATACCATACTGTAGCTGCACCATCAGTGGATAAACACCTCCAACAACCAACCACATCCTGCACCTCCACTCGAAACATCACAACAGCATCCATTCTCGATACTATCATGACCTAACCCACCAAATATGGCTATCATGTTCATCAAAATAGGTTTGACATCAATAAATTGGCCATAAGCTGTTGATTTAAACGAAAAAAATAAATAAATTCCACCAAGTCAGGAAATGGAGAACACGAAGTATATTTAATATGCTTGAAGATAGCACCACAAAGCATTTGTAGAGGTACAAGGAGGAAAGAAAAGAAAAACTAGAGTGAAAAAACGATGGAATTAGATGACTGTTATTGAAGAATATAGTAACACAAGAAAAACAATCATCTCCCATAGAACCACAAGAGGAAAGCACCACTACAAAATGACAAAAATGAGATCCATCCGTAACCATAAAGATCAGGGTGACGATACAGTGTGAACCATGACAAAATAATGAACTGTGAGAGATAAATACCTTACTGCGAGCCAAACTTCCCCAAACAGTGGACAAACCAGGATAAACAGGTGGTTGACGACCCCCAAAATCATCAAAAGCAAAATCAACATAGTTTACTAGAAAACGGTTTCTTTCTGCTTCATCAACCGACTCTTGCTGCACCCTACAGAGTACAATTCCATATACTATGAAATGATAGAAAAAGAGTTCTGATTGATAAAATTAACCACAGCAATTGCACACGGTTTTCATCAAGCCCAATGAGTTGGACAATAATAATGGCCAATCCATTCCCATATATGGATACGTAAATACATAAACTAGCACAAAAAGCAAGATTTCTTATCGTCACAAACTAAAAACTAGAGGCAACCGCTACATATCAACTTATTTTGCATAAATTTTTTATTTGTCAGGTCACATTAGCATCCCGTGACTTTAATATAGTTCAAATATGAACTTTTGTGCAATTAAGATGGTTCTTGTCTTAGAACTACTTTTCTGAGATAAAGAAAGAAATTTACCCGAACTATTATATAAAAGCAACAGCATTACTTCCCATTTCCCAATTTGGACTTTCCCATGTTAAATTGTTGGAATGCTCCTAATCATATATCACAGATATGCCAATTTCTCTCTCAACCCTTTCCTCCACCACCCCTCCTCCTTTCTTCTCTCAATGGGTTACAATTAGGCATATCACTTGCACTACCATCCAGTTTAAGAAGAAACAATGGAACGGCAGCCTGAGATGGTACCCATCAAAACCATTGAACAGCTGTAACAATTCTGCTCAAAATTCCAGTCCGTCAAGAGAAAAACAACTTAAAAAGTTCTGCCGAAATTCAAAATGAGTTCTGCAGGTTAGCTGTTTTTGTATGAATTATTAGGTTTCTCAGAAAGGCATCAAAACAAATAAATTCTTCTCATTTGGAAATTTGGAATGCACCATCTCCCATCTCCATCTGCACTCTTCTAACTCCGATTAGAAAGCATGTCTTGGAGTTCCTCCATATCCCTACCATTCGATAAAAGCCAAAGCACACCAAAGCAGCGAAGCCCTTCTAATGGTGTCTGGAGCTACTTTACTCAAAGCTAAAGATAAGAGGGAATCAAATGGAAAATAAATAAAATAAAATAAAATAAAAAATTCCACATTTTTGATCCCTCCAAAATCTCAGCCTTTTACCAGTTACTCAACTGAATCAGGATCTAGTGTTAAAATCACCAAAAACATATAAAAACTTCCCCATCAGTGATTGAAACCATTGGACATTGGTATATCAAAACTCTAACATTTTTTACTGCATCCTTCTAACATAATGATTCATGTTGTAGCCATAAGCGAAAAGCATCCATCCTACATAATTTTTTACTGCATACAGTCATAACCATAAGCGAAAAGCATACCTTGTTAAAATATTTACCATAGCTCTGAAGGCTGCAACCTGAAAAGGAGAGGAAAAAGAAAATAAAACCACCATTTTACTGCAAAGAACACACTTCCTGAATCCAAACATAAAAACTTTGGCAGAGAACAGCTCAAGTTAAATTCCCAAACATTTTTGCGAGAAATTAAGGAAAATAGTCACCCTGTAAAAGACAAGCAGAGCAAATATGAAAATAAATTATGCCCAAGATCATATAGGAAACTGAATTATTTTATAGAACCTGGAGAGTTTCTCCACCGTTGCCTATAAGATGGAGAAGCATATTCAAGATTGGCTGAAGAAACTGAAGCAGTGCAGTAGAATCAACATTCTTTAAACTGTTGATGGCCTGCAAGCAAAATTAGATATAATTCATAATTATTTGTTCCATTGAGTCCATCTAATGAGCCCACCTACCCTAAAACATTCATCATATTTAAGTAATCCAAGATTTCTGTTTTTTGATAGGGGGAAAAAAAGCCAGAACAAGTGCACCCCACTTTTCAACCAGCAGTGAAGTGCCATATGTATTGTTCTATAATTACACCGAATTTCCAATGAAAGAACAATGTATGGGGATCCCCGAAACTCCAAAAGATCATGGTACAATATGCATAACCAACAACCAGGAGAATAACAAACCCGAGTTAAATTTTATGGAGCTACGAAATGACATGCCGAAGATCATATTAAGGATGATAATACATATATACATAGAAGTGAGAAAATTAGAAGGGGGCTGCACCTGAAGACAAAAGGCATTTCAACAACAAAGGAATATGCATGCAATAGAATCTAATTTCAAAACTAAAACAAATTTCAACCCAAAAAAGCCAGTAATATGCATCTGAAGTCAGAACGGGGGAAATGAACTCATAGGACTGATCAAGCACACAAGCACAACATGAGATGACCTCATTGAATTCTAAATAATGTTGAAGAGTCTCAAGGCACAACATTTGTGGAACGAATAGGAAGAGAACTAGAAGGTACTTGTATAAATAATAATTTCTCCCTCGAAATAATGAGAACTCAGAGTGGTTCGCCAATTAACCCTTACAGATTACCACAATAGCTCAAAATCAGAATTCATGATCAAACAGCATGCTTTTTAAGGCAATATATATGGAGGTAATATCAGACAATTTCACACCTCAAATCATTCTATAATAAAATTGAAAATGCAAACCTCTAATACACAGAAAGCATGATGTCAACAACTTTTACAGAATAAGGGTCAATTTGGAAGGATCCAGACAACAGATGAAAATGGAAAAGAATACGAAACTGTAGGGCATTGCTTAGGGCCTGTTTGGCAACCATTTTTGTTGCGTGTTTCATGTTGCGGGTGGTGTATTGTGGTGAAGCAAAACACGGAAACACGTTTGGTAACCGGTTGTTGCCATTTGAATAGTACAGCATTTGTTGCTGAAAAGAGGCCCAAATAGGAAAACACCAAGTTAAAGTTTCTTAATGGTTTCGCACTATAGCAAAAACACTGTAGCAGGACTTTTTTAACTAGCCATTTGGTTAATCGTGCAACACTTTTTTACCAAACATGCTTCCATGTTTTTGATTCAAAAATGTTTGTAACAAATTTGAAGTTACCAAACATGCTTCCAATCACAAATGAACACACTCCAAAACAAAAACGTTGGTTCTGTTTCGGATGAAAACAGAAACGCAAAACGGAAACAGTTGCTAAATGAACCGTGTTATAAAAGATGAGCATTTATAAGAAAAATGGAGAAGCTAAAATAGCATAAAAATATTACCTCAAGAAGTTCAGATCCCCAAGGAGGGCTTGTGCGAAGAGTGTGTCTATCATACTCGAGAAAAAAATCTCTAATGCGCTCGCTGATGGGATGTAAGGAAGAACATAGTCTCAAGCGCAATCTAAAGACATTTTTTCCATCCTCCAAGTAATCCAGCCGCTCCTTTTGAATAATCCAAAAGATAAAATGGCAATGTCAGATAATAATAAATAAATAAACAAACCAAACATATGACTGCAATATTAGCATGCGATCATCGATTAAAATTAATAAAGATTAAAACTATGCTACACTAAGATCTATGGGCTTCCAACCAACTTCAGCAGCCAACCTATTTCCCCTGTAACAGAAATTACAGGAGAAAAAAGACAGTTCAATAACCCAAACAAGAGAAAAATTATAAAAAGAGATATGAATCCACATAGTTGGAATAATCACATTAATAGTTGCATTGACACTTATTTTCATTCTCAAATCCGTATTGAAACATACATTTTAAGTAAAAAAAATAAAAAGAAGAAGAAGAAGAAGAGAGAAGAAAAAATTGGTTCCAACTCTGAGGTATCTCCCCCATGATAATTTAGTTAAGACTTTTGTCAAAACTTGTACCAGGAATCCAAAAAGTTAAAAAGGCAAACAGAATATAGGTATTAAATCAAGAGACAAAAATTATACCAGAAAATTGCAGTATGGAAAGGCCTGACATAGATATTATACAGTCAAGATGATGTTCATATATACCTTGCTAGTATCTTGAAGATAATGTGGAACCAGCTCTCTCATGATTGGTAAAGAGATTTCAGATCGCAACCTGGATGAATCACAAGTATCACACAAGTTTGAACAGTTAAAGAAAAACGATAAGTAAAATCACTACCCGAAGCCTTTTATAAACAATTTTTTTAGTAACAGAGAAGCAAAAAGAGTTGGTATATCTACTAAGTAAAATATAAATAAATAAAATACAAATCCCAGCAAAAAATTAAATTCTAGTGATAGATCGCACTCGGTAATTTTCAATAATAGGTACTAGCCGAGGGTATCAGGCGAATCCAACATAGATGTCATAGAGAACTATAGGGCTAGCCCAGGGCAAGTCATAGAGATATAGCAACAGCAAAATGCAGCACATTACCACTTTTCGATATTTCTTTTCTTTTTTTCTTTTTCCTTTTTTGATAAGTAGAACTTTTAGATATTTCACAGATAATAGTCCTGAAAGCTAATACAATAACAATAAAAGAATATCTAAAACAACTAAGCTTAAGCCCCGCAATGGTTTACTTGGAAACACACAAATTCATAAAGAATGATGTGCATTCATTAAAAATTAAGAATAAAATGATGATACCAAGCAAAAGCACAAAACTAAATATTATAAATCACAAGCAAATCAACAAAGCAAAGTACACTGGCAGACACCTTGCTAACAACAAAATACCTTTGATTAATAAGGATATATTGAAAGAGGACAACATTAGTATGCTGGTGAATTAGGAATCCAAAATCACTCCACAATTAGAAAAACTCATGTAATCCGCAACAAATCCATATCTGCTCTCTAAAGAGAGAGGATCTTCAAAGCATCACCAACACACCAAAAATCAAGCCTAAACTGCACCCCCTGCTCATCCCCTCTCGGAAAGAGCTCTAAACTTTATTTGACACCTCATTACCCTCCAATTTCATACATCCAAACTTCCACCCTTCACCATAGGCTACCCTATTCAAACTGGAGCCACATAGCCATTTAAATAAAAGCTTGATTGAAATGACTCAATTTCCTAATACTCAAAGTGCTCTTTTAAGGGAGTATACAGTTTATCAAACTCAAACAGAGAAAATTTCTCTGAAACATCTCTAACCTTTATACCACAATAATAGAGAGTAGACATGAAAGGTTTTCCTTTCCCCCCAGTTCCCCGGTAAAATATTGCATTCTTCCAGGGGAAGCAAAATTTGACATGACCTATCAAACCACATGAGTCTATCACAACATTAGTGGGTTTCGATTGACCTTAATCAGATGTGTTATAATGTGCGAACCAGGTAACCACTTTAACTAATTGTGTCGTGTTCGATTTTGGAGACTCAATCCGTTAACCCAATTCTACACGTTTAAGTAATCGTGTCAAGTCAACCCGAATCAACCTGTAGCCCATTTCAACATAACAAATTTTTCTACCCCCAAAAGCATTCATAAATATAACCCCAAAATAAAAACCCAAAATGTTTCTGATAAGTAAGAATATATATAATATATATAGTCGCTAAATATCAATTGAATAAATAAATATCAGTCTGATATCATTGGGATCATATACTTACTCAAATACGTCAAAATATGCTATTTGCCCATATTCAGGAGAAATGATTAGATAGTCCAGGACCATAGGTCACTTGGTGGTCCAGTTCAATCAAACTCTTCAACTAAGAAAAGTAGACCCATGAGAGTTCAATAAGATATTACAAAGAAACCTGAACATGGGTTTTAATTGGACCAGACCAGCAAGTGGCCTATGGTGCGAGACTATCTAATAATTTCTCCATATTCTGGAATGAAGGCTACTCTAGAGACTCAAATCACTTCTCATAAGAAGGCAATAAGATAGTTTAATCAGTACGATACTGTAGCACAACTCTTGGTTAGTTGTGTAATTTATTTAGAGAAAATGAATAATTTATAATTCTTAATTTAATATTTCATAATTTGTTTTTTTATCTATATTTATACTCCCTCCGTCCCATTTTAGTTGTCAATCTTTGGTTTTCTAACTTTTTAAGAGGACATGCAATTAATGCATTGTCCCCTTTTTAAATTACTAAGTTGTCCTTTAAACTTTAAATATATAAAACACAAGTTGAAAGATTGAAGGGTAATTATGAAAATATTGCATTTAATTAGTTTGACTTTTCAAAATTAACAACTAATTTTGGACACCTAAAATGAAAAAATTGACAACTAATATGGGACGGAGGGAGTATTTCATAGTTAAACAAGTCCAGTACTGTTAAAGGTTATATGACATGTTAATGAAACAGGTTACACGGATAGTATTGTGTTATCTATTTAATAAACGGGTGTGTTCGTATCAAGGATGTTTTAACTTTTTTAGTAAATGATCCGTGTTCGGGATGACCTGTGTAACAGAATATCCTTTTTTCGAGAAGACGAACACGACCCATTAACACAAATTGTTATCCCCACCTTCTTCCAATATGCCCAATCCTATCTTTGAAATATCAGTATAACCAAATCCCAAACTGCTCTTGTTTCAAATGCCAAACCCAAAGGAAAGAGCTGAGAAGGTAACTGGAAGATTCCCAACCATGCAACTTGTGCTGATTGAAACATTCATCACATTATTAACCTCCAACATGAATCAACTCACTTTTAATCAAATTAAGTCTCAAGCCCAAACCCCCCAAGGCAACAGCTCATTGGACCTCAGCCCCTCAGCTATGAGCTAAGGCCTATTAAAAACGAATTTTCATATCATCTTTCTAAGAATGTCCATGGGGTTTATAATTCTTTGCAAACTACATAAACTCTCTATGAGCACTTCATACATTTCAGGTCATTTAAAAGTAGGCTTGATTGACACCAAGAAACGATTACGGCGGTGCATAAGAAAACCATCACGGTTCCCTCCCCTGTAGACATCTAGGTGAACTATCTACCTTGCTTGGCAATTTTGGCCTTCTTTTGAAAGAACCCCTCATCCCATTTGCAGAACTGCAACCACTGTCTTCCTTCCAAGAAAGGCGTAGATGAAAACTACTGGTGCCATACAAAAACCACCAAATCATGATACATTAAGTCTCTGAGGGCAAACAAATGCAAGAACAGTAAGAAATTTTTAAAATTTTTAATTTTGCGATTTTAGCACTATTAGAGATCAAATGAGGAAAATTTAATTAAGATGGTTTGGCAATGTCCAACAATGGTCAATAACAGCACCGGTTAGGAACTTAGGAAAATGGTGTGGTCCTTATAGAGGGTAGGGTACATAGGGGAAGGGGAAGATGAAAAACTAACATGGGTAGAGATAGTTAGGAGAGATGTAACAATATCTGATTTAACTGAGGCTATCGCCTTGGAAAGACTGGAATGAGAAAATAAAGTCCCTGTAGCTGACCTTGAATAGTTGGGAAAAAGATTAGTTGAGTAGATTCGTGTTGTACAATTTGCATTTTTGGATGAAAGTGCATCATGTTTCAGATATTGCGATTGAATATAAATTTCCAAATCATTAGTCTTCTCCGGCAACTATAAACTAACTACAACAGGCTTGCAAGAGTACTACTGCTTTCCATCTATTCTTAACTAAAACAGGGTTGGTAAAGTAATAAAGTCCAAAGCAAACAATTTAGCCACTACTAAGGCAAGACTGTTGCTTGGCAAGGCTGAGCCACCAACTCAATGCAAACATGAGTACTATCAGTTAATAAATCAGCTAGTCAGGCGGCAACACATTTATCCAAGGCAATACACAATTAAAAATATACAAAAGAAATAGCAGCCAATTTAGTGTACATAATAAACTAATAATAATTGAGTTTCCAAAACTTATTCAAACATATTAGGGGGAAATTCTGACTAAAACATACTGAGAGTGTGTAGATAATGGAAGCACTGCATAACCAATTACCACCTGCAAAAGGGAATGGATAGAACAGCCACTTCAATAGATTAAAAAGTTAAGATAAACAAAGCAGTCCCACAATACTAACAGAAGTGTTTTGCTAACTTGAACACAAAAGAAAGATAACAGTATGGCATACTGGGATCTTTTTAACACTAATAACAGAAGAGAACTTACTGGCTTTGGAGCTTCCAGTTTTGTTTGAAGGTCGATGTGAAAGATAGTGAATAAAAGGTGATGCAATGGTGTCCAAATAGCAGGGAGTGAAACTTTAACTTCATCATGATAGCAAGCGACCCTAGCGCCAACAGCAACTTGTGTGTGTGCCCATTTCTGAATTGACACACCCGGTTCCCTTGAATGCATTGCCTAATCAAAGAGTACCATATGTTTGCGTGGGTGTATATATAATTAAGACAAGGTCTAAAAAACAAACTGCTTCTGAAATATTGTGTAATATCAATTTACCTCCAAAGGCTGTCTACGAACATCTGAATCATCCTTTCTGAGTTCAACACGTATGAACAAATTCCTTTTCCTACTCAAACTGACAGTCAAGGGATAGACATAGAGACAATGAAAAAGCTCCAAGAAAGGCTCATTTCTAATCATGGTGCGGAAGTCGAAAGCATGGAACTGCAAGTTTATCAACCAAATTTCTGAATAGGTGAGTGATAAATGAGTGAACATTTACTGGACAACATGTCAAAATCACAAAACTGACCAACTATAATTATAAGTTGTGTAGATAGAATAAATCATCAAAAATCAATTAATAAAACTTCTTCCTAAAACTATCTTACTATTTGATATTCAAAACCAGAACCTATCTCTTTTACTATTCATTGTCATAGGTATTTGCATTATTAAAACATAAATTCCACCAGCAGATCATAGGACAGCTAAAATTACAAAATCAACCAATTAAAGCCCGTATTCCTAAATGAAAATAAATAAAATTAAAAATATATATATATCATAAAAGAAAACAAATCAACAACTAATAATCCAACAATATATCCTTGTTCTCGTACCAATAACATACGAAATGTGTAATACTTACATCATCAGCACTGAAATCAGGATTTGCATGAGCAACTGATCCATTTCGGTTAATTTCTTTCCCATCAATGAAATTCCACTTGGAATCGCCATTATGAGGCCCATCAGATCCATTACTGGGGCATCTTGTGAATGTGGAATCAGTAAATCGGTCCCCAGGATCAACAGAATCATTTGTCACACTGCCACTTTCAGAAATATTTTCAAAGTCAACAAGGCCAGCTTGAAGCTTTTCAATTTCCAATCTTAACACACCTTTCACCGGTTTATGAACCTTACGTTTAGGATCCTGAAAATTTGTCCGCAAGTTGAAGGGAAAAAAATGTAATGTTGTGTTAGTTTGGATAAGAATCATGGAACATCACTAAAAATTAAGTTATAAATAAAAGGGAATTCATACACCTTCTACCAAAGGACAAAAGGGTACCTTCATTAGCTGTTTACAACGCCCACCCCACCCCCCAACAGAAAAATGTACATGCCAAAGAAAACAGGGGATGTTCATTCGTAAAGTAATGGAACATAACTAACCGAAATAATAATAAGCCAAATGAGGAATCATATGTACAACTGTACAAAGCCATGTGCTCCAACTCGCATATTGCTCTTAATTTCCTCTTCTTTGCTTTAACCTGAATCTTATGCTATTGCTATTTGGCAAGTAACTGACTGATTGACATTCTATGACTGGCTCTAATGTATTTTCCAAAAAGCTTGTTTTATTAAAACTGAGCAGCAAAATATGACATCTCATTCTGCAATAAATGTGGAGTATATCATAATTGCAGTGTTGCCAAAAATAATTAGCTTTGGTTTCTTCTTAGTTCTTACCAGGGGTCTATATCAATAACCCCCTTTATAATGATCAAGGTTTTGAATTCCAATGCAGATGAATAAACACTCTTAGAACACATATACAGATGAATAAATAAATGTTGATATCACATTTGATGCAAACAGAATCTTTTAAAAACTGAAAAAGGTGGTTCACCGCCGGAAAAGACATGGACTTTACTTTGGGCCTGGCTTTGGGCAGGACAAATGTAGGCCCAGAATAAAAAATAAATAAATAGAGACAAATATTCTCTTCCAAGTTCAATTACTTGGCTTCTTCTATGCCTAACAACAGTAACAACATGATCTCACTATCATTTCTAAATGTATGGTGCACAATCTGAATGTTCACAAACACCGCCCACTTCATCCAAACCAAACCATCAAACTCCCAATTGGGTCCACGGAGAACGATGTTCAAGCTTAAGAACAGAGATAGAGCACTGGAAAGCTTGATCAAACTCAATAGTGGTGTTAGATCTTTTGGTTCAGTGGGGCAACCTTTGACCATGCAAAGCTGAAACGGAGATTTTTAGGGTATAGGTGTGAGAATATTATTGTGTTGCCTGTCTCATCTCTGAATCTCTTCACCCATGGGAAACCAAGTACACTAGGTCACCATCTGAAGAAGATAAGAGGCATTGCAAAAAAAAATTTACTTGCATCTAGCTTTGAGTATCTTCAGAGCTTTCCCAACCACTTGTCCACAAGGTTGGGATCGTAAACAGAGATCAAATAAGCAAACAAGCTCGGCAAAGTGTTTTTTATTAGTTTCAACCTTCATTGCCCCTTCCGTTCTGCCAATTTCCTCTCAAGTCGCTTTACCTTAAACCAAGGAAGCCTTAAGGATAGTCCTAAATAAAAGAACAAAGGATGAAGCGCGAAGGGCCTCAACCCAGCACCCCATAATAGCTGGCAACTTGTCTAACCCTTAACCCTCCCAATTAATATCAGCTCGCTACTTCAAAATGTTTCAGTCAGCACCTTAAAAAATTAATGTATCATTCACAAATGAGATACAGTGAAGGGGTTTTCCTTAGCAATCCCAATCTAAGAACCCTTTAGCAAGCCACCATCCTGTTCCCTCCCAATCATGCAATCAACAACCTTAATAATATTAATAAAGGGAAGAGCCTGAGCTTTAGTCCCCTTGAGCTCCCAAAGGAACTCGTGTGTGTAAAATTTATGAGAACAGAAATTTTGACTGGCAATGCAGAACTCTATCCACTTCCTCCAATTCTGCCAGAATCTATCCTCTCCATTATATGCTCCAGAAATCCCCAATAAGCATGGCCATAAGCTTCCTAAAAGTCTAGCTTCAACATTACCCCATGCCCTTTACTCATATACTTAACCCTGATCACTTGTTTGCCACAGGGATCATAATCCAAAATCAGTAAGAAACACAAAAACAATACAAAGCTTTTTTGAGTTAAATACTCAGCTTTGTTTAGTCAAGTACTGAGCCTCAAATAGACAGACCCTGTGAAGCACAGATACATACATGGGTACAATAAAATACGGTAAATCTCGAAAAAACAGGACACGGCAGGGATACATCAATAAAACAAGAACACAATATATTATTATATATACAAAAAAATTATTTTTTTCATTTTTTTCATCTTTTCATGAATGTATTCACTAATTTTAGTTTAGATTTAAAGTGTTATTTTTGTTTTATAAAACTTTATATTATTTTTCTTTTGACCCATAATATGCTTTAAAATTGCATTGGAATGCCCTTTTGGAAAAATAACTGCAAATTATCCGTTGTGTCCTGAAATTCTCCTAAACATAATCCCCATCATTCCCCAACCGTGTCTAACCAAAAAAAAAAAAGAAGTAAAGAAATGTCCATGCGTCCAAAGAAATACCTTACTATAGAATCAGGCAAATGACAACTAATTTGTACTGAATCAATGACCTACTATAGCACTACCAAGACTTAACCAAAGGAGTAAATAAAGAAAAATAAATATCATAAAGTTGCACCTGAAGCAATCTAGAATACCTACACATTATTTATGAGCTATAGGAAACAGAAAGAATAAAGCAACAGAATGAACTTCATATATATTACTGGATTTCTGCCACACCTGGAGAGCGTCCTCCGTATAGCCTTCTTTTACTTTATTTAAGTTTGATATTTCAACCACAACAGAACTTCCACTTGAATAACTCAGCTTTCCGTCTAAAGTGATCTTTGCAATTGGCTCAGAAACACCTTCTTGGGAGCTTGACCCAGAAATGCTAGGAGCAAGAGGGCTACTAGGGGAAGCTGACCCACCAGTAGCAGCACTAATGCTGTTATCAAATAGTGGAACCATGGCCCAAGCAAAGGACTCTCTGTAAGGCATGATACGAGACCACACTTGCAGTTTCTGCTTTTCTCTCTCAGTTAGGTGAACCTGTTAAGTCGAAAAGAATACAATAAACAAATAGCAGAAATATAATCCAGTAATTTGTTATTAAATGGCAATAGAACGAAAAACGAAAATATTCGAACACCCATCTCCTCCCATCCACCCCCGCCAAGAAGCCCGTCCATGAGAGAGGAAAAAGGAATACACATACACACCCATATATATATATAGCCCACATGACTTGTGGGATGTTATCGTGTGGCAACCTTGTGGGCGGGCGTGTGGCACTGGCTGGGCAAGCTACAGGTGTACAGTCCCATAATGCCTGGGTGTGGAAAAGGTAAAGTGCTTATATATGGTGATGTTATCTCCAATTGGTATGAGACCTTTTGGGATAAAACCCAAGAGCAAAATTGTGCTGGCTCGGGCCCAAAGCGGACAATATCATACTATGTGGTGGAGTGGGTCGTTACAAATGGTATCATAGCCAGAAGTGTGGCCAACGAGGACGTTGGGCCCCGGGGGGGGGGGGGGGGGGGGGGGGTGGATGTGGAAAACGTAAAGTGCTTATATGTGGTGGTGTTATCTCCAATTGGTATGAGACCTTTTGGGGTAAAACACGAGCAAAACCGTGTAGGCTCGGGCCCAAACAGGACAAAATCATACCATGCGGTGGAGTGGGTCTTTACATATCTTCAATTAACTTTAACATTGGAATTATTGCAAGCTTGTTCTTCTTTTGAGAAAACATCATTGGTGGACCATTTCCGAAACAAATATATCTAATCTGTGGCAATACACCAATGTGGGTTATTGATTATTTAGAACTTAGTTCTCCTTTTTAAAAAAAAAAAATTGAACAGACTGGGGAATGAGGGTAGAGGTAGGTGTTTCTGCATGTATACTGATTTATTTTTCATTTTCATCCATGTACAGCCAACAACCTGAAAAAGGTAATCAATATTCATCCTCTTCTTATGATGGAAATTTTTTTTTTTTTTTTCTTTTTACTGATGGTAAAAAATTCTGTTAGAACCATGTTAGACACCTTACATCCACAGCAGACACCAGCATGTGTAATTATGATGAAAAAAACTCGAACCAACATATTCTATAAAATGAATCATATTTAAGAGGTCAATTGGAAGTTCAAAAGCTAGAAGCTAGCTATGCCTCCCGTGTCTGCCCAAATTCACAAAGATAGGATTCATTCCCAAAATTGCCAAGCTTTATGGATTTTTTTCTCCCGCGTATAGCTGTCAAATCTAAGAAATGGGGGCTTCAACCTTTGTCAAATGCTCGACCTTGTCTCCGAGGGACAGCTGAACGAGCGACTCATGAATGCTGCCGGGTCGTCGCGACTTCTAATCTGATTCTTTCGTTTGAGATGACTCAGTTAATTGGATTCAGATGAATTACCCGCACACAGGAGAGTCGTCCTTGCGATGATGGAGCAGCATACCGGAGGAAAACAGAAGTCCTAATTCGAAGGAACTAGGTGATTCTGATATAGACAACATAGTCACTTTCAAAAGAGTACAGTCCAAGAGAAGCATTTTAGCAACTTATCCGATAGGTCTCCGTTCTTCTGTCAAAAAAGCAATGCTTGAAAAGCGGATGCCTTATTGACTTTGTCTTTTGCCGATCAAAAGTCTCAAGTACTTAAAATGCATCAATAACAAAAATACATATATACTTTTTAATGGCATTGTAAGAACATGCATTTTTTATCTCACAGATAACTAACACCATTTTTTGAGCAAGACAAATGACATGCTGAAATTATAAACTTGGACTTACTGGTTCTTTCCGTGAATAGGCGGAGGGAGTAACACCGCCTTCTTCTGTGGCAGGCTTCTCTAACTGGATCAGCAGACAAACTGATGCTGATGGAGCATCTAAATAGAAAATACCACGAGGTTCATAAGAACTACTAGCCTGGAAATGGTGACCAAAAAAAATAGTAAATTCCTTATTGCTTAGAATAAATTGTTGTCCCCATAAGATGATGGGAACCCCACACATAACAAAAAAACATTTAGAAAGATAGAGAGAGGGGTAGAGAAGCCAGAGATGCGTAGATAGCACAAGCAATTAACACACCTCAACAAAAGAAAATGAAAAGTTGTTATAGCTTACATCTTGCATCTCAGCTGGTAAAACACGAAAGATGAAATCCTCGGACAATTTATCTCTTCTTTCCCTGTTGTATAAACAAATTGTACCATAAAATGGCTCTACAAGAAAAAATGACCAAGTGTCAGATTTTGAAGCAGCTAATAATAAAATAAATTAGGACAGGATCTGGTGAAGAAGAAACTCCGACGATGATACAGCACCAGTACCCAGCAGTAAAATCTTACCAACTAGTCCTGCTTGAAAAGATAGGGAGAGAACTTTCACAGAGATCTTCAATCCACTGTGGGGAAGAGAAATGAGTATATATATATAATATACACAAAAAGACGCTTGAGAAATACAGAAAGTTGCTAAACCTGCCGTACTGTGCTGTATGAGTTTCCGGAGTCCTTTGCCCAAATATCATTGACCTCTCATTCTCCCAGTCAAAAACAGGTTCATAAGCAGGCAGGGGAGATTCACCAAGATGCTGAAAACAAACTACTTAGATTTTGGAAAATAAATAAATTATAGTCGACACTGAAGCAAAGTGGTATCACACCCCTTTGGAGTTGACCAAAATTGCAGAAACATGGGGAATTTGGAAAGAAATAATAAATAAGCAATGACGTTGTGCTGCACATATTTCTCATAAACATCGTATTGAATTGCTACCTTTAAGTTTTTAGAGCGTGATGAGTCAGAGAAAGTAGCCTCTATAAATTGCCTCCCAGAAGTACTGGGGACGTCATCTTCAATGCTATCGCCAATCTTAGTTTGCCTGGCACTGGCAAGATGCATTTCTGCAGACAGATCAAAGAGAGTATATGATAGGGATTATGTACAATATCAAGGACATTTGTGCCCTTACTACTATAGTCTATATAACAACAATATAAATCCTGCCAAAAACATAAAGAAATTGTTCAACTGAATATGGCAGATACCACATTTAAGATATTCCTATGCATATCTGGTAGATGATTATTTTCTTTAAGGGGCCAATTAGCATTTGTGCCAAACTTACCTGTTTCAATGTCAGTGTCAGGCCCCTCAAATATCTGATTCTGGTACGAAACGGGGCCAATGCTATCATAATGCCCATACTTGTTTTCATCTTTTACCCAGTCAGTTCTGTAGCACTGAACAAGTTCATTCAGATGCGGCCACTGCTCCAAATTTTCATCAAGCTGCAACAAATAAAAATTACATTTACTCCTAATACATTTGTGGTTCAACTACTTTATGTTACGACAAACGCGAACCAAAAACAAATCAAGAATCAACTAGAAAAGTAAACACACCACACAAAGAACACAAAGATTTACATGGTTCGGTGTAAGCCTATGTACACGGTGAAGATCTGGCGAAAGATTTCACTATGCGAAAATAAAGACATTTTCAACCCGCAAAACCCTAGCGCTCTCTCTCTCTCTCTCTCTCTCTCTCTCTTCCCTACGGTTTTCAATGTTGTCTCATTACACACCCCAAACCCTTATATACGTGCTACAAGAGAATTCTAGAATTGAGTCCACAACCCACAAGAGAAACAGGTCAAAAAAACGGGCCGAAAAAAAATTCGGGCAACAACTTAACACTTAAAAATACTTATCACACTATTATAGTGCAAAATTTTTATTATAATGATTGTGATACCCATAAGTAAGATTTAATTGTTAAAGACCTGCACTTTTTTGTTTGAGCACTTTTACATTTCACATTGAGGATAATGCCATGATTGTAGCTATTATAATGCAAAATTTTGATTATAAAGATTGTGATACCCATAAGTAAGATTTAATTGTTAAAGACCTGCACTTTTTTGTTTGAGCACTTTTACATTTCACGTTGAGGATAATGCCATGATTGTAGCTATGTCTATAACTATTTGCTACACGAGAATATCAATGTACACAGGTAATTAATTGCACGGATTCTCAAAGGGCATCGAATGCAAGGTGCAACTGCTACTTATCCCGCCCAAAAAGTAGGTGGCAAGATCTAGGCAAAAGTCCAAATGCGATCTGATGATTACAAATTTGTAAAGAGAACTGTAATTAGTCAGAGAACCCAGCCCTCAGTGGGCATTCAAGTAACTATTACCATAAAACAAGAAATGGCCTTTATTTGGGCTTGAAAAGAGATAAAAAGCCGTGAAAAGACGATCAAAAAGGTAATCCCCCAACCAAATATACTCCTGACAATGAATTCTCTTTACATCCCCACAAAAGGCCGATATCACAGAAAACAAAAGCCCTGAGAGAAAACTTTGAAACATACATTGACAATTCTGTCTATCTGTTACCCAAGCATCCGGATCGTTGCCTTTGAATACCATACGTGCTGGATTGACTTACAATCAACATTTTCCTTTCCCTCCTCCAAAACTTCCTGCTTTCCATGGTTTCCCTCCTACCGCCCTGGCCTACAAGATTCTCACTTTGTTGGAGCCCAACTAAAGTTATGAGAATGTGACACCACCTGTCCCCCTCTCCCCCCATACTTAGAGAACTGATCATTCCCAAAGTACTGATGGAGTGGACAAAACAAATTTACCAACATCTCAACCCCTTCCCTTGTCAAGATACAGCTTTGTCAACCTACCTGCACCATGAGCTTCCCTTTGGTCCCATGGGAGCATACTTTTTATCTCAATCCCTGCTACCTTCTATTTGCCTTGCTGGCCTCTCTTGCCTCACCTCCTTGCCCAAACCAAAGTCAACCTTAAAATGGCTACTAGCATATCAGTCACTCAACCCATCTTCCTTTCCGCTGAACTTAGTAAGTCACTTTATTTAACAACCCCCACCCCAACCTTTCAGGTATTACTAACCTTGCTAGCTTGAAAGAAAATTTTCCATTATTCAAGGCAGAGCAGCACGTGATCTACAAAATATCCATTTTCCTTCAAATGTCTGCAATCATTTAAAACTTAAAAATAATCTAATAAGGTCGAGCAATCATGGGTTTCATTGTTTGTTTCATGCCCTAACAAATGTAAGTAAAGCAAACCAGATGATAAAAGATAGAAATTATGTGCAGCCAATTCTTATCACTGAGATTAATAACCATAGATATATATACTTAACTAATTGGATTGTCTGACAAAACCAAAACTAACAAAAGTAGCAGCTTATAAGGTTCTCATATTTTGTTAAGACCTCAAAAAAATAAATAAATAAATAAAAAATGGCCAACCACATAATAAATGACAAAATTAGATCATTTGAAATTTTAACATTCGAAACTAAACCCACAAATCAAAAAGAAAATGAGATTTATGTAACCAGACCAATTATTGTGCTTACAATCTTAATAGACTCAATACATTGGCACGATATGAAAAAAAAAAAAAAAAAAAAAAAAAAAAAAAACTTACCAATGGATCTAACTTCAGATTAGCAGCCAAGGAATGCCGTGGTATTCTCCGAAAACGATGCCCATTAGATGACAAATTTTCCATAGCCTGAAGCCAAGGTTTGAGGGGGGAAAAGAAAAGAAGTAAACATGATATGAAAATCAATATGAGCTATAAAATTGCCCCGTTAGCATCAAAAATCACAAGTAATTTCTTAATCACAGACGACATATTTACATATTCATCCCATAAAATACACAACGCCAAATTCATTAAAAAAAATTGTGGGATTATGTAACCTTTTTTTCCCGATTCTTGTTCTTCTTTTTTTATTTTTTACTTTTTCCGAGTTATGTTAAATACATTTGAGAAGGGCAAGTCACTAAAGGGGCAGGAAATTTAAAAGAACACGTTGAGAAAAAGGGATCAATATATATTGAGGGACTCACAAATAGTAACTAAAAATCCTCTTAAGCCCACTAGAATTGAATTAACAAAAACAATCAATGTCCAACAAAAACAATGTCCCCTCAGAGTGCGGAAATAAGTATGTTTCTTTAAAAAGGAAAAGGAAAGGAAAGGAAAGAATCAGAAAGAGAGAGAGAAACAAACCCAGATCAGTACAAATCCAACTGACGCATGAGAAGAAAAACACACAAATGCTTCATAAAAGGTAGCATGCACTTCAAGAATTAATAATAGCATGACAAGAAAAAGAAAAAAAATTATCACTATCTACTATGCAAAAATAAAAAATAAAAAAATAAAACAACCCAAAAGGGCAATAATCACCAAAACAGTAATAATGTAGTGTAAGGGGTTACTTCCCCCACCAAAAGCTCGTAAACATGGATCTGCAAAGCCCCTCTCTCTCTCTAGATCTTCCAGAGAACAATCAAAAAACCCATCTACCACTTTAATGAAGCAGGTGAGCAGTACAAGAGAGAGAAAATAACAAAAAGAAGAAGAAGAAACAGATCAAGACTGGGATGGCTCTAAAACTCAAATTCTTGAGAAATTTTCAACTGGGGTCGCACTCACATTGAAAAAAATGATTATATAAAGAGAGAGAGAAAGAGAGAGAATGTAAATGGTGAAATGGGCTTACCAGTTGACTAGAGAGAGTAGGAGGAATCAACAAGGGTAATGCCTGTGTTGAACTATGGAAAAGACCCGCATAGACTGATGATTTGAGTGGTTCGTGAAGGTGCCATTACATTACAAGATCCGACTATACAGAGTGTTGTTTGTTTTGCAGGAATTTGAGGGTTGAAAACGCCGATTTGTCCTGATTGCGATTGACCCCTGCCTGTGACTCCGTGAGACCCTTTGAGGGACTGTCGATGATGGACCGTCAATCTTTGTTTGGGCCAAAGACTTCCCTATGGATTGATTTTTATTTTCCAATCAAATTTGGGTTTCAAGTAAGTATGGACTGGGAACCTTATATAGGCCACGGCCCTAATGAATCCGGCCCGAGTAAAAATTTCTTGCTAATTGAGACTTCTTCTCATTCAACACCTTTTCGTTATTGCTTATGTTTCGAATTTTCAAATCTACTGAAGAAAAAATAATAAAAATAATTCCATTATCATAGTAATCATTTCTATATTTTATATGATAAATTCAAATATATAAATGTTAAATCCCTTACCTTGTAGTGCAGTAAATTTTCTTTTAACGTTGGGCTTTTACTAAAGTATCTCCACTAAGTCATGTTATGGGGTTTACTGCAATTTGACCAATTCTATAAATTTAGTTAAAAAATTCTGTCTGTTTTTTTTTCTTTTCTTTTTTGAATAATAATTTTTTCTTGAATTTTTTAAATAACAATATTTGAACTTATATTTTCTATTATATACATCAAAAATAAAATTATTTCCTTAGCATATGTCTATTCCTTTTTCTTTTTCTTTTTCTTTTCAATTATTTAGTTTCTATAGATTAAGGTTAGGATGAGAATGCACAATTATATGCACTAGATGCAACCCAGTGAGAGATTCCTCACGACTTGAGAATGTATATTAAAGACTTATATTTATTTTACAATTTTGTATTATTATTTTTTAGTCATACAGTAGCATTGGATTGATGTGCTAGCTCATGTTTGAGACCCTGTGATAACATTTTCCATTTTTCTTTTTTCTTTTTTTTATAATCAGTTAAATCCAAATTAAACATTAAACAGCAAAATGTCAGAATACGAGATTTAAAATAAATTGTTTCTGATTTGTGATGACCCAAAATTATTTCCTTATCAAATCATGTAAATCTTAATCAAGTATACGATAATAAATTTTATTAAATAGTAAAAATATTTTCGAAAAATCCAAAGCAAAAATGACCTGTATATCTTTTTTGTTTGAGCTTCAAAATACTGAGAATATAAATTTGAGACTTTCGAAGTGGAACCAACTTTTGGTCTCATGCTAACAATTTTATAATTTATATTTAATCCAACCCCTATACGGCAGTTATTAAAAGACGTTGGGCAACCACCTACCCTCCCTACTCAAAGCTGATTTAGACGGTATATCTTCTTAGCTAGCGACGTGTCTTTGCTTTGTCTTAAAGCATTTTCTTACTTTAAGGTCAACTTAGGGAATACACACAAGTTGGCAAATACACTAATTGAGGCGTGAAGATATATTCTTAGAAAAATATATTTCGAAACTTTAGAGGGCCAAAGTTATGATGAAGAGGAAAAAAATTGACATCATTCGACAACACATATATTCGTCAAATTGTTTTTTTCTATTCAATTTTTTTTTCTTTTTTTTTAACTTTACTTTTATCAATTTTGAAGTCTGGACCGAGAGACTTGAGAGTTAAGATTCAAAATTACACCAACAAAGATAGACTATTTTTCGTGAAATAGTTATGTTTTTAATCAATTTCGTAGTCAGTTTGTTGTTGGTTTTTTTTATATTTTATTTTTTTATCACTCCTCTATGTTGGCTTGACAATTAACAATTTAAAAAGATTAGTCAACACAAATTTAATTTGAGATCTAGGCTATGTTTGGCAGTATGGAATTGAAGTTTTGGAATTAAAATTGGTGAAATTAGAAAAAAAATAACTCATAAAATTGAACCAAAATGTTATCAAATTTCACCAATTCAAATTACATACAGCCAAACATAGTACAAGAGTGCACACAGTCCGGTTTGTAAGGAAATATAACTGCATTGTAAGTAAGGGTGCACACAGTCCGGTTTGGTACAATTCTTGTTGGAACCAGAACTGAACCAAACCGTTCCCAACGTTTCTAAAAAATATTGGAACCGAAACCATTGGGACGTGGAACCAAACTGTGAAAATCGGTCTAGTTTGGTTCCACGGTTCCATTATAAATATTAGAAAAAATAGATTATTTACCTTTTCAAAAAAAAAAAAAAAAAAAACTTTTGATATGTTATTTTAATTAATGCATAAATGCTTACTGAAGATCGTTAATTAGTATGTCTACACCGTTGTTGCAAGTACCAAACATCTCGCGGTAATGATGATCATTAGTATTTTTTTTTTAATGCAAACATTGAGATAATAATATATTAGACGGAGTTAAGATTCACTATGCATCAAACCAATCTATATTTGATTCAAACAATTATAATATATTATAATTATATTGTATAATTTAAAAATAATATATATTATATACACAATATATAACCAAACCGGTTCGGTTCGATCCCGTCCCAAAGGGTTTGAAATTTGAATCGAACCAAAACTCAACAATTCCAAAATTTTGGAACCGGTACCGGTACCGATCCGATGTCGAACCGGAATCGAACAGCCTATTCAGTTCAGTTCGATTCTCCGGTTCCACCTATTTTTTTTGCAGCCCTAGTTGCATGAACAAAGTTTTAACTCTGAGTATTGAAATATGGTGTTTCTACATAAAAAGTGTTTACTAAGAAATTATTTAAAATAAAATTCGTGTTTTATAGTAATTTCAAGAAGAAATAAGAAAAATAAAGAGTATCTACGTTGAGTAATCAATTAATGTTTATTTGATTAGAAGATCTCCAATTAGTTAATCCATTTTTCTATGATAATTAATTTCAAAACTTTAGAGGGCCAAAGTTATGATGGAGGGGAAAAAATTTGACATCATACACATATATATTCATCAACTTGTTTTTTTTTTTTTTTTCTTCATTTTTTTTTGACTTTTATCAATTTTGAAATCTTGACCGAGGGTTAAAATCCAAAGTTACAGCAACAAAGATAAACCATTTTTCGGGAAATAGTTATGTTTTTAATCAATTTCAATAGTCAATTTTTTATTTTTTATCACTGCTACTCTATGTTGGCTTTACAATTAACAATTTAAAAAATTAGTTCAACACAAATTTGATTTGAGATCTAGGCTATGTTTGGCGACACGAAATTAAAGTTTTGAAACTGAAATTGTTGAAATTAGAGAAAAAGTAACTAGAAAATTGAACAAAAAATTTGTCCAATTTCATTAATTCTAATTCCATGCCGCCAAACATGGCACAAGAGTTTTTGTAATTTTATTACAAGGAAATATAACAGTGGTTGCAAGTAGGATGCACACGGTCCGATTTGATACGGTTCTTAGTGGAATCGGAACTGAACGAAACCGTTCCCAATAGTTCTAAAAAAATTGGAACCAGAATTGTTAGGACATGGAACCGAATGAGACCGAACCGTGAAGACTGGTTCGATTCGATTCGGTTCTACGATTCCCATTATAAAAATTAGAAAAAATACATTGTTTCAAAAAAAAATTATACTTTTGATATGTTATTTAAATTAATGCATAAATGCTTATTATATAAACTGTTGTTGCAAGAACCAAACTCTTTGCGCTAATAAAGTAATGATCACTAGTATTTTTTATTTTTTATGTAAACATTAAAATAATAATATATTAAAAATATATTTTTTTTATTTTTTATTTATTTTTTATCCTTAGTTGGTACTCATACATGCATGCCTCCACTGAGGTTTGAATCCCTGACTTCCCTTTAGGAAGTAGGGGTATGATACCGCTACGTCACTGGCATGTTGGTTATTAGAAATAGTTGAAGATTCACAATGCATCAAACCACTCTATATTTAATCCAAATAATTATAATATATGTTATAATTATATTGTATAAATTAAAAATAATATATATTATATACACAATAATATTTAACCGGTTCGGCTCAGTCCCAAAGACTCTGAAACCAAAACCGAACCAAAACTCACCGATTCCAAAATTTTGGAACCGGAACCGGTACCAAATCAATGTGGAATCGTAATCGAACCGTCGATTCAATTCGGTTCGGTTCTCCGGTTCCATCGGCTTCTTGTACAACCCTAGTTGCAAGAAGAAAGTTACAACCCTGAAATTTTCAAGATTGAAATCCTATGTTACAACATAAAAAGTTTTTACTAAGAAATTATTTAAAATAAAATTAGTGTTTTATAGTAATTTCAAGAAAAAATAAGAAAAATAAAAAGTGAGCATCTAAGTTGAGTAAGCAGTTAATGTTATTTGATTAGAAGATCTCCAATTAGTTAATCCATTTTTCTATAGAGATATAGGTTTTTTCCATGATAATTTGTTAGATTGTTGCCATTTGCTTATAAATTCCATCACTGACTTGAATGTTGACAACATTCACACAAAATATTGTTGCAAATGAATTCAGTTTAAATTATAGTCAAAATGGGAATTACAACAAACATATTGTGACACATCTCAACTCAACATACAATAACCTCAAAACAATCTTGGTTCAGTCTTGTAGATAGCCATAGCTATATATATATACATACAACTCCAACAGAGTTTCATATTATTATTCCCCATTAAATTGCAAAATTAACCCTTTACTTTCAATTCACTCACTTTAATCCTGTCCCTTCTACTTCATCATCAAGTATATATAAACATGTTTATATATGTATACAAAATCAATGAAGCAGATCATCGCCGAATAGATAGAGTAATCGCTCGACGACCCAGCTGGGTTGTTGCTGGGACAAGCCTTGCGAAGAAGAAGATAAAATGGTGGTTGTGAGCAATGGGGATCTACAGAGTGGGCAAGTTTTATGGGTATCATGGTCGAGCCATCTATCGAGACATCCACTGTGGAATATGTGACAACAATTGCCCAGTTCTCTCACCTCATCTCGTTCTCTCAACCGGTCCAAGCACACTGCACAAGTGTCGCAGCTCTGGTGCACTCTATGAGCTGCAATGTCTCCGAATGTGGTCAAGGCCAGACTATCTCGGACCAGCTTGGAAGAAATTGAGCATGAAGAAGGAGAAGAAGATGAATCCAACTGCGCTTGTTGCAGAAAATCAGGGGAAGATGATGATGAGAAAAAAGGGAAGATACCAACATCTGTGTCTCTGATGAGTCTGAGAACCCAAGACAAGAACCATCTTGTCACGGCGAAAACAAAAGCTGCCTTGTATAGAACATGGGTTGTTGCCACTGCCAAACCCGAGTATTCCATAGAGAAACCCATGAAAGCAGATAACAGTAATACAAATCTATAAGCAAAGACCTGATCAGGTGAGAAGTTTAGAGAGAGAATGAGGAGAGAGGGAGGGGGAGGTTGGAAGAGAGGCTGAGAGGTGTATTTAAAGTTGGGAAAAGGAGGGTGGTGATGGTGGCGGTGGTGGTGGTGCAAAAAGGGTAGTGGCATCCGCGTGGGCATCCGATAAAAAGACAGCGATTTCCACATCAGCTGTGACCGAATCAACTACTTTTACCAAACTTTAATTATTTTGTTGGAGTAATTGTTTAATGTCATCTACCTTTTAAAAGTAGTTAAAAGGGAGGGAATTAGTATATAAGTAACTTGGGAGCAGAGCAAAATACACATGAATTTCTGCTTTATACTACAATGATAGTACCTCCAACTACGAAACGTAAGCAAAGGTTCAAGCGCCTGAGTAGTTTACACTCTCTTCAACTTCTTTTTCTAACACCTCAGCCTGAGGATCAATGATAGATACATCACTGGATACTACTTTTATATACACACACACATGGGTGTGTTTATGTATTCACGTTTCACAGGGTGTATATCTATACTTTCACACAACCTACCCATACCGTCATGGCTGGTCAGCATTTCCATCCAACACAATGCCCTCACCAACCACGTGATGTCTCAGAATAACAAGTTTTATCATATGTTATAAATAAATGTCTCCTTAATTCCTATATTCAGTTGTTGCAAGTAAACATAAAGAGATTACCAAGTGGTTGTAAAGAAACACAGTGTGGCGTATATTTTTGTTTTGAAATGACTCCTCCCTTACTAGGATCTACGATTAAAATTAGTCTACATTTGTCATTGTGGCTTTGAATCTTAAATCCCAAGCTCTAGCTAGGTCAAGGTTTCAAGACTGGAAGAGAGAAAAAAGAAAGAACAAATCGGCTATTAATTACAAACCTTTTTATACTTTTAATAATTTTTTCATCTCACGTTCACAAGAACAAATTTGGATCTTCTCCTGTTGATACACATGGTACCACATCATCAGGTGAGACTATCTACCATCTGACAAAGATTTAGGTTTAAAAAAAAAGGGTTGGTAATAGGTTAAAAAAAGGGGCAAGGAAGCTTATCCTACATGAACTTGGACAATAGGTTTCAATTCCAGCCAGATTGTAACAATTTGTTGAGGCCTAGCTGTTGGACCCTTAACTTTCCCAAATCTTTGGTCAGGCGTGGTCAGTTGAGATTGAGACCATTCCCTGACCAGTTGACTGAGTCCAAAAAAGAGGATATCAGAATCGAATACGGAGTATGAACCAAACCCCACCACCACCGATAAAAAGCTTAGCATTAGCATATTAACAAACAACGCAATGTTGAAAAAGTGATGGTCCAGATAGCCATACCCAGCCGACCACTACCCCATCCTGCGTACGTACCAAGGTTGGGCCACCACCAACCCACCATCCATCTTATCTTATCCGTCACACAATACTACTAACACATGTGCATTCCACTTAACTTTTGATGACTTCTCGGCCACTTGGACCAGAATCCCCACAGTAAGACACCAATATAGACCACACTTGAAAAAGACATTTAGACAAATCACATAGTACGGTAGTAAGAAAATTAGAAGGACAAGTATGACTGTATGAGACACTTAGATAAGTAACAATGACCCTTAATTTTTTTATTTTTTTTATTTTTGGGCAAGGTAAAACAATAACATATGTTTTGCTTGTTTCTATTCTTTCCCTCCCAACATACTCCATATAGGAATCTAACAGTGGATAATGACAAAAAGTAAAGGCATGTAATGAGGATCACCACATGCCTATATAAGTTCCTGTTCCTGCTTACAGCAAAGCAAATTACAGGACAACCCATATTAAATTCTGCTTATACATTCTTCTAAATATGCATCAATGGGCAACCCTTAACAATATTATATGGATGAAATATTATTTCACTACAAACTTCAATTAGAGCACTGGACTCGAGAGATTTTTAACACCTTGGAAATTAGTTTATTACACACCTCTACATAAAATTGGATCACTATCACTTCCATTTCTTTTTATTTTCAAAGGAAGCAAGCAAGTTTATAGAGCTAACATAGAAACAAAATGTTGCTCTCAGCAGATGATGTGTGGGCCAGATTGCTCACCTTCTTCTATCTTCTTTCGCATCTTGTATTGCAACGTAACAGGAGCGCAATCCAGTGGTGTTTCTCCTGAACAAGACATAATCAGTCAGCCAACATGACATTGACACTCCAATGTAAAATCCAATTCGAAAGTTTCTCTCAATTTTTAGTATTTCAACTATTTTCTCAAGTGATGAAAATGTTCCTCAACCAACATGCCACATGCCCAAGATGACATGGTGCATGCCTAAGTTGCCTCAACAAATCCAAAGGGGTTTGACGATCAACCGGGTTGAATTTAATCTCCTGCAGTATTTGATCTGGCATGTTGTCAACATTCTAGATATACCTACCCATACCTTGAAGAGGAAAATAGATAATTCTACTGTTCTAGAAGACACCACCAGCAGTCTGTATTATATACTATCCAACAAATTAATCAAGGTGGACAATTTAGTCGAACATGGAAATAATTACCCTGTGAATTCTTGAAGTCCACCTTTGCTCCATATTCCATAAGGGCAAAGGCTATATCAGTCTGATTGAAAACTGCTGCCTGCATTCAATCAGTCCAGTCAAAAGATCAGTAACTTCTAGAAAGCCTTGCAACCAATATTGCAAATTCCTCCAACTTTTACATGCATGAGAGAGAGAGGGAGTCTACCAGATGTAGCAGAGATAATCCTTGCTTGTCACAGTAATTTGCATCCACACCCTACAATTTTGATAATGCTTCAGTTTTTATATCAACAATAGTAAAGCACCAAACAGTGATACTGTACAGCCTTATAAAGAAAATAAAAAGTACCTCACTCAGAAGCTTCTTGACACCGGCAGTATCACCATTCTTTATTGCTTCTCTTAAACCCTATGCAACAGTTCAAATAAAGCAACTATTTTAAGTATTAACACCATAACATATGCTCTCTTTTATTTCCTTTTCCCCCTTTTTCATATTTTTAAACCTTCCATGCTATTCCAGTGCAGAGAAAATGATTGAATATTATTCATTTGTGGGGTTATCAGAATGTTGAGGTAGAGGGAGATTGCAGGTCAGTTATGAAGCTCAAGGCAGTAGAGGAGAATGCTGATATGATTGTGGATGATATCAGATGCTTACTCTCAACCTTTGAAGGAACTTCAATAGCATAGGTTGAAGACAGTGAAACAATGTGGCACATCTTCTTAGTAAATGGGCTTTGAAGGTTAAGGCCACTGATCTTGAGTGGAGTGTTTGGCCTTCTTGGCTGTTGTAGCCATTAAAGGTGATTGTTCGTTTGTTTCCTAGGTTTTGCATCTTACTGACGAAAAAAAAAAACCCGTCCACGCTATTCTACATGCATAATGCAGAGTTGCATACCTCTCCGTTAACTTCATAATCCATCTGAGATTTCTGCAAACTCCCATTGCTCGATTGACCAAGACTGAAAACAGTGCTGCAAGTTTTGTGCAAGTTAATCACCAATTGAAAATTCCAAACAGTATAATGGAGCAGCATTTGATGCTGAACCCACAAAACAGGAGAGCAAAATCTAAACCAACTGACAAATATGCCTACTGCATGGAAGTATAGCATTTAAAAGAAAAAATATGCCAAAATACATAACAGAATAATAAAATAAACCTACTTAACCCAAAGAAACATCTGGTACCTTAACCTTAAAGTACTTATAGAGAAATTGTATCTAGAATTCAAATTATACACCGTCTTATGATATGAGGAATGAAGAACGAAAATCAAGAGAACTTAAATGCAACATACCTATGCTTGCTATTTGATGTAGAACCTCTACTCTTTGGTGTCGTATCTATCTTCTTTGGTTTTGGGTTTGACTGGGCTGGAAAAGTAGAAGTAGTTTTGCTCTGCCACAAAACATAAATAAAGTCTACAAGATCCATGTAGTTCACCAAAAAATACATTGGAAGCTATTAAAGGATTCTTACATGCAAAGTTATTCCATCCCGAGCTGGAGCTGGAGCTGGAGCTGGAGCCTCACAAATGCATAAAGGCATTCCACATTTGCACTCTGGCATGCCTACAACAGGGAATTGCTCAATAGCTGGTTTGGGATTGGATTCTGCAACTGCACCAATGTCTAATCTTGAAACTTTATCTGTTACATGATTGACTCCGTCCAAAGAAGCTGGTGCATCATCTTTCCAAGATCTACACCAAAAATGCAAGCCACAAATAAAGAGTAACATTATTTTTTATACGAGTTCCCTTCAATGTCAGAAATGAACCCGCACAAGAAAAGGGAGCAAACATCCAAACAAGAAGTGAGAAAATGGAAGACCATCAAGAAACAAAAACATTCAAGAATATGGCCTAAATCTTCCATAAAACATAGACCCTCTTTCATACATGAAATTTCTCATAGGAATTAGCAAAGCATAGAACCCAAGAAAAATAAGTACCAAGAGTAATAGAGATTAGCAGGCTCTTCCAGATGATGGTCGCACCTCCAAGGACCTCAAAAGATTGGCAAGCAATTACTTAAGTTCTTCAAAGTTCCAAGTAGTAATTTTTTATGTCTACCACTTATAAATTAGAGTAATTATCGATTTATTTCCATTTTCTCAAAATGGCATCCATCTGCTTCAATCTCTCTCTCTCTACCATTCTGACCTGTGCATATCCTTCCGCTTACAATCATCTAGTGGCAAGGAGCAAAAACCCAAAAAAAAAAATAAATAGGTGATAGTTGCAGGAGTGGCCAGCTATAAAAAAATAAAAAATAAATAAAAAGTGATAGAAGGTTACAGGGCACAAAATTAGATAGATGAAGATTGATTGCACCAGCATTTAGCTTCCTAATAGCATGTTATTAGACATTAGTATCAGGCATGTTAGAAGGTGAACTACCACATGTGCAATGGAGGCTACCTTAAATTGAGAAAGTCATTCCAAGTAGAGCAAAACAGAGTAGGTATTTTCCAAGAACAACTATTAGTAGAAATCAAAGTCAGCAGATCGCACCAGTAATCCCTCCTCCAATTCTGCTTCTTTTTCTTTCTTGTATTTGTCGGAAGGGGAATCCAAATTTATTAAAAGGAAGTGAAGCACACAAGCAAATATCACAAGGCGAACAAAAAAAAAAATAATGAAGAAGAAGAAGAAGAATGAAATCAACACAACCCCCAAGGAGATAAAACAGCATCGGAAGCCAAAGATAAACTGAAGATGAAGGTGCAAACCTAAAACTGTAAAGACTCTATCCCTGACTTCACTAAAACGACTAACTCTGTATCTGCCCTTATCTAAAAAGCATGAATACAGAAATGGAACATGGATACAACACGATATGGACATGGTGATACAACAAACTTTAAAATTTTAAAACATGAACACGGGAAAAACAAAACAATAATATTTGTATATATATATATACACAAAACAATAATATATATATATATATATATATATATATATATATATAAGGGCTCGCTCAATGCACGAGACTCCCGCCATTTTGGGGTTTGGGGAGGGTCAGCTGTACACAACCTTACCTCCGTATGGAGAGGCTATTGGCCCACCCTCAAGACAATCAGATTAATTAAAAACATATTAGACATGAATTGTTCTATGACTATAACATGAAATATGTAACTTGTTAATCATACATTTATAAATACCCATGTTGCATAGATAATTACATAACACTATATAATTTTCTGCATGTTTTCGTCTGTGTATGCATTTATACATGCACACACACAAATAAGTTGATGACTGCTCTCCTACTCTCATGCTCGCTCATCAATGAAACACTCATTTTATATATATGGTCAAATTACTTTATTTTTCTTCAATTATACTTTGCTCCCTTGTTAAAAGAATATAAGAATATTTTAAACAATGTTTAAGGTTCAATAATCAAAAGTTAGCAAGTTCAACAAATGTCGTCCATGCGTCAGAAATTAAAAATTTTGTTTTTGAACTATGGACACGTCAGTAAAATCCCCAACCAAAAAAAAATGGTTCCTGCTGATACTTTCTTTGCCAAATCAAAAATCTTCCTCGAAATCCAGCATTCTTTAGCAGTCCGAGTCAGACTGTTGTTTTAGTTGATTCCGCTGTGTCCGCACCATCCAAAATTTAGTCGTCATCGCGATTTAAATTCCCTAGAGAAACCATCTGGACCCAAGGCTATCTCTATGTCATAGTTGATTTGGCATAATGCTGGGAGGAAGCAACTTGTTCCGGGAATGTCTGACATGGATACGACTACTACTTAGAAGTGTTTGTGCTTCTTAGGCCTTTATAGGAGAACAAGGACAACTCTGTCAACACTGTGATATTGTGGCCCGACTTTGGTGCCGGGTCGCGTTGCGACCCACTTATAAACCGACGACTAGTTGGATGAGCTTTGTCTGGGCCCTAATTATTCTCTTGTAGCCCGATATATAAGGGCGCTTAGGGTTTGGAGTGGAGGAAGAGAGAGTAATGCAGCAGGGGGTAGGGGCAATTCAAAATCAAAATTCAAGTAAAATAAGAAAGAGATTGAGAGAGAAAGGGAATAAGAATAGAGGGAAAGAAATCAGAATAGAAGAAGAATTCAGAGGGAGAAGAAATAACAGATAATCTCAAATTCAATATCAATAATAATCATAAAAAGCTGACTTTCCTAATGTCTAAACCAACATATAAATAGACATCAAAGAAAACCCTAATCAACCTATTACCATAAATAAAACCCTAAATTGCTGAAATATCCCATAATAATAATAAATAAACAATAATCCCTAATTCTATCTTTCTTTCCCACGTCTCCAACAATAGGCATGGGTCGTACGGACTTCAAGCTTTCGGGCCAGGCCCGGTTTTTCATCATTCCCTCCCGGTTGAGAAGAACTCTCCTCCGGAGAGTAAATGCATAAGTATATCTCCAAAAAGTACGGGTCAATACTCCGTCTGGTAGTTAAAACTGGAAAACCCTTCCATCGAACAAGGTAATAGTCAATATCTCCAAGATGAGGGCCATCACTCTGATAATCAACAATATCCTTTGTCCAAGCTATATAATGCGACTGAAAAGATAGATGAACTAATGCCGATGCTGAGGAAAATGTAAACCCACTTATAGGAACACATGCCAATAAAATAGGAGGCTCAAAGGTGCCTCGGTTAGGTAACAAATACCCCACATCAAAAATTGAAATAGTACTCATATCAAAAGACCAGTCAAAGAAATACGCATTAGGTCCTGATTTTTGAATGATGTGGCAAAGTCTATCAATTTTGGCATGTTTCATCTGGAAAGAGTTTTTATGACAAGGTTGAGGTAGTGCACAAATTATAACATAATCTCCTTCATTAAATTCATGATTCTGATGATGAGCATGTGCAATAAGTTCATAATTCTTTTTACTTAAGACAATTTCTTGTCGCTTATTGGCATAAAAATCATGCACAAGCTGAACAAAGGAATCAACAAACTCAAGTGAATACATACATGGAGGTGAAGGAACATGATCAATGGACTGGCATGGAAATGAATTATAGACAATTTCAAAAAAATAATTGCCAGTAAATTGATTTGTTAAACTTGTATAGGTATATTCCATTATGGGCAATAACAAATTCCAAGTGTCTAGGTGCACATTAGTAAGAAAACTAACCAACTTTCCTAGACCTTGTTTCACAACCTCAATTTTTCTGTCATTCAAAGGACAAGATGCAAAATGAAACTTCAAATTTGTTTCTAAGAATGTCCAAAGTGTCTTCCAGAAATTACTATTGTACTTGACATCCTTGTTTGACACAATAGACTCTTTTTCAGACACATCTTCACCAATAGAAGTGACTACTTCAGCAAAATCAATGGACAAAAGGACCATGGATGGTAGAGCTTTTGAAAGACAAGACTTAAGAATTGTGGCACAATTGTTCAAAACTTTTTCTCCTAACTTGTAAGATTGAGGTGAAATAGTTTGATTTCCCCTCTTAACACTAGTTAGAAGATGAAGTAGCTCTACTGATATATGGTCGCTTTCTTCCAGGACAAGAGTCAAAATTTTCTCCATGGATGAAAAGACACTATCGGAGTGATAATAACCTATTTCCCTTAAAAAGTGTTCAAACATCTCAACAATTAATGTGTGGATAATTTTGACCCTTTTACCATAAGATGGTGATATAAGACAAAGGACAGGCTCAAATAGAAGGAAGTAAATAAGAGTTATGGGCTGAAAATTCAAAAACAAAGCTAAGATTCAGGATTGTTAGTAGAAAAGAAGGATGGAAAATGACAAAGAAAAGCCTATTGGAATCACTCCAATAGGACCTAGGTATCACAACTAGAGAAGGCCTCACACCCTCAGAATTTGTGAATCACTCACAAAGAAATTTCAAAGGATAATCTTATTCAATCATTCGCTGAGTATTCAGAGTTACATAGTATCATTTTTATAATAAAAGACGACCCTTGGATTATCCTCCAATGGAGGTAATCAAAAGTTGACTCTAACTTAATGAAGTAACAAATAACTTAATTGATGCAATTTAATCTAATTATGCAATTTACTAAAACAAGGTAATCAAAAGTTGACTCTAACTTAATAAAGTAACAAATAACTTAATTGATGCAATTACCAAAATAATGAAATTTGACCAAACGCCCTAATTATGCAAGACTCTAAGTGGACCCCCCATCGTCTAGCATGTGCCAAATTAAGGTTTGAGCCTTAGAACCCTCCTTGCCACGCCTTTTATATACTTTAAAAGGTTGCTGCCACTGTTCTCTACCAATTCTCCCCGGCTTGGAAAAACTTGACCCCGGCGAGGTAAATGCATGAAATTTTTCATAGAGGTCTGGAGCTAGGTGTTGGAACTCACTGTCACTAATCCATGTACAATCAGAAAGTGGCCGTCCTTTCCACTTAACGGGGAATTTTTGATAACCGCCAGCTCTTGTTGAAACAAGTTGGTGATCAACAACATCTTCTATTTCCTCCTTTACACGTGGGGCTGGGGGAAGGCGAGTGATAAGATCAACAAGAAATGGATCAGCAAAATGGCCTGAATGCAAGGTGAGATCTTCGATGTTGAAGACTTTACAGATACCCATCTCTTCTGGTAGGTCAAGAACATAAGCATTGGAGCTAATTTTCTTGAGAACTTTGTATGGGCCAGCACTCTTTGCGTGAAGCTTCTTATAAGCACCTTTAGGATATCGTTCCGGTTTTATTCGCACCATAACCATATCTCCTTCCTCAAATTCGGCAAAATTCCTCCGCAAATCAGCTTGTGTTTTGTAAGTTTCATTGCTCATTGCAATCTTCCTTCGAACCTCCGCATGGATGTCTCTGATATGCTTACTAAAAGCATCAGCTTCAGCACTAGGGTTTGCCACAATTGGTAAAGGCACTAAGTCAATTGGTTTCCGAGGACATAAACCTGTCACAATCTCAAAGGGTCTGCCCCCTGTGGATCTGTTTACAAAACTGTTGTAGGCAAATTCAGCCATAGGAAGAATCTAGGCCCAGCTACTAATATGGTCACCAACAAGACAATGAAGCAAATCACCCAAGTTGCGATTAATAACCTCAGTTTGGCCGTCAGTTTGGGGGTGAAAAGAAGAGGAAAACTTCAGCCTTGTATGAAGCATCTTCCATAATGTGCGCCAAAAATAACTCATAAATTTGGTATCTTAATCAGAAACAATGGTGTTTGGCAATCCATGAAGCCAAACAACTTCTTGAAAGAAAAGCTTGGCAATGTGGATAGCATCGGATGTCTTGGAACAAGGAATAAAGTGTGCCATTCTTTAAAAACGATCCACAACAACAAATATAGCATCATGACTTTGACTGTTTTAGGCAACCCAAGAACAAAATCCATGCTTAAATCTTGCCACGGCTCATGAGGGACTTGGAGTGGCGTATATAAACCTGTATTTTTCTTTCTTCCCTTGGATATTTGACAAGTTCTGCAACGAGCAACAATTCTGGCCACATCTCGTTAAACTTGGACAAAAAAAACGATCTTCCACCATGGCAATGGTTTTATCTCTTCCAAAATGACCTTTTGCCCCATCAATTGGTATCAAAGCCAAAGGTGAAAGAGATCCAAAAAACACAAGAAGTCTCAATATGTGCTACAACGGGCTTCAGTTGTAGGTGGAGTCAATCGGCTTGGTTACATGGCATTGAGCTTGAGTAGTCAAGGTGGAGCATTGGGGTTTTGACTGATTGAGCAACGTATAGTGGGGATAATCCGAGTTCTGTAATAAGATCGAAAAGATTGAAGTGCCAGAGAATTATCCAGATTCAATTGCCATAAGAAGCGATGATTGACGTAATGGAATTTGAGCCAAGGTGGAGATTGTTAGGAACTATGTCTCAAATTCCCATTATTATTAGTTTTTATTTTAGAGTGTATTTTTATGGTAATTTCTTATAGAGACGTGAATTGGGCTCTAAGAAATTGTAATCCTTGTCCACAAAGGAATTGGGTATGTGACTCTATAAATAGACACTTAGGCTATTGTTGAGAGTTATGAGTTGAGAGAGATGTAGCCTCGTAAGGGAGTACGTTGATGATAAGGGGGGAGTTACGAGTTTGGTAGAGTGAACACTGATGGCGAGAGGGAGTCTCGTGGAGTACACGGAGAACTCAGTCAAGAGTTTGTGTGCATGGTCCGTTATTGAAATTCTCTACTATTATAATATCTCTACATATATAGTGAATCTATTCTCATCCGTAGATGTAATCCTGATTTTGGATGAACCACGTATATATCTTGTGTTGTGGTTTAATTTGTTGTTTTCATTCTTTCTTTTGCTTCCGCTGTGCCCCATCAAATGGACTAGATATATCAGATAAATTTTCAAAAGATGATACAATCATATGAAATACTTCTACCATTTGATCATCATTGTAGGGAAAATCTGGTGCTGTAATCCTTGTTAACTCACTAAGGCATGAGGCTACTGCAACTTTAACATCACAATTTGAATGCTGTAAAAACTCTTTCACAATTAAAGCCTTCATTATTGGAGAGAGTGCAGCTTGCATTGAAGCACATGGGTCCTGGTTTACTTTGCAAAGAAAGTGATCAATTTTGGTAAGCAACCAAAGGAGCTGACTGACTAAGGATGTAGGTTGAAAAAGCCTATTTCCAATTTTCAGAAGTTGTTGTTCCAAATTTATTTTCAGTGTTGTTTTTGTTTCCCTTTCATTTTCACACTAGTTAATTCTATTTCCGTGTGACGGGAAGCTTGGTTTGGACTCAACAATCTTAACCTTGCTTGGCTTAGAACAAAGCCATTGGGGACATGAAACGATGTTCACCTCTGACATCGTTAAGAAGATGTATGAGCTAGGTCAATGAACAAAGTTTAAAGAAGGTTGTTGATGGTCATGGTGGAAAGGTATGATATAAGAATGATTGAGGATAATGCCAACATAGAACTCAAATTGAATTAAGTAAACTAAATTATAAACTAGAACAATGCACAACTAAGAATATCATAATGCAATAAAATCGATTATGCCAAAATTCATGCACTGATTGTAAGTGTTTGGGTGCAAAAATAAGGTGGAAACAATGAAAAGAATTTTTTTTTTTTTTCAAATGTGCGACTGAGGCAATTCAAAGGGGTTCAAAATTTAGATGGGTTCAGTTAGGACCTTTTTGCAAATTTCTATACTAATCAAATGGATAAAAGTACTAATAACAATTTTTAATTGAAGTATATGTACCTTTTCCGAAGTCCAATGTAGATCCCAATTGAATGCTCCAAGTGTTGAAGATTATCCCAAAATAGCTGCTGGAACTGGTGTAGGAATTCTGTTTTTTTTTTTTTTTTTTTTTTTTGTCAGTCTACTACTGAACAGGCTAAACTATTCTGTTGTGGCTCTGAAATTTGGTCTCTTCTGAACGGGGCTAAGCTTAGGCCTGAAAACTCAATCTGCAACTTCCTTAAATGGGATGGATCTGACTATTTTAAATTTGAGTTTGGTTAAATCTGGTTTATAAGGAAACAAAATATATCCTTTCCAAACCAGACGGGATAATCCAAAGTTGACTCTCCAAAATCAGTAGCGCTAAAATTTTGGTGACAATAAGGAATGCAAAGATTGCAATAACCCAAAGTTGACTTTCCAAAATCAGTCGCGCAGATTGCAATAATCCAAAGTTGATTTTCCAGAATCGAGAAGAGGATGCTGAAATTTTGGTGAACAATTGCAAAGATCTAGGCACACGTTCACAAATTAGTGTGAACGAAGATCGAGGAAGATGACAACTAGGGTTTGTGTGGTTTTGGTGATGGTGAAGCAGCGGTGCTTTGGTTCTAAATTTTGCAACAGAGGCAGTGGCTGTAAATTTTGCTAGGGTGTCAGTTGGTTTGTATTGGTGTCGGCTGGGGCTTAGGATCTTCAGATGGCCGAAAAGTGATAAATGGATTGGATTGCTAATTGATTCAGATGGATGAATAGTAGATTGGTTTGATTGCTGTGAACACTTCGAATCTTTTGCTCTGATACCAATTGATGCAGCAGCGGGTAGGGGCGATTCGAAATCAGAATTCAAGTAAAATAAGAAAGAGATTGAGAGAGAAAGGGAATAAGAATAGAGGGAAAGAAATCAGAATAGAAGAAGAATTAAGAGGGAGAAGAAATAACAGATAATCTCAAATTCAATATCAATAATAATCATAAAAAGCTGACTTGACTTTCCTAATGTCTGAACCAACATATAAATAGACATCAAAGAAAACCCTAATCAACCTATTACCATAAATAAAACCCTAAATTGCTGAAATATCCCATAATAATAATAAATAAACAAAAATCCCTAATTCTATCTTTCTTTCCCACGTCTCTAATAATAGGCATGGGCCGTATGGACTTCAAGCTCTCGGGCCAAGCCCGGTTCTTCATCAGAGAGACTCTGAAATTCGTACAGAAACAGAGTAAGGGGCTGAAAACTTGTAATCTCTGATTTTACACATAGTAAAAACTTTCGCCGGATCCCAACCGTGGACGTAGGCTGTTACTGAACCACGTATAAATCTTTGTGTTCTTTGTGTGGCGTGTTTACTTTTCTATCGTGATTCTTGATTCAACTTGGATTCGTTGCGTTTGTCATAACAAACACCATATGAGATTTCATGTATCATCTTAAGACATCTCAAAGAAAAAGCATACAAAAGTACAACACTTAAAGATAAATGCTAGCTCATTAATTTAAAAGGACCAGATTTTTCAACAGTCCTGCAAAGATACCACATTAGAACACCACCACCAACACAACCCCCCCAACGCGCAAGGGAAAAACAAATAAATCATTTAATAAGAAGGTAAGATATATCTACAATGTATCCAACAAAATCAAAATCAGGAGTTAATTACCGAGAAGTATTGTTGAAGCAATCAGAGCAAACTCTAACACCTGAGTAAATGCCAAATTGCGGTAAGGCCTGAAGTTGCACATAGAATGAGAAAAGAGAAATGGTTAATTAAATCCATCCATGATTGTTACAAGAAATAATTGAGTGTATGTATATATAGCTCATACCATTTGATTTGACGAGTGTTCAGCACATAGAGTCTTGCCACAACATCGGCAATGATGCTGTGAATATAAGAGGAGAGTGTGAGTTAGGTGAGACCTAAATCTTGAACTGATTTTATTAAGACACAAGTGGTTCTGCTGAATAGCAGATTTGCACATGATAAATCAATTTTTATAGACACAGTTAGGGTTGGTTCATATCATCAGAGAGGAAGAGCCATATTAAGCGCATCAAAAGATTCTTCTTTCTTCCTAGTTAGTAAAATAGCATCATAAGCATTTCCTTAGGCATCTGTATGACAATGAATGAACGACGTTCCTTTTTTCTGATAAAAAAACTCAAATAAAGAATATTCCTACTCCTTCCAAAGTGGTTAAAGATCCATGAATATTACTAGTTGCTCACTATAATCTCCAAAATTGTCTACTCATTGCATAATGAGATCTGAAAAGTTTTAAAATATTCCATCATCATTCCTCTTGCGATGTTGTACATATTGGTTAAGCCTCATTTTCCATTGAAAAAACAGGTATTCTAGATTTCACTTGACCTATACATTAGATTTACATTTCCAAAGATATATACATATATCTGTATGTATGTATGAATATACACAAATAACACAATTGGCTGGAGGAATCCAAAATGGGCAATGACCAGTTATTAGTTATACTATGAGGCTCTGCCATATTATGCGCTAACTGGCAGGTTAGCATCTCCATCCAAGCCATTCTTTGATTGAGTTCCTTAACATTAGGATATTGCTTTGTGTATCAGCTGACAAATGAATCAAAAGATATTATAGGAGACAATAAGGCAAATGCTCATTACTGATTGAATGATGGTTTAAGTAAACATAAAAAAACAATGAGTGGGCACATGCCGCATATCAACACCAAAATCAACGCGTACAGACTGGAAAAATCAACATGTAAAGACAGGAAAAGCACAAGTTGTTGTGTGGATGCAACAGATTGCTTAAAACACATTAGCAACAAGTTCCGATCCCACTATTTCTCCTTTTGTTATTGTCGTGTGGAATGCAACTGATGGCTTAAATCCCACTTATTTCATCTTTTGCTGGTTCTAAATCTAGAGTCCAGTTTATACCTTATATCAGCTTTTTAAAATCATCCAGGCATAAAGAATCAGATTCAACTAGACAAATTGTTTCATACTTTCTCTGGTTGCCTGCAACCAAAAAGGTTCAAAGTGTCTAACCTAAATTTAAGGAAACTGTAAGGAGGGAGGGGAAGGTATAGGACAAGTGAGAAAAAATGTTATCCTACTGTTATGGAAACTTAATGTAGGGCAGTGCTTGGAAAGTTCTAATATTGTGACCTCTGTATAATTGTTTATTTGTTGGGCTTAGGCTATGGAAAACTTGCAGTTTAAGGTCTAAATAAGAGGAAGAATGGTAGTAGGGTTTATAGATGGAATTGCTTGAATTAAAAGTGTTCGATCTCGATGAGTTCAGGAAAACTTCTGCTGGAAATGCTTGACAACCACCTTTCTGAAAAGAGTAATGTTAAGGAGAAGGCATTATTTAGGATTATAAAGGTATGCTTTTTTTCTTTTTCCTAGTTTTTAGAATGAAAATTAAATGAAATCATTTGTTGTTCTGCTGCTGTAAGCAATATCGATGAATAGTAGACTAGTTTGTGCACTACGCGGCAAGGGTTAATTAGTTTAAAAAGGAACAATTAGGGCTCAGCAAATAGTTTTAGGAGAGAAAAGGTGTTGACGGGGTCTTCTCATGAGGTTAAAGGACTAAATGAAGTGCAAGAAACTCTATAAAGAAGAATGGTAAACGAATAAGTTTCGCATCACAGCTAGATTCCTAAGGCATCATACTTCGAGTTCAAATTGCGACAATGCAAATACCATAACTGCTGAAAAACTTCTCTTACACCGTAACACTAATATAATATACTCTGTGGCTATACCTGGCAACTTAGAAATTTACTAGGAAAAGTCGTATAAGCCTAACAAAGTTTACACATGAAGAAGCACCACAGTTTGATTTATCATATAAGACGCTAACCACTATTAGAGCCCATCTAAAGCAAATATAAAGTTACCAGAATTGGAGAGTGGTTTGGCTTGAAGTGCAATCAATAAATGAGCTGTCAAACCAATCGATTTGGTTTGAAGTGTGCATAAAATTTTAGATAAGGAATTGGCTGGCTGATCAAAAACGCTGTTGGATGGGAATGACTCACTCAATAGTCACATGTGCAATAAAAAATCAGTCAAATAGTTAAGGAAGTGAAAATGCTCACTAAGAGTGGTGCATAAGATTAAAAAAGGACCCTAATACGACTGTTAATGGCGTTCATATCAGATTAGAAAACAAATCAGATTACAGCCTTATTAAAACATTTCAAATGCTTCCTGAGCCTCTAGAACTGGAAGAAGTTGTAAGTTGTAACTAGTCTGTTTAAAGCTTTAATAGAAATTAAGCAACTAAGTATTAATTCACTATTACCAAATACTTCAAAATCTAGCTCCTGAACCAAATGCCAATGATATTTTATCTGCCAATATACAAGAAAGAATTCCATAAAACAAAAGGCAAAATGAGCATGGATTCACAACAATTCAGATGCAGATTATCTATATAGGATTCAAGTATTGGATATCCAACTGCCAATTGAATTTAATGGATAAACAATATAATAATTGAAAATGAATAAAACCTTAGCTTATTTGCAGATCAGAGTTAATTACATCCTACAGCAAAAAGATAAAGGATCGATGAATACAACAACAACGACGACAATCGTCGCTGTGTTTGGAGGGGTGGTTAAGAGAGTACCCGTCGCCGGAAGGTGTTGAAGCTGCATTTGCAGACGTCGCAGCGCGAGGATTCCTGGAACGGAGGGGGCTCAACTGACATATCTGTGCCACTCTCTTTCTCTCTCTAGCTGGCGTTTTGATCGACTTTTCCAGTCGGATTTATTATCCCCTACAAACAATTAATATATTAATTAGACAATATATTTGTGTCACTGTGTGTTTGTGTGTGTATACCATACATATAAGTTGATATTGTGGTGTTTTTTTTCCAAGTCCAATTCCAATACAAGGGGATGGTGCTTTTGAAATTTCATTCTGGAGTTCGTCTCCGACTACAAAGTTGTAATTCTTTCCCTCGGCCCATATAATTTTATATTAAGGGCTGAATATTGTTGGGCTTCAAAAAGTAGGATCAAACTGGTTTGGGTTTTCTTTTCTCACGTCCGATTGCATAAAAAAAATGGGTAGATCGGATAACCAAATCGAATCCAGTTCGATTCCGATTTCAAAGTTTTGGAACTGTTGAGATTCGATTCGGTTCTAATTTTAGATCATTTAAGACTGAATAGATATATTGTTTATATATTATATTATTTTTAAATTATACCATTGATAATATATATTATAATTGCTTGGATCAAATATAGTGTGGTTTGATGCATTATGAATCTCAACTCTTTCTAATGCATTATTATTTCAATGTTTACATAAATAAATAAAAAATTTACTAGTGATCATTGCTTCACTAGCTCAGAATGTTTGGTTATTGTAACCATAGTTTAGAAGAATATTTATTAAAGTGAGTTAGACATACTCATTGAAGGAATGAATGTGTTTTTCAGTAAGCAGTTATGCATTAATTTAAATAATATATCAAAAATATATATACTTATTTTGAAAGTAGATAATATATTTTTATAATTTTTATAATGGAACCGAATCAAACTGAACCAGTTTTCACGATTCGGTTCTATTCCATGTATAACGGTTTCAGTTCTAATTTTTTAAGAACTATTGGAAACGATTCGATTCCAATACCATCAAGAATCTTATCAAACTGGACCGTGTGTATTCTTACGTCGCATGTGAACTAATTACATTTTTCTTATTATTTATTCTTTATTTTTATTTTTATTGAGAATAAATCAATTAGGGCATATTAAATGGTTCAGAAGTATGCAATAATTTTTTTTAAGATTGATTAAATAAGATGATTGCTTTACACATTTCAAGATTATAAAACTTCTTTCACTTTTCCTTACTAAAAAAAATGTTTATAAACCTTTATTGCTGACATTTCAACTATTTAAATACAATTAAATGTTCGGAAATTCCAACAATGATTATGACATATATGCTTTTATTTCAGTGATATTAATATCCTTTTGATTTGTACTGCCCACCAATTATTTTTTTCCATTTCAAAAAAAAAAAAATGGTGTAATGTTAGCGATGTGGGTATCTTCGGTAAGTTCACGCCATCGTCTCTAGTGTAATCAATCAAATAATTCAAAGTATTATTGTATTTTAAAAATATATAGATTGAAACCACGATAATGATAATTATAACCTCCTCCAGTGTGATGACAGAGATATTATAGAATATAAAAAAAGTGTGTAAAATAAGTTAATAACATTATTCAAGATACTTAAAAAAAAAAAAAAACATTATATGAAGATTAAACAGGAAGGATTTCTGACAAATACTTACCATCAAAGCCGAGACTAGGATGAAACCGCATACCCTCGTCAAGATGCAGAGCAACGACCAAAGGTGCGTTGGCTGCTAAGGTAATTAAATTGTAGTGAAGGTGCCTCCAAGACACAGTGAAGCATGCAACTTCAAGAGTGTAAGCTCTTTTTGTTTAGATGTAAAATATTTTTTTCTTTGTTGGTGTTTGATTATCATAGAAAAAAAAAATATTAAAATCTAAAAATATTTTTTTACCTCAAAACAAAAGAGCCTTAAAGGCCTACCTAAATTCCTATTTCAGAGTAGGCTCATTTAAAAAACGCTCGATATTTTATTTCCATTAGTCGCGATAGCCACTGCCCGAGTGTGAGAAACTTAGAAGCATAATCTTCCTGGAACTATAAAAATTAGAGGGTTATGAAACTAGATGTCAATTCGTGCCACACCACCAGATTTTAAGATTTCAAACAAAATATAACGATGTCAGCAAGATTGGGCAGTGAGGCCAGTTGGGGCGGGAACTGCAATTAGTATGCGAATCTAAACATAGTTGTACATGAAAAGTTCAAACCTCAATTGGATCTAAACACAGTTGTACGTGAAATGTTCAAACCTCAAGCTTCCAAAATACTCGAGTATGTAGGTGGCAGGTTTATTCACTCACAGTCAGTCATACCAAATTACTCGTAGTACATAGTACATACCATACAGCACAGAGTATGTGTAGATCAGAGTGCAACTAGCAAAGCATTAAACTAAAATCACACTCTACAAAAGAAAACAAAGACAGAGACCTCAAAGTCATTAACATCTCAAATACATTCTAACCATCATCAGTGCATACTGCGAAAAATACCATGTAGGTACCCGCCACTCATAACAAGGGACACAACGGACACAACACCAGCTGGAAATATCTTCCCTGAATTCTTAAAGCGAGAACCCATAACTGCCAGAAGAGCAGCAGACAGCCCTGAAATTGAAAGAAAGCAAAGATGAGATAAGATTTACTATGAGATTAACCATACTGGTGCAAAATGAAATTTCCTTCCTCACCTATCAGATCTAGGCAATTTGTTGAAAGATTCTCTTTGTTATAAAGAGCAAGTCTCTTTCGACCGAATGCAAGAACTTTGATTTTCACCTTTAGAAGAGTGTTTTAGAACATCCAGCACCTTAATCTCCATTAATAATTTAATAGTATGAACTGCATGCTTAAATCACTTTTAAGGAGCTCATGCATGAACACACCGAGGTCTAATTTGAATCTCCTATGCTACGGGAAGGGAACCAGGAAAAATGTCATAAAGGAAGCCTTTTTAAGCAATCTCCTTTCTTTTTCTTTTCTTTGCTTCTTTCCGAGATACAAATAGAACATAAATGGTTGATTTTTCCCTTTAGTACAGGGCATAATCTGGTATGGGAGCTTAAACTAGTGATTTCCACAGTAGCATTGACGTAGTAAATTCAACATTAATATAAAGACCGTGAAATCTTACCAAGTCCAAGAGATGATGCAAACACCGGTTTAGTGGGAAGCTCGGTGTAAACATAATACAGAAGCAGGGCTGATAGTCCACCTGACATCAGTGACTTCTGGCTGCCACTCTTCAAATACCCCATAAGTCCACCCACTGAAGAAAATGAATGAAATTTAGTCAGAAAGAGCAAAGGAAACCAAAAAAGCTGCACCAACAATCAAGGATTATATGGCTGAAGGAACAAGGTCCTATCAAAGCAGATGCATGAGGTACTTCAAAAACTTTCTTGGGAAATACCAGTTTTGTTTTAATACCAAGGGAAGACATAAAATATTGAAATTTAACTCTCCAGTTTCCTTCAGGAAGAACTTGCTCAACCGGTAACACGGGTGAGATAAGACAGCCACTTTGACAAGGAAGGAAAAAAGCTCAAGAATAAATAGATATAGTGCTGTATATTTCCCAAAAGAACTGGTCTATTATTGCCCCTGATGTCTTTTCTGTTTTTTGGTAAGTAATAGGCTCTGATATCATTTGATGCCTTATTTTCACTCTTCATGACTACTTAAAGAAATCAAATGCTATAGCAATTACTTTAATTCCTAAAGTGCAAACTTCAAGTACTATGAAGTATTTCAGACCCATAATCTTGTCGCAACACAAATTAAAAATATTATGTAGTTGCCAATACACCATCATGCCAGTTGTTATCAACAATAAACAGTCACCTTTCATGCAAGGTAAATCTATTGTGGATGACAATTTTTGTTTGGAATTGGTTAAGAACTACCATAGAGATTTAACAAAAAAAAAAAAACAAAAGTTTATGACAGACAATTGGCAACTCCTCATAAAAGTTCTGGAACCTCTAAATTTTCCAATGCATATATAAAATAAAAAAATAAAAAGGAGTGCTAATGGAATAACTTCCATAACTCTTTTGCTGCTGATCTATTTCTGCTCCTTGTGTTCAAATTAACTCAATCTATGTCACTGAGGGAGCCTTGAGAGAAATTTTAACTCATAGCTTCCACAGTTTTGAAGATATCTTAGGAGCTTGATTATGCTCATTGCCCGTATTTGCAAATTGATAATTATCTGAATTGTGGAAATTCCTTCAGATAGAAGTCATCTACCTAGATAATTTAATCAATGGTGATATAAAACTGCAATATATATATTTCTAGTGTAGATGATCGGTCTAAGAGAGACGATGCCTGAAAGGATTCTTTCTGTCAAGTATTTAGCAGTGGCCTCATACACACCAGGCTCAGAGCAGCAGAATGTAATGAGTTAGTTGAACTGGTAGTGGCTAGAATGAGAAGCTGGAGAGCTATATACCTATCTTATGTTGGAAAATTCTAACACACCATCTCAGTATGCAATGTCTTAAGATCTACTGGTTTGGCACTTTGTCCTTCGGAAGTAAGTTCTGAAAGTTGTGGAAAAGATTTAAACAACTTTTCTATAGTCCACTTCAGCGCTTAAGCAGAATATAAGTGCAAGGTTGCATGCAACCCTATGAGTGAAGTGGTTTAAGTGTTAAACGAGTTGAGGAATTGAAGAAGGCTACCATGTTTTTTTTTTTGTGACAAGTAAGGAGGGAATGTTAGGACACTGGTGGACTATCTGCAAGAAAAAATATGCATTATGTATCATGTGGCATCATATTCACCTGATTAAATATAGGTGTTTCTAGAATATACTAATTCCTGCAAATTGTAAGTAGACCTGGAGAAAGATTCTAAAGCTCAAGGACATAGAAAGGAATTTCACTAGAATGAATATTGGAGATGGATTCATCACCTTTCTTGTGGTATAACCAACTGATATCCTGTTGGTTCCTTGGTTAGCAAATATCGCTCCAAACTTATTTGTTGATTATGTTACCAATGAGAAGGTTGTCAATTATGCATAAAAATAAAATTTAAATTTAAAAAATAAAAAACAGTGAAGTTGCCTGAAATATAACCTAAGGAATAATGGTAATTAAGAACATAAGGTGCCTGCAAATACAACCTGGGAAACAATTGTAATAAAAAATCAATATCCAGACTATTTCCTTCCAACACGGCAAAGCTAGGATACCAACACATGGGTGCTGAATTCTAGTGATGACTATAATGCATACTGCTTGTGAGGCGATTCATAGGCAGAATCACGCCAGATTGTTAGTGCAAAGGGGACATTCATAAACTTTCCCTGTGGCTGCTATTTTAAGGCCAAAATGATTACAGCAGACAAACTCAGAGGTTGTAGTTTAATTTAGAATGCAAATTGTGTTCTCACTTCTTCGTGAGGTGCACCAAGAAGGCATCATATTCTATTGCTATATGGAAAGAGATCCTGCAGGTTTGCAATATTCATAGAGATCCACATCGGCAGAAAACAAAATGAAGTGGACTGCTCAAAACCGAAGGGGTAATTGTTTATGCTTGATGTTATGAGATTAGTTTGGCTGCAACAGCCTTTTAGATTCGGAATGAAATAAATAGAAACAGAACCAGTCTAACAATTGAAATGCTTTTGGTAAACATATACAAATACATAAATAATAAAATTGCTCTATTGGCAAATGTATTATTGACTCAATAAGACAAATTAAAAATCAAAACTCCTAACAAAATGTCAGAAATTGAACAGACGTTAAAGAAGAAAATACTATACAATCATAATATAGAAATCCCTTCTTGATCATCAACTCCTATCAGCAAACACCCAAACCTCACACAACCAACCAAGGAGAAACTAAAAGTCGTGTTTGGTAACATGGAATCGGTGAGTTGGAACTCATTTGGAGCATAATTTTCCTCCCTATTCCAAGGCCTTGTTTCATGCTTTCAAACAAACATACGAATTACAAAAACAAATGAGCTATAATAATCAACATTTACTCCAACAGCGTTGACTCACTCACCTCCAACCAAAGCAGCATAACCCAGTGTCAACTTCTGAGACATCGACATAGCCATCTTCTTCTTGCCGTCGCTGTTCTGATCGTCCGATCCCCCTTCTCCCTCGTTATTATCGCCGCCGCCACCGCCTCCGCCGCCGCCGCCGCCTCCGCTAGCACCGCCAAAACCGTCACCACCGCTGGTATTCGGTTGGATCTCGATCTCTTTAGCCACAAACTCACCGGTAAATGTGGGCGTTGTAGAGTCGGAGACAACCCTAGCAGAAACTGATCCGATGATGTTGTGAATGCTGTTCTGGAGTCGTTGAGAGCTAATAGATGGTAACAACACGCTTGGTTCTGATTTGATATTCAAGAAACATAGAGATGAGCGGTCAACGGAAGACGAAGAGGTGTGATAGCGAAGGAAAGAGTGGCGTGCTCGAGTTGACCCATGGAATTGAGATTGGGGGTGCAGCGTAAATGACTGTGAAAATGCCAAAGACACTCCCATTTCGTTTTTCTTCTCTCCTTTCTCTTTTCTTTGCCCTTGCAGTTATGAGTAATGGCTGCACGTGTCCATCTTTCTTCACGAACTTCTCGAATTTTCCTTTCCCTCCGTGTCTTTATTTGACCTTCTCTTTTCCCCTGTATTCCATTATTGACTAGCAAATTATCGATACACAAAAATGAACGGGGCCGATTTGGCATTCATTTTGTTTTTTTTTTTAGGAGTTATTATTCTTGTTTTTGTTAGGAGTTAACAGTAAAAATATATATATTTGATAAAAAAATATTTTATTTTATACAGTATCAAAAATAATGGAGTCAAAAAAACAAAAAAAATAGTCTTCAAAAAAGGAAATTACATTTTTTTAGCACCGTAAAAATGGAGACTGTAGCGTTAAATAGTAATTTTTATTTTTTAAAAAACTCTTAAATGTCATTTTTAAATTAATTATATTTCTCAAACTTGCAACACTCTTTCACCGAAAATGTTTTATTGTTTTTGCTAACAAAAAACTTGCAATAAATGAACGTTATCAAACATGTTTCTGATTATTATTTAAAACACTTTACTCTTCAACTTGTTTTGTTTCGGGTTAAAACAAAGCGTGATGGCCACATTTATTTGCAAAATAAAACTTACTATATTTTTTAAAATAATGAAATTATCAACAGCCCAATGACCTAGTAATACCATACCCCTACTTTCCAAAGGAGGTTAAACATTCAACTAAATAATAATAATAAAATTTTATGGAGAGGAGATGTTATTATATCACATATCTTGATTATAAATTTATAACCTTTCAAAGTTTAGGCAGCGGAAAAGAAAAAAAATAATAATCTGTATTTCAATTTTGAACGCACTTATCTTCGAGGGGAAAATAAATAAATAGCAATAACCCTTTCTATACGAATTTCTTTTTATGAATAATTGTGCATGCTTGGAGTTTTGAACCTTTATTTATCATTTTATGAGGTCAAAGCAATGATATTTTGAAAATGTACAGTTAACCAAAATGCCAATGCGAATATGGAAAACATTGTCCATTTGCTCAAATTACTATTATTATTTCCAAATACCACTTATGCACACGAGCAACACTCTTATGCACAGAGGTACCACTTTTGGTTTGCACAAAGAATGGTACTTACGCATAAGAATGATACTTGCGTGCATAAAAGTGGCACCTGAAATAATAAATGGTAGTTTTGGCCAAAAAAAATGTAATGTTTCTGATTTTCATCATTTTTTCATTTTCTGGGATTTTTCGGGGTTATTTCCATCTTGTCTTGTTTTGTGTACCGAACACCGTGGGGTGTGTCGGGAGTGTTTGAGAGTTATTTGGGGTATTCCCTTGAGTTCAGGACTTTTAGAAATGCATTGGTTGTCATTTCGACATTTTTTCATTTTTCAGACTAGGAGATCCCAGATGGGACCCGCTACCAGGGTCGTTGTGTGCTGGGGTTGTGTTTCGGATTCATTACATTTCATGCAATATTACTTAATATACAATTATGCGAGTACATGTTTAATTATATGGGTGTATGGCGTTTAGTATATGTACATATATATATTTATGTTCCCTCCGTCCCAAAATAGTTGTCCATCTTTCTATTTTGGAATGTCCTAAAAAACATGTCCTATTCCAAAATTGAATGTACTATTTTTTATAATATTCCTAAACCATCCTTTTAACTAAACAACCGCAGTAATTACGAAAAACTATTTTGTCTTTTAATAAGGGCATATTTGAAACTTCACTCTTATCAATACAATAAAAACTATTAAAACTCGACATATAGGACATGTATTGTGCGACAGAGGGAGTATATATTAATGTTAAAAGTTATTATATTATGCCGCGGGACTGTCATTCTTTTATTATTGAAATGACCCGAGGGTCATTAGCAGACCCTTAGTTCCTTTCCTTTCTTTCCTTCTGAATTTTCATTTTTTTTTTTTCTTTTACAACTTCAAACTTTGATCTCTTCTAAACCTTTGGGAATTTGATCTTGCCACTTAAGGTAAAGTCGACGAGCACGTAGAGACCTTTTTTTTTATCGGAGCAATTTCTAATTTGGAGCACTTTTGAAATTTCGAAATTTGAGGTTTTCTTCAATTGGTTGAGGTTGGGGTTTCTAATACACACAATCTTTGATTTTTGTGAATTACCCTCCTCTAATTTGGTTCTAGCATGCTTTAAATTGTATAAAATTGTTTATGGTTATGTGAGTTCATGTACTAGATGTGATATTTATATGTTATCTGTAAAATTGAGTTCATATACATGCTTAATCGAATTGTATGAAAGAGCTTGTTAAATTCTAAGTGTCGTATGCTTGTGTTGCTTATGTGCCATGACTATGAGATTAATGACGTGAAATTTAGTGTGTAATTTATTCCCTAAGAATGCAAGCATGATGTATATATGAGATGTATAAAAATTGTATATTTGATATGGCTTGAAAGGCATGTACATTCAAGCATATCATTGGGCAAAAAAAAAAGGAAAAAATGTTTTGAAAAACAAGAAAATCATTTTAGGAAATGTTTTGAAAATGGGTTGTGAAAACCCGGGCGCCTAGGAGTTGCCTAGTGATCCGTAGCGTTAATGTGATCTAAAAGGAACTATGGAGAGACTCTAGCGTGGTTGAGCTACCTAGGCATGAAACGACGCCATGGAGGTACCATGTGGTTGGGGATAGCTAGCCAATCCTTCCCTTGTGGTGCCGTAGAGGTGCTATGGGTCAGGTTGTATTAACGGTTGGGAACGGCGAAATGGAATTGTTTTAGAAAACGGGGAGCGACATTGGTATGACATTACACTCCATTGACGTACATTATGTATCTATAGTTGGATGACATTAATATACATACTTGTCGTAGTTGTTGTTGCTGCGTTTTTCCCTATGGCATTATCTCATTTGTTTTTACCTATGTTTTGTGTAGATTCATAGGGTCATTAAGAGGTGCGTCTTAGACACCTCCTACTGAGCCGTTGAGCTCACCCCATTACTTTAATATTGAAAAAATATAGTTTAAGTTCAATGTTTGATGATAAATATTTTAAGTCGAAATATGTAGAACACAAATAACGACTTAATTAGCTAGGTGTGGTGCAATTTGATAATAAGAGGCCAGATGCATTATGTGGGGGTTAAAAAATTGTTGTGTTTGAGCGGCTTGTACCTCTTTGGTGGTCAAATGTCTTTTAATTTATAAACATAGCGAAATAAATGTTCTTTTAACCTGGACAGCAATACTGGTTAGGAGGAGGTCTTAAATTATAACCCTTATTTATTTATGTATTTATTTTAGTGGTCAAGTCTTAAATTAGACTCTGTGGTTGTATATACAAATTCAATATTCATGCCTAATAGATGACTCGGATGCTTTATAGTATTGAGGAGGTCTTAGATTACAACCCCTTTTTTTTTTTGGTCAAGTCTTAGATTAGACTCTGTGGTTGTATTAGTATATATACAAATAGAATATTCATGCCTAATAGAATATTCATGCCTAATAGATGACTATGCTTATAGTATTGTCTCAATCCAAACCGATCGAGTTAGGAAAGTTGGGACTTATGACAGCTTCGCGCCACTTAGGTTATTATATATATTAAAAAGAAGTTCAATTTATTTAATTTTTTGATGCATTGTTTTAGTCAATGTTATAATTTTATCGGGTGGGAATGTAGCTACGTTGCTATTCGTGCTGAAATCAATTTTCAAAGAAAGGAAAAGGTCCAAGTGATCATATACACATTAATGTAATACACTTGAGAATTCAAACAACATACTACGGTAGACAAAGCCAATATTACCGGTTAATTTTTATTCAACATTAAAGCAGTACTTTGATATATATGATATTTATTAGTGCCAAAAAATCTTAATTTGTACACATGAAACTTATTGCATTACAAATCAAAGAACAAACAACAAATGAGGTGGTTGTGACGTGATCTCGGAGTAGTACCTACTTTATGTGTATATGTTTCCTTCATGTTAGTGAGCATTCTTGAGGAAGTCCTTGAGGGAAGCGTTTGGCATCGGTGCAGTAGTTGTAAATCATGTAGTTCTTTTGCACCGTCTTAATTCTTTCTTGGCCGGTGTTGTCTAGCGACTCGGTTAGCCAAGAATTGTTGCTAGATGCGTTGGAACAAGAGGAGGAAGACGAAGCTGAGGACCATATGCAAGCTTGGGCATTGAAGTTCTGATATGAAGCTGTGAATGGTGCTTGGCTCCAATCCGTCTTGACAAGTCCTCCTCGCGTAGCCCAGTCGTCTGCGTTCCACAGACTCGAGTATATCCACATAGGTTGGTCCTTCGGAAAAGAGATGCCATATGATTCCAAGTTCTTGAACTGCCTAATGGGAGTCCCATCCACAGAGAAGCTGATACAAATGAAAAATAATAATAATAATAATAAATAATTAAACACACGTTCAAATAAATACATAAATAAATAACATTTTTTTTTCTTTTTATTATCTATTTATCAGTCTAAACTTCCATTTTCACCACCCAGTGGCAACTTTGTGATTCAAGTTTTATCCAGTGATTAAATAGGGTGGGTTCAGGTGGTTTTAAATATTTGTACCAAAAATTAATTTTATATATAGATATACCATATACATAGCTAGAGTCATATTTTGCCACGCAAATAGCTATGGACATAGAGGTTGAAAATTTTGGTGACCTAAAGCATTACTGTTAGGTCAATCCAATTAACGTGACATAAGAGAGAGAGAGAGAGAGGGGTTTACACGATGGTTTGAGGATTCCATAGAATGGAGTAGGTGTGGAAGTCCTTAGTTGGGTCGAACCAAAGATAAAACTGCTGCTCTCTGTTACCCTTTCCTTGTGTAAACACATTGGTATGTAGTATGTAAGGGTCTCCACTTAGGTTACCAAGAAACTCAAAATCGATTTCATCATGAGTGTTACCCTGGGATGACAGCTGCAAAAACATCCACAATATTAATTAATTTTAAAGCTTATTAATTAGTACTAATTAGAGCAACATAGAAATCAACTACGTATATATTAAGTGCATGACCAATAAACACGTCAAACTTACATAATATGCTGTGACAGTACCAGCAGAGTTACCGGGCACGAGTTTTAATTGCATGTCAATCTTCCCAAATAAGTACTGGTTCTTGGATTTGAATCCGGAACCAGAGGCCTTATCTAGGGAAAGCGTCAGAAGCTGCCCGTTGTTGTGTATCTGTGCTCGGCCATCGCCCCATGTGATATCGAAATCCTGGTAGAAGTTGCTCGCTGATGCCACCACCGCCACCAATAAGGTGAGCGGCACAAGCAAATTGGCAATCATTTTAGTTGAAACTACAATTTGAGAACTCATCTAGCTAAAAGGTAATATATGTGTGTTGTGAAAGTGCATGAAGATGGTGAGATCGAGTGTTTATATAGTAGTATATATATATATATATAGATATTTAGAAATAACCCAATGAATGGGCGGGTTGGAGTGGAGTGGTTGGGGAGGAAGGGCATGCGTGAGATATTTGTGTTGACTTGGCTTTGGTAAGTGGCCGGACCAGACAGCTAATGCCAATGACGTGAGGGAGTTATTGAATTTCATGGGATGGATCGTTTTATTTTTTCTACGCGGTTGTGATGATGTTTAAGTGGCCTCCCTTCAATACACAGCTGTTCAAAGAAACTTCAATCGATGTTAAACGTCCAATTAATGTTTGTGAAGAAGACACGCACAAACGTCCTCAAGTCAAAATCAAATTATATATCGAACGTTCTTCGCATATCCATGGATACGACCCATTCAATTCAGTACCATATGAACCATTCATTCCTGATACAAATTTCAATTTTTTTTTTTTCCTCAAGAATTTAATACTAATTTCAAGTTGCCACCTATATGATACATCTTACAAATATTTGTGTATTTACAGTTGTGATTTATATGTGATAAACTACTGTCCGATCTCCCAATCAGTGTGAGCCATCCCATTGTATCAGTTTATATATGATACTACAACGTAGAAAAATACATATGAGTCTATTATTACCATAAAATTTTCATAACTATTTGGGATTGGACACGTGGTTCTTGTTTCATCATATCATTCCGTTGTATATCTGGCACCAACATGGCATCATATGCCTATGTTGGCAGAATTCCAAGATTAATATTGTCATTTAAATTATTACGTAATTAATTATATATTCAGGTAGCCATAGACTCGAAAACGATTGCTAGAGAATTATGTGTAATTGATTATATATTCAAGCAGCCATAGACTCAAAAAGCTTGCTAGAGAATCAATGTACGTAGTATACATAAAACTGAATACAAAGAAGTTTGAGAACATCTACTTTAATATTAAAATGTGTATATATAATATTGTTGTTGATTTGTTAAGTCTCAAACATCTAGCTTGGAAATTAATATCATACACGAAGTCTTTTATTATACAAATGCTATATTTATAAGTCTCAAACATTAGTCTAGCATTCAAGTCAAATGTTGCTTCCATGGAAAGCCTGGCACATAGATGAAGACATGGAAAGCTATGTCAATCTTTTCTACGAGGTATGTTATAATATTCAAAATTTAAAAAGACAGTCATACATAGATATATGCATGAGCATTACCAAAGGACTTAATTTAATGGTATAACTTCTCCATCTTTAAAGACGAGTAAAGGAGTTAGAGTTCTAGTAAAGTGTGTGAGTATTTACTTATTAAAAAAATAATAATAATAATAATTCTTATGTGCTTCTATTCTTGATGAAGGGTTAATTGTTTTAGGTATGTGATGCATGCGTTTTGGATTATTAGTGACAGTAATTGGATCCTCGGGCCTCTTTAAAGCAATTCTTTGGTTATTCCCAGGCTCTTTATTTGGATCTACAGTGGCCTCGGCCCCGAATAAAGGGTGTTTTATATTAGATATTTTGGTTGTATCTTGTACATGTTTTTTTTATTGAGTTAATACATTACAGATATCTTATTGAAAATATATATCGGAAAAAATCCACTTTTAAACATTTTCCTTTTGCCATTCTTTTTGACAATCCAAATGGAGTTTTATAGTTTGATACAATTATAGGGATTAAAATCGCTGGTCCAAGTAGTAGGTAAACTAAATAGCTTTTTAGGTGTTTGTTATAGGCAAGTTGGTTGACCAATATGGTATAACAGGTGAACACAATAAAAGGAAGGTACCGTTGCGAATTTTGAACATTTTAAAACTCCTTTTAGGAGGGTGTGTTTGAAAAGTTTTTAAAAATAATTTATTATTAATTTTGGGCAAAGTGTAAAAAATTCCCCAACAACATTTATATATAAAAAAACCTCTTGATTATTAGTCAATTGTAAAAAATTTCTCTTATAAATATTTTTGGCATAAAACCTCCCTCAATTATTCTAAGGGGGTATTTTTAATTGATGTCCATTTAAATATATGTCTAAAGTATTTTTTTGAACTAAATTACTCCTTAACATAATATTCTTTAGACAATTTATTTTTTACTTTTTCTATCTCTTCTTCAAACACTATTTGGCTAGACATGGTTCTAATTGATTGACTCCTCCCTTCTTCCTACAAAGCTCTCCGATAATATGTCTCTCTACCAAGTAGCTGATAAGAGAGAGAATCACTTGATGAGGATTAGGACTTAGGGTGAAGGCAAGACAATTTGAAGATGATAGAGACCAATGGTTCATCAAGTGTTGCGGTAAGTATTTAGTTTCATGCCAAATATAAATATATATATATATATGGTAAAGTGCAAAAACACAATTTTTTTCAAATAACTTCGTTGAACTAAAAATTGTCTCATGAACTATTGATTTGTTGTAATTAAGGACAAATTCATCACAAAAGACTATTTTACCCTTTCTCATTAAAATTTTCATTTCTTATTAAATTATTTTTATTATCTTTTGTCTTATGTAAATATTAATTATATTATTTACCTAAATTTTATTATTAGTATAAATTTATCATAAAAATGAAAGAAAAAAAAAAAAGATAAATAGATTTGTAACTGTCATTTTCTAAATTGATTAACTTATTATTAAAATTTTATTATTTATAATAAAACTTATTATAACCAATTTAAACATTTTTATCGTAAAAAATTATCTTCTTTTTCGTACAATATATCGATGAAAAATTAATAAAATACTTTTTAAAAAAAATAAATACCTTCTTTTCATGTAATATATTCATTAAAAATTTAAAAATTATTTTTAAAAATTAAAGGTAAATTTATCCAAATTGAATGGAGAATATATCATCAAATTAGTATGAATTTTTTTATATAATTTATTTAGATAAGAGAAATATATTAAATGTAATTAAATAAGAAGGGGTATTATGGTCATTTAATAAAATATAGTATAGGTATTGGAGTATGTTGCAACAAATTAAATGTGATACTTTAGAGGGTTTTATGCACAAAATATAATTCAGGAGAGTTATTTGTAAATTCAAACATAGTTGAGGAATTTTTTTGAGCTACACCCATATATATATATATATATATATAATGAACAAAAGTTGGAATTTAATGATGGAAAATAAAAGTGAAAACATTGATGTAATAATGCAAGCGGCCAAATTTTGAGAAGAGAAATCTGGACTATGTAAGAACCAAGTTTGAGGAACCTGGAAAATATTCCATTTAATCATCTGGAATTTTATGAAGGAAAATGAAAGTGAAAACATTGATGTAATAATGCAAGCTGCCTAATTTTGAGAAGAGAAATCTAGACCATGCAAGAACCAAATTTGAGGAACCTGGAAAATATTCCATTTGATCGTCTGCAATAAGTTGATCCACCTTAGCATTAAAATCCAATTGTAAAGTTTGAAATCTTTCTTGAGCAGAAGAGTCAAGTTGATTGAATAATACTTCATTTGGTAACCAATTAATATCCCGCCAAATAGTGTTTGAAGAAGAGAGAGAGAAGATACAAAAAATAAAAAATAAATTGTTTAAAGAATATTTTATTAAGGGGTGGCTTAGTTCAAAAAAACATTTTAGAAAGTTATTTAAAAGATATTAGTTAAAAACACCCTCTTAAAATAATCGAGGAAAATTTTTTGCAAAAAAATGTTCATAAAGGTTTTTTTTCTAACTGACTAATAATTGAGAAATTTTTAATTTTTTTTTCCAGTCAAAGTAAGAGGAGGAGAATCTCGAATAAGCACACCCGGTGAATTGAGTTCTCAATATTGTTTCTTACACGTTAGTATATAGTGGTCAACAATTTTGACCAATTTTTTTTAAAAAATCCCCAAAAAATTATAAAAACTCAAAAATACCTCCAATACACCAATTTTTTTTTATAAAAACCTCAAAAAATATAAAAATGGCAAAAAAATTGAAATAAGTGTTTTCTGTTTCTATTTTGTCATAAGGGCATTTAGGTATTTCAGTTTTAAAATTGAAGAATTGTTCTTAATTATTTGCTCAATTTAAAAAATGTAAGGGTTTTTTCAACACCAAGGAGTATTTGCACATTTTGTATATTGAATGTGTTTTTTTTTTTTTTTTTTTTTTTTTTTTGCACTTTACCCTCTAATTTTTTTTTTATACATAACTTATCTGGAAATAAGAATATCTTACAAAGTTTGTGCTCTTAAAAGTCGATATCTTACAAAGTTTATAAGAATAATTACATATTAGTCCTACTTTTATAACATAAAGACAAATAAGTTCTAAAAAAATTTTATAGGACAATGAAGTCCTGCTTTTTATAAATATTTCCACCAAAAATCTATAATAAATAGAATCCCACTTTTACCCTTTTCATTTCCCCTCTTTCACCTTTTCCCCTCGCGCAATCATCGGCTGGCAGTCGCCAGCATCGCTTAGGGGCGGAGCTACTAAAAAGGCTAACCTGTGCTAAAACCTAGGAAAAATAAATAAATAAATAAAAGTACTATTGTACATCAGTTCACAGCCGGGTCCACATGCAATACTATTCTTCCTCTTAACCCAGTCCACTTTGCAATCCTGGCTCTGCCCCTTGGCTCTTATGTTAAAAAATTTGGGCAATTTTACAATAGTTAAACATGCATTACCTGCTCCAATAAATGAGATGTGCTCTCACTATAAATTGAACAAGCCTTTTGCTAAATAGATAAGTATCATAACTCCTAACTTGGCACCATAAACGTTTCTTTGTTAAAATTTTCAACAATAGTTTTCATGTTTTTTTCCAATTATTTACAATATTGTTTATCATATACAAGTTTTTATGGTGTTCCCACCGAAATCTAGCGCCGGCAACACAACTGTAACCATCGCCGATGACAAGATTAGCAAGGACGAAGTCTTCTGGACCAGCAACTTAACCGAACCGTTCGGTCAACTTTCTCTCTGCCACCATTAATCCTAACAACCACAGCCAAATTTTAGGGCAGATATCCTT